CGAGACGGTGAGGGCGTAAGTCGCGGCGATGGCGATGGGGACGGCCGGGTGGAGGAGAGCCGAGTAGACTGCGGGAGGGATGTTGAAGGGGCGATGCCAGGAGAGGGAGGACTGCTGGGCGGGCGGGAGGACGGCGGGGCGGGAGTCTGGCGGAAAGGCGAAGAGGGCGGAGGGCGGAGGGCGGAAGTCGACTGTCATGGTGCAGACAAGTAGATCCAGCAGTGAACACAGCGAAGACAGCAAACACAGCGAAGGAAGATGAAGATGAAGACGAAGACGAAGACTCAACACTCAGAGGAGAGAGAGAAGAGTAAGAGTAAGAGTAAGAGTAGAAGAAGAGAGTAAGAGAGGAAGAGGCGAGAGGCGACGGTTAGTAAGAGAAGCCAGCAGGAAGTCGAAGCAGAAGCAAGCAAGGCGCGACTTGTAAGAGAAGAAGATGACTTCAGCGATGACTTAAAGAAAGAAGACTTAGAGAAGACTTAGAGAAGACTTAAAGACTTAGAGAGAGAGAGAGAGAGAGAAGTCTTCCTGTCTTGCTGTCTCTTTGTCTGTTTTGGGTATTTGGTCTTGTGGCCGGCGAGGACTCAACTCAGCGACTTTTCTTCTTCTCTTCCTCACTTCATCATCCTTCGACTCTTCAACGTCTCTTCTTTTATCAACTTCTTTTCTTCTTTTCTTCTTCTCTTCAACTTCATCTTCTCCACAAGCCGAATTTGTTGGGAAACCGTTTTGTTGGGCCGAGGTAAGTCGAGAAAAAGAGGCAAAAAAGGACAAGGCTTCGGCCGGACGGCAGACAGCGAGGAGAAGAAGAAGAAGAGGAAGAAGATAAGATCGTTACTCGTGGCTAGCTATGTACATAAGGGTATAAGAACAGACAAAGATTCAAGATACAGATATAAAGAGGCAAGGAGTCACGGCTTGTCGATGGTCGGCAGGCGAGGGAGACCAGACTGCCAGCGCTCCAGGTCGAGGCCGAGGCTGTTGTCGCCCTCCCTGGCGTCCTGGTGCCGGCAAAAGGGCGGCCACCACGAGGAGCTCGAGGACTGCGACAGCGACTGGGACGGTGGCTGTGACGGCGAGGGCGTCTGGGCGTGCAGCTGGGTCTGCGAGTGAGGAAGGCCGCGAGGATGAGAGTGCGACGGCCCCCTGGAGCCCGAAGACACGGTCGAGGACATCCAGCGGGCCAGCATGGGGAAGAAGTCTCGCAGCAGCGACCAGGTCATCGGCAGACAGGTCACCAGGATGCCCACCGTCGCCTCGCGCAGGTACCAGTTCATGTACACGTACGAGATCAGCCAGGGGACCAGGCAGTACACCTTGGTCAGCACGGCGGCAATCACGACAAAGATGCCCATCCCAAAGACAAACAGCAGGATCATCTTCTGCTTGCGCGGCAGCCGCAGCGTCATGAACAGCGGGATCGCGATGGCCAGCATCAGCACGTCGGACGAGATCGCGAAGATGCCCTGCACGATCCCGTACACCTGGTACGACGAGCATTGCGCTAGACCTCGTCAGCACTGCACTGTAAGTAGATAAGTAGAAAGAGAATAGACCTACGCTGGTCGACTGGAGGCGGAATGGCCCAGTAGAGGTGCAGGGGCCGGCAGGTCAGGAACAGGGCCAGCTCGGTGCCGACGAAGCCTAGTCCCAGCCAGACCGTCAGATACAGCACCAGACGCTCCTGGCTCAGTCCCTCCATGATGCGCCGGTACAGCACGATCATGCACGCCTTGAGCGTCCAGGTCGTCAGAATCATCGCATGCTCGGCTACAAACACCCACTTGGCGCCCCGCGTGCGACGCTTCCTGCTCTCGGGCGTCAGATGCGCGATGTCGGCCGCAGTCACCAGGTTCGAGCCTCCCGCGAGGATGATCTCGTTGAGCGCGACGCACAACAGCGTAAAGAAGACGACGACGCAGAGGATCAGGTAGTCGTCCAGCTGCAGGTTGCGCACGCCCATCCGCCGGATCCTAGCTAGGCTACAACACCCGTCAGCACTATATGTAAAGAAGCGGACTTTCTTCTATAAGAGAGTACTCCGTACCTCCTGAGGAAAATAACGGCAATGCCCACGCCGTACAGGGTCCATGACTCCCGCTGAAAGTCTCGCGCGTACGCAGACGAGGTGTCCAGGCCCGCTTCCGGAGTAAACCCTTGGCCAGTCATCGATCTCGGTCATTCTCGTCGCATCACATATCGTCCTGGCACCGACATCTCCAACCTCGTCGCCAGCAACATCAAGGGAGGCAGGAGATATTTATTCTCCGGAGTGCAGAGTGGCGATCGGCCTGCCGTCTAGATCGGACAGCACCGTGCGAAAAAGCAAGCTGCGGCAGGACCCAGCCCCGGCAGCGCAGGCCGTGTGAGCCATCAGACGCCGTAGCGAGTGGTGGAAAGCGTAGTCGACTCTGTCCATCTTGTCTAGTCGACTCTGTCCATCTTGTCTGGGCTCTGGGTCTATTGGCTTTGCTTTGGGGGTCGCCCTGGGGGCCCGCGCGGTGCGAGAAGTATAACCATGTGGATGGCGGTGGCGTCTCTGAAAGGGGGAGAATGAAGGCCAACCCGCATACGAGAACGAGTCTCTCTCTCTCTCTCTCTCTCTCAATCGTAGTGTAATAGTGGTTGTCATCTGGTTGTCTCGATGTCTCGATAGTCGATGGAGTTGATGGAATTAAAGAGACGGGGAAGGAATTCACGCGATTGGCTGGACGAGATATTTACTGGCCAATGGGAATTCTCTCGCTCAACCAATAGATCCATCCTAAACGCCATCTCATCTCCTCAATAACGACTTTATCATCTTCATCTATCTTTATCTTCATCTATCTTCATCTATCGACATCTGAATATCTACGTCAGGCACTGTTCAGCCTCGTCCGGTTGCAAGGCCGGCTGGGCTGCCGGCCTCCCAGCCCAGCTCCATGGCTCTGGCCTCCGCCTGCCCTACACTTGCTCTTGAACTCCGGACTAACCACCACACTAACCAGATAACCAGCTAACTAACTACTATACTCAACAACGGCCGGCCTGGCCTCAGCCGCCGCCCTCTCCTAGTCTTCCTCCACTTCCCCCTTCCCGTCCATCCACGGCTGCTCGTCCCGTCCCTGGCCTGTCTGGCTGTCCAAGCTATCGACGGCCTCAACTTAAAAACCCCCCGACAGCTTGTGCGGCCGCACTTAGGTTAAGCCTAGCTACAACCTTGTCCTGCCGTCCGCATCGCTGCTCCTTGCCTTTATCAATTATTATGACGGGCACAGAGTAGCTATCTGGTTACGTACCTGGCTCGATGAGTGGCTTGCGGCGGTTTCACGTCAAGTCGAGACATGGCTGCGGCCAGTGCAAGAGGAGACACGTCAAGGTGCCTTGACTTCTGCTTCTACCTGCTTCATAAGTAGTGGACGGATAGGTAACTTATGCTGATGTCTAGTGCGATGAGCAGCCTCCGAGATGCGCTGGCTGCGTCAAGAGAAATCTACAATGCGACTACCAGGAGATGCAGCCAGGCCTGGAACTGCAGCGAGTCCCTCCACATCCGACCAGCAGCAGTCTAGTCTTCGACTTCCACCCCTTGACTCGTCTGGTCAACAATACTCACCGAACAAGCCCATATATCCCGAGCATCCAAAGCCTCAGTCTCGATGTAGATCTTACGCACCAGGACTCGCTCCTCCTGCACCACTACTCCTCCATAACATGCCATACCCTCTTCCACCCGCTCGACCAGGCCCGCGCCTACACATGGCAGTCTCTCGTGCCCCAGCTGGCTCACATATACCCGTTTGTCATGCACAACATCCTCTCCCTCGCTGCAATGCACCTGGCCTCGCTCCAGCCGCATCTCCTGCACAAATACACCCTCCTCGCAGCCAGACACCAGTCCCACGTCATCACGGCCGCCCGGGCCCGCGTTGCCAGTCAACAGGTCACCAGCCAGAACTGCAGTGCTGTCGTCATTTGCTCCGCCCTCTTACTCCTCTATGAGCTGGCCATCTTGCACCCGTCGTACTTTGTCTCGGAACCTGTGTCTACCTCAACCTCAACCACAACTTCAACTTCAATTTCAATTTCAACCTCTGCTGCACGGCGGGTAGATGAGATCGTGCAGAAGATGCTGGTCATGCGCCATCTGGTCGGCCTCTGGAATATAAGTATGCCCCTGTTCAGCCAGGGCCCGGCTCGCTGCTTGCTCGCCACGGGAACGCTCGACCCTGCCTCTCCGCTAGCCGTGGAGGTACGATCCTCTCTGGACCGGGTGCTGTTGGCCTCTACCACGCTGCATGTACCATCGGATGCATACGCTGCGGCAATCGACTCGCTATGGCACTGTTACAAGTGCTGCGTCCTGTCGACGCCGCCGGACTGGCTACGGGCTCTGGCTTGGCCGAACATGGTTCCGCGGCCGTTCATGTCGGAGCTGCTGGAGAAGAAGCCTCTTGCTCTAGTCCTGCTGGCTCATTACTGTGCTCTGCTGGTGCTGCATCCGGGCAGTTGGTGGACGCACGGGTGGCCGCGGCCGGTGCTTTTTGCTCTGATCGAAGCTGTCGGTGAAAATGGACAGGCTCACTGGAGAGATCTGTTCGCCTGGCCTGTCAAGGTTGTTGCCAACCAGCCTGATACTGGTGAGTGAACGCAACTGATTGACGTCAAATAACGGTCACTTTTACTATGTAAAGGAATCCCCATGCTATCGAGCTGTGCCGTTAAGGATCATCCCACGGGTGGGTTCGGCTCGTACAACCTAATGTCGACGGGCTAACGGGCAAAGTAGTCACTCGACTCAAGGCAATCCTACCGTGTCTGACGGGACGCCGGAGCAAGGCATCGTCACACCCAGGCTCAGGAGATGATACCTGGGAACGCACATCTAGTGTTTCTAAGAACGGCGTTTCACAGCTTCCAACCCGTTTGTAAAATAGCAATGATCAGTCTCAATCTCAAGAGATCCTCCCTCTACGACTCTACTGCAGATGCCCCTCGCCTGGGTGCCTGCCGCTCGCCACTGCGCCCTCTTATCGTTGTATCCGGGTTCAACTAGCTGGTGGATACATGGGTAGCCGCAGCCGGTACGGCTCCTCGCTCTCCCATCGGGCCGTTGTATCTACCTTTAGGCAAGTTAGCTAGTAACAGCACTCGTTTGCATTCTTCTATGTATATACTGTATACGTTGTATAAGTGTACTCCGTATAGAGGACCAATGCTGTCCCGCTCAGGGGTTATTCCGACCTCTCCGACTGTGCTGCAGCCTGGTCACCAACGGCTGCATGCATGAGGGGTCGGACTGCGTACGGGCGCTTAGAGACAAACGACGGCCGGAGGCATCAAAGACGTATTAGTAGCCTGCCTGCCCGCTGGATAAATACCTGGCCTGTCCGCCCCCTATCTCGATCGCCGCGAGCCGGACTTCCTCGCCCTGACAACCGTCGCCCTCGACTCGACTCAGCTGCCTAAACCTGCGTCGAAGCTCTTGTCTCGCATGCAACGAAACTGATCTACGCCGTGCCCTCTACTCTACACTCGTTCCCCCGCGCGTATCTACCTACATATTATCCATCCAGCATCTACCTACCACTACCTACCACTACTTCACATCTACGACGGTTACTGCTGTCCAGCATGTCTTACGACAACGGCATCAGAGTCCACGGAAAGGGAGTGTACATGCTTCTCCGCAAAACCACCCCGTCCCCCGGAGACTCCCCGTACCATTGGGAAATCCTCATAGCCACCAGCGACAAGACCGGCACCGTCTTCCACCAGATATACAACCGCGACGCCGACGCGTGGGCGCTCTCCGTCGAGTCGTCCAAGAACATCACCACCGCCCCGGACCTGCTGTGCGCCCTCAAGCTGGGCGTCGTCGAGGACTGCTCGGGCACCTGGATGAGCGCCATCGAGGCCTGTGTGCGCCAGACCGAGGTCAAGGGCGAGTTCACCTGTCGCACCTGGGCGCTGGCAGCCGCCTTTGAGCTGGCGGACGGAGGCTTCATTGGCATGGAGCCCAGCTGGGAGCAGATTGCGAAGATAGAGGCGGAGGCGAAGGTGTTGGCGGGCGATGCGTGTTTCGGCGGCACGGCCAGGGTCGATACGAGCCTTGCCAGCAGGCCGTAAAGGAGAACTAACTTGGTTGACTTGGTTGACGTTGACTATGCGTGGATGTGAATTGGGATTAATTGCGGCACAGCGAAGAGCGTAACAGGTGCCTGGGACGGGATAAGTAACTGGTAACTGGTAACTGGGTAACTTGAGTATCTATGGATGGATGGATGGATGGAATGGAATGGAATGGATGGGACGGTCTTTGGTTCTCCTGCTGTCAATTAGTTAGCTGTCTGGGTTACATGAGATATTAAGCTTAACTTAGAGCTGTTTTAACAGTCAAGCTTCGTCCCGATAAATATCTATTGTCGTTAGAGAAAAGAGATACTTCTTGACTGGCCGTGGCTCTGTAAGTCGACTGTGTCTATCCTGGAGTATCGACCCTCGACGCAGCACAGGGTACGCCGCACGCAGCATCCCAGCTGTACGCCGGATGCGCTGTTTGCGTCGTTCCCATCAGGCAGCCACTCGATTGCCTGCTTAGTTATTGCATCATCCTTGCCGCTAAGAGACTAGTACGTTAGCTAGCTTAGGCCGGTGGCTTGACGTGGAGCCTCGAGTTATATATCGCGGGTAGCATCCACAACAACCTCCGCTGGGCCATCAAATGCCAAATATCCAATACCCAATACCCTATGATATCCAGACTCAGCTCTATAAGAAATATCCAGGGGCAACTCAAATGCCAGACCAACCGCCGGCGTATGTACAAGATCCCAGACGAGTTCGTAGTCGTGAGCAAGGCCGGAGAGCATCCGCTTTCCCTCGCCTGCGCTGGCCTCGCTGTCGTCAACCATCAAGAGCTTTCTGGAGCTCAACAGCGCCTATTTCGGCGGCTATAGCATCCATTAGTTAAGCAGCAACCGCGCGGCGTTTAGTTACTTCCCACGGCTGGTACGCGCTTGCCGCCTTAACGCGCGCCCTTTTATCTTCCTCTTCTTCTTGCTTAACCACAAGAAGAACCACATCAACCACCGCAAGCAGACACTTAGACGGTTGAACATGCTCCGTCCACCGGGAGAATAAGCCCGGAGATCTAAGGGCGTTGATAGTGAATGAATGACAAGAACTTGTTCTTGTGCCATGGCAGTCAGTCAAGACTAAAACTCATCATTGTACATATGAGAAAGCTAATGCATCCTATAGTTCTGAGAACGCTAAGCAGTCCTCTCCCGGAGAGCAACGGAGCGTTGAGAGAGGTAAATATTCTCCGACCCGTCCTTTGTAGCAGCATATCCTTATCAAAAAGCGGGATTTCTATCCCAAGGCCGCACACAGCTCAGTTGGTTTTCTAATTATTGCAAATGCCTGCTAGACACCATCTGCTCTAGGGGGCTCAATGCCAGCGGATATATTGTCATATGATAGTCGCTCAGGTGGTTTAAAAGAGCATCTAAGACTTGCACTCTAACGTCAGCGGGGGCTTGATACTATCTGTCGAGAGACAACTTAGGTTCCTCAGGTCCAGGATTCTATACTTTCCAGATACAAGCAAATAAGATTAAGGGTATGAATCCCAGCCTACTAGCGAGGCTCTATTTGAGTCTTTGTAAGTGTCAAACCCTATCTAGTGATTGAACAGGTTAATATCACGATACATCCCTTTTGTATGAATAATACCAAGGGTCTGGAGAGTCCTAGCAGGAGTATGGGGTGCGAAAGCGCCTTTCCTACTGATGACTATGACGAAGACGATACACTACTCATCTGATAGAGATGATGCATAGATGTTGGATAGATTTTGATAGAGCCTGTTCGTGGCAAGCGCAAATGAGCTTTTCAGCTTCCAACTCCTCGCTGTAGTTACCTAACGCTTATCAAACACTAGACAGGGATTCCGTTTCTGCTGCATGTCCAGCCTAGCGAGCTCCTGCACGTACAACAAACCGACCCCGCCATTCATCCATCCTCGCATACACGAAAGATGTCCTATGACAACGGCGCAAGGGTAGAGAAGAAAGGAGCGTACATGCTTCTTTGGTCGACTTCTGCTGAGTTCCTATACCACTGGGGTATATTGATTGCTACGAGCGAGACTGGAGGCACACTTTTTCATCAGACTTACAACAAAGAAACGTGGAGCATAGCCGTGGAGATCAGAAATATCACCAGGTCCCGAACCCTCCTCTGTGCCTTGAAGTTGGGCGATGTTGAAGACTGCTCCGGCACCTGGATAAACGCTATTGAAGCATGTTTGCGTCAAATTAAAGTGGAGGGGGACTTTACCTGTCGCACCTGGGCGTTGGCTGCGGCCTTTGAATTAGCAGATGGAGGCTTTATTGGCATGGAGCCATCCTGGGATAGGATTGGTAAGATAGAGACAGAAGCGAAGTTTTTGGCTGGTGATTCATGGCAATCTGGAGAAGTACATGTTGAGGCCAGCGCGCAAAAACGTGCTTGATGTGCCAGCGATGGCGGATATTGCAGAGTTAGAGGCACATTATTTGCTTCCGAGAGGAACTCTTACTTTCTCTGGTGTTTGAATATTAGGAGTTAGCATTGTGACCTCACTGCCTTGACTACCTACAGATTAGCCAATAAGACTGTGCTTCTAAATAAAGTAGCCATTCCGTTAAAATCAATAAAATAAAATGAAATAAAATAAATTAGGAAATAAATAAGAGCAAGCTCAATGGCAAGTTTAAAAAGGGAAGAAAGGTACCAAGAAGTCACTGCCGACGCTAAGGGTAATTTAGATCAGTAAACTGGTTTTTTACTCCAAATTAGTCGCTCAGCCTCTAGCTCTTCCTGGTAGTTTTCAACAAAGGCCAGGCGATAATTCTGTTCCCGCTGCCTGTCGGCCATAAAGGACCACACTGCCCGAGTAAACTCCCAGTATTCTGGCTTGAAAGATGCACACTCCCAGTCCACAATACCGCACAGGCGTCCCTTGTGAATAAACAGGTTCGAGTAATGCAAGTCTGAATGAGTAAAGAGAATCCGATGGTGTTTCTTGTACAGGGCCGAAAGGGGAGGTCCATCCCTAAGTTCTTCAAGGCCTTCGGTGAGCATATTGGTGAATTCATCCTTTGTTCGGTAAGGGCCCCATACATCGCCAGTGTCTGTCCGGTGATCATACGTAGGTCCCCCCAGGGTATTGCAAATAAGGTACGGGGAAGTGTTTCTGATCTGGCGATACTGTAGAATATGGTCCTTTAAATCCTTTGTAAGCTGAGCACGTTCTTCGTATGTCATTCGATAATAAACGGCATCGACTGGAACTCCCGGAACCCTTGACATGAGAAGATACCCGTCTCCTAGTCCATCTTTGGCAAAACCAATTAGCTGTGGCGCGGGGACCTGTGTGTCTCGTTCAACCAGACGGAGAGCGTTGGCTTCGTTTTCCATGACTCTGCGTCCGATCTTCAAGCATAGTCCAAACGGTAGATATCTGAGGGACTTGTCATAGGGTGGTCTCCATCGATCTTGAGCCCAAACGATAAGCTTCATAATCTTTAGCCGAAAGAAATGTGGAAGCATAGAAAACAGTGCTCGAAGTATCCGTCCGCGGAAGCTCCTACAAGGACCGGTATCTAAGGAAGGAAGTAAGTGTCGTGTATATATGAACGGAATTACTTGTTAAAGCTCACACTCGTTCTCAATCTCCCACCCGGCTTGGATTTGCTTTTCAACATCTAGGTAGTATAGAAACTCGGAAACATGGTGATGGACCTCGAGCAGAACACCCTCTGGTAGAGGAAGTTTGGTATCATCCGGAGTTGATGGCATCGAGGAGAATTTGCAGTTCCTCGCTACACCGGGTACGTTGAAGTTTCCTGGCCTGGTTCTCCGTAGCAACCACTATACAACTCATAAGAATGTGCTGGCCCTAACAGACAGGAGAGAACTGGCATTACTTACATACAATCTTTTGGGATCAGAGTCATTCTTATATATTGAGATACGTCCCTCTCGAAATGCAGCCGCAACGGCTGGGCTCATCAGCCATAAGTTTTTCAGGTTGTCGCTAACACTCTCGCTGGATCTCATGAAGGAGAAGAGTTTATCAGTGACTTCCGGGGATACACATATGTCTAAGATTTCCCGTAACGGAGTCTATATGCCATTATGAGACGGGCCCTTATGGGTATAGAGGAATGAACGTACACCGGGTATGAGGTCATCATCGTGAAGGACTGAAGGTGACACTATATGGATAGGTTGGAGATCCTGAGACTCGCCCGAGATGTGGCAAATGCCATTCTGGCGTTCTTTTAGGGCAGAAATCGCATTAGAAGATATGGGGGTGCTTCGGGAGACTTCTGAAAGAGTTAGGTTGGGAAGTTCTGCAAAGGAAGTTATTAAACCGAGGCTAGATAATTCGTACATTTTTGTGCTAGAGACCGCATATCATCTATGATAGAGCGCAAGTATTTCTCCCTCGAGTCATCTGGACCCAGATCTGCAAGCTTATCTAGAAGAAACTGGCCTGCTTTATTCCGATCAAATGAATGGTTGAGGAAGAAAAACAACTGCAAGTGCTCCCAGGCGGACAGTTGGGTAGAGTAGACTGCTTCTTTAGCTGTCCAAAACGGATCATCATCACGTTTCATCATTATCAGTATCCTATTCAATCTGAGGTAGCTATCAACGCAAAATGGTGAATTAAAGGGGGTTCGGCCCCGGGATGGTTGTTGATGGCTTTCAAGATAGCAGTCGTTGTTGCTTGCTTTTGATTGGCGGTTCCTGAACGATCACGTGGACTCAAAGTTATAGTCACGTGAAATATACTTCTTTCGCGCTTATTAGTCATCCATCATAGTAGTCGTTTAAGCGATTTAAGCGCCGTACTTTCCCTTCTTAGCAGAAGCAAACATTCGACAAACCCCAAAAGATGAACATCGAACATCAACTCATTTCGCATATTCGAGACAGACTAGGAGCTATCTATCGCTATAATACACTTGACGGCTATTTACCTTTCGGAGATTATAGTGTACACAAGTACATGGCTTTGTTCTTCGGGATTGACGGGATTCGTCCTCACAAGGCGACGGCGCCGGGTAGGTAACACCAGTCTCAATGGCCCATTGGTTCGAGCTGAAGCACAACTATTATGCCGGAGGAAACTTGCTATGCAGTAACACTCGCTGGGCAAACAAAGTAACGATGCGTTGCCTCCATGAACTCGACATGCTGGCTTTGTACTACCCGGCCTGCTCTTTGTTTTCCGCCATGCCTGCGTTACTCAAAACGCTGGCATTAACCTCCTGCTTCCCCTATAGGCATAGCCTTGCGGCGTGGTGGGAACTACCTTCGGAGCATATATACCTGTTGTCCATGACCTTGGTGTGATGATTTATTTGCTTCTCTGAAGCTCAACCACCCAACTACCCAGAGACTGTCTCACAAATACTGCTCCCATCGCATTTGTCATTGCTTCCAGAAGGAACAATAGAAAGTTGCAAATGTATGTTTGTTGCTTTCCAGGTGACGGTATTTCGGGATCACCACCGATGTTGTAAGTGAAATGGCCTCTTCTTGGATATTCGTCACGTACAAGCTGTTTACAGGATGTGTTATATAGCACACCATTGCCCATACTCGTCTCCTTGTCTAGAACGACCCTCTATACTGCGAAACCACCACCAAAGAAGGAGATCAAAGAGTCGCGACCCACACGTGCCGTCCGCGGGGAGACTAAAACAATGAGGCTGAAGCAATCGGTGCATAATATTTTTAGATGGAAAGGGATTAGGGCGCTTCCGCGCCGGCGACATGCTTATCAAAGATTGGGTTGAGGATCAGACGACGATCCCCCTCCTGCGTTCCTGAAAATGACACCATTGAACGGCTCTCTTACTTGGAATACACTACGTCCCTTGAAACTTTTAGTTATGTATTGATACTAACGACACATATTTAACAAACTGCAATTTATGACACAAAGACAAAGAGTAACTGATCCAATTTGACATTGTCTTAGTACAGCAAAGCGGAAAAATATGTAGGAAGGAAGCGTCCAGCACCTCCTGGCAAGTATGTAACATACAAGTCATGAGAATGGAAAAACAGGATTGCTTGGTACCTCCGGTAAAAAAAAAAAAAAAACCTTTATACCCTTGCCCTAGTCTGGCTATTTTCAAACCGATAAGGCATAGAGATATGTAAGTGTTTGTGCAGCTATGCGCCACATTTATCCATTGGAGAAGGAAGCTCCAGTGGATAGACGCCGTCACCCTTGGCAACATCAGGTCCTGGGTTGGGATATTTCACCTCTGCATTTGTTCGTGGGGTCTTGCAGCCATTATCGGTGTTAGCGACGAGGAAATCTGGGAGTTGGTCGAAAGGGACGTTCGGGGACTTGTCATCGTCGGGAGTTGGGCGAGCACTGCTGCCACGAGGAACGAAGGCTCGAGGTTGTGAAGAATTGCCTCCATTTCCAGATGACGTGATGGTCACGGAAGCGCAGGTCATGAAAAATTCCTGCTCACGGTTGAACCAAGTCCAGGCAAATACGTGGTCACCAGTAGGCATATCTCCAGGGACCTTGAAATCGAAGGTTTGTTCCTCCGGATTTTTGTTAGAGCCCTCGCGGTGGGGGCAGTTTCCTTCGTAGCTTCTCACAACTCTCCAAGTTTTGCCTTGGTCAGTACTGAAGCCAACTTGGCATGATCCTCCCCAATGCGTTCCGGTTCCTGTAAGGCTGAAATTCTGGGACGAACCGGCTTCCCAGCTGACGACGGGGCGGCCTTGATCGGTGCCAAGGAGGTCTAGGTATCCTCTGCAGGGATAAACCGTCTTTCTTCCACAGCAATTGTAGGGGTTGTCGAGGTGGGGGTCTACAGACCCAGTGCGATGAGGATTGTTCTCTGCAGCGAACGTAGGAGGATAATGGAGCATCATATGCGCCGTAGCAGAGGTAGCAAGGAGGCCAACCAGGGCAACAGTATTCATGATGGACTTCATATTGATTTTTAAAGGAGCGTAAAAGAAAGGTAGAAAATTTGAACGTCAAGTTCCCAAAGAGCTACCAGGCTGCGAAAGAAGTATGTGAGAAAAATGAGAGAAGGAATGAAAGCTCAAAAATCGCAGAGTCAACCTGCAGAGTTTTTGAGTAATGAAGGTAAAAGAGAAGGGAAAGAAAGAATGGTATAATTGCCGTGAGAAGAGAAAAGAATGGGACGTATGTGCCATTCGGTGGGGATGAAGGTGAATATATAGATGCGCCATTTTGGTCGAAATGCATTAGATCTACGGGCGAGACGGATGCCGCGCAATCGAAGCCCACAGATAGTTCAACGAACAAGCCTAGGACTTGAATCCGGCTCGTGCTTTTCCCCGCTAGAAAGATGAAACGGAAGAGCGGCTACGCCGTGCCAAAATGCCACTATGGGTTAACTAACTAACCACGGTGGGCAGTAGTGCCCGCCAACTGTTGCACGCTATGCACGTCGCTTTAGCGCCACATCCCTCCACGGCTCGTTATGCGGACATTTTTCCATGCCCCTCAGCAGGGAATATCTTGCATAAGTGAGGGGGTCTGCGGTTTTCAGGAGAATTTCGCTTCGGAAGATCGCATCATGATGTGTGGAAAGTATAACATTGCCCCTTTTTGCGACATAACTAAGTTAGTATCAACAGATGACTGGCCCGGTCCGTGGTTCTGGTCCGTCTCATCGCCAAGGGGATGACGGCAAAGGGGCATATGAGAGGACGAGGATGGACCACTGAGAGCTATCGACCCATGGTTTGCAGGCCGAACTTGAAACGCATGTGGTTGTCAGCTGCATAGAAGGTTGCCGAGTGGAGAGTTGGACCAAAGTTAGCATGACTGAACATTGGTTACGCCAGCTGAGTGGCCACAGCATTCAGGTACAGTTTTCGAAAACTTGGTATGCCCAAGCTTCGACTTTTGCTTAATGCACATCGTCATTTCCCGTCGACCAAAGTCAATCTGCGGCATTAAGTAACTTGACAGTTTTGTGAAGCTGAGGGTAGAAGTTGGATTTGAGCAATTTGAGATTGAGAGATTGAGCATTGAAAAAGGTCGGCATTTTGGTCGTGTCATGTGACACTTACGGCGTTTCGGAATGACGGATTGAATATGGATTTGATACTCTGGGCAGATGGAGGGTGTGTGAATGCCCTCTTCTATACATAATGCAAGGAAATACTTGTATCCTCTACAAAGAGGCCGATGCCGTCTATCGAGCAAAGTCAGGTTTGTACTCCTTTGCCCCACCGGTTTTCATGAGCTCCCTCAACGCCATGGTGGCATACTGGCTGGCTCCCAGCTGGAACTTGAGAATGACAGCAAGCTTCTCCGGCTGTTCTTGAGTCTCCGATGTTACTGAGGATTGGTTGTTGTCATTATTGCCATCACCAGACTTGGAAGCATTCTCTTTAAGTCTTTCGAGGTCTGTCTTCACAAACTGTTCGTCCTCGGCACGGTATGGCTTCACCTCAAAAGAATAGTCGGCTCCGGGCCGACTAAGCATCTTACGATAGCTGCCGCTGAGACTGATATCTCTCCAAGACCGCCGCATGTCGAAGGGGTCCAGGTTTCCACCCTTCTCGCTGCCCATGAATTCCTTGTAGAAATCGGTCATTTTGTTGGCAGGGTAGAGGATATCGAACCCAGGAAGGGGCAGAACAATGTCAAAGATGGAATACTTCCCACTGGCTGCCTCCTCTGCTGTCAGGGCCCTGGCACGTTCGAACATGTCATCAACTGCAGCACTGTCATCTGCGTCGGGTAAGACAATTTCCTCTCCGTCTGCATCTACTTCTGCCTGCTGCCCTGCGGCTTTGGTTTCATCTTTGAACTCACTTACCAACACCAAGTCGCCTTCGACAACTTTGTCACCGTATAAGCGCCATCTCTCGCCAGCGGCAAAGTTCCACACCAGAGACTGGTAGGCGTGGACATACATCAGTCGCAGGTTGCGGGGGATAGACTGCAGTGCGCCAAAATAGTCGTTCTTTCGCTGGCATAGCAGCCTAATGATATTGCTCTCTGCTGTAAACTTTCTAGGCAATACCTCCAATGCATCACGGCCATTGCCCGTCGTTTGAAAGATGTGGATTGCCTTGGCCCGCAGGATATCATCCGTACTTATCTGTGGTTTCTGGCCCTGGTCCTCAGATGAGAGGTCCTGTGCTGCAGCCAATGCAATTGGGCTGTAATGAAGGATCGACTCACAAGCTTCCTTGAACTCTCCACGGAGCATTTTGAGGCCAGTGGTATCAGTTCTAGTTGCAAAGGTGCCGAAACGCTGGAGCCCATAGTAATTGAAGTACCCTCGCTCTCTGAGGTTACGAAGAGACTTTCCAACAAGCTCGGTTACCTTTGCGATCGTTTCTGGGCTTGAAACGTTGCCTATATCTACTACACCCTCGGGGAACTGGCAGTCTCTGAGAGTGATTACGAATTCATTCCCGTTCAGTTCTCCCAGCTCCAAGCCTTGTTTCTGGTACTCGTAGTCTCCGATGGCAGCCATTCGAAGGGATGCGTTGAGCTTCGGCATTCGATCTGGGTAAATGCGGAATACGCTAACCCGCTGAGCAGTGGCTCCACGCCGATCCTTGGTCCCGGCAAACTGAAAGGCCTTGGGCGCTACCTTCAATTGACGAGAGAGAAATGAGATTACCTCCATAGTATCCTTATTCTCTTTGTACAATGTGAAATGCAGGTAGTCTCCACCGAGTTCGCTCCAGCCCAGCTTACCACGGGGCAGATGAGAAGCGCCTTGACCTCGATCCCGCCCTGACTGCTTTTTGCGTTTACCTTTCCCCCCGCCGCGTTGCTGAACTGATGCGGCGGAGACCACAATCGTTCCATCGCTGTCGGTTGTTGAGTCCAAGTTGGACTTGAAGATTCGACGAATAGCCTGGTGAAGGCTCGTCCTCTGATCCTTGTCCGTGATAACCAGAGACTTGACCTTGCCAAGTTCGCCTGGCCTGGAGGAAGCTTTGGTAACAGAACGTGAATAGAGGTTGAGGAGTTTCGGGGTAGTCTCGGGTCCGAATAATTGGTCTAATAGTTCTCGGTCTTCTGTAGCCAGCTAAAATGGAATCAGTAAACACAGCTCATGGCACCAAGACTCTTCCTTCCGCACTTACGTCTGCCAGGACAATATCAGCCGTCTCGACAGCTGGTTTCTCTGTCTTATCATCTTCTGCCTCGCCTGTTTTGCCCTCAATCTCCTCGCCAGTTACGGGCGTATCTTGAGGTGTTGCACTCGCAGACTCGACTGGAGTAGCAGTTTCGGCAATGGCAGTTTTAAGAGCAGTTGACAACTCCGTGTCCTTCAAATGTAAGACCTCTCCTGACGGTAGGATCTCGTTGACCAAAAAATCGGTATACCTAGCCAGTGCTTGTGTTAGCAGCAAGTCTTTTTTTGCCCTCTCATGAAGCCACCCAGCCAACCGATCAACAACGACATACCTCTTCTTCACAACGCCGGAAAATCCAGGCAGGTCTGGGCTAACGAATTGTGTAATGCCGACTTCTGCTTCCTTTACAGCTTGCGCATCTAGAGCTGGAGAGCCAGCGTCGGCCGTGGCACCAACAAGCCCTTGAATTGGCGCAGTCAGGGACTCGGAGCCAGAATCGCCATTGGACACTTTGATGCGCTTGCGCCGCGACTCATCTTCATCTGCCATCGGGTAAACGTGTAACTCTGTGATTCTCGGCGCTGTTGCTATCTGTTCGTTGGCGTTGTTGTTTTATCGCTGCCGGGAATTTTCTTTTGAAGTGAAAAATCAACTTGATTTCCATGTGGGCCGCGAAAAGCGTCAAATCTGCGGTGTTAATTTCTACCCACTAGAGCTAACCGCCAGAGTAACACCACCAAACAACATTTCAACTACACGGCTGGACTACCTCTGGTTCCATCTCAAGCGATGTTACAGAGTCCATGTCCACTCTTGCCGCAAAAGGTGTGTTAACAAATGGCCAGGATGAAAAGAGCAGCGGTTTAAATGCAACTACAAACGTTATAGCATACAGCCAGGAGGCCCTATCCATATAGACCCTCCGGCTGGTGTCTAGTAACCTGGTTAGAGAGGAAAACATCTTTCATTATGCTCAATGCCCATGTCTATGCCTGGCTAGAAATAACCTTGAGGGACTGCGCTTACAACTGCCAGCTGACAGATGCAACCAACCTCTCCATCCCTGGTAAACCCTATAATCAAACAGCCGGACGCCGGTATAACGGTATTAGGAGAGAATTAAGTGGCTCAAATAACTGGCTCAAGTGCCTGCACTATCGCAGATTTTCCGTCCTTACTGGATAATAAATTGCTTATCCTTCTTCAGCTTGTCAATGACGTCGATGGGAACATTAATAGCAGCGGCAGCAATGTCGTGTGGAGTGAGAGCGAGCCATTGGGAGAGGGATACATCAGCAACCCGGTCGGCCTTATAAAGCTCAAGATAGACAAGCTCTTCATCCTTGGAGACGTTCTCAATATAATGGCCAGCGTTATCTGGGAAGACACCAGTGTCGCCGGCGGTAAAATCGAAGGTACGGGATAGACCGCCGCTAACATAAACGGTAGCGCGGGCATTTCCACTATGGAAGTAGAGCCATTCCTCAGCCTAGAAAGGATATTAAGTTAGATATAATCAAGCAGGATAGATGGGGTAAGTGCATACAGTTGGATGCCAATGGAGCTCACGCAGAGCGCCGGGCTTTAGACGAACAACAGCGCAGGCAATAGTCTTAGATATAGGGAAGTTCTTCGAATCAACGATCTGGATAGTACCGCCGCCACCAGGGACTTGAATCTCGGGGGCGTCGCGAATGTGGAAGGTGTAAGAGCTGTTGCCCATGAGAGCACCATTGGGACCAGTAACGTTGTGAGTGCTGGTCGTCGAGTTAATGATCTCGAGCATATTAGACTTGGTCTTGTCGAAGGTGCCGCCGGTGGAGATGTTGAAATTCTTAGCCAACACGTCCTGAGGAGTGTGCGCGATCCACTCGGCAATCTGGAAAGTAGTTCTGTAGTTATAGGTGTTAGATAGTTGTAAAAGACGTATTCGAATAATAGGAGGAATACAAACCCGATCTGGTCGAAGTCACCTTCATCGAAGGCGACGAGCACTTCGTTCTCATCCTCAATACCTATTTAAAGGTTAAATATAGTCCATTAATCAGTGGAAATGAAAATCGATTAGACTAACCTTGGAAAGAGTGAGCAGCTCCCTTGGGGAAGTAGTACATGTCACCAGGGGTGAGTTTGTCAATCTGATACTGGCCATCTTCGGTGACGGCAAATACCAAAATGGAGCCAGCATAGACGTAACCCCATTCAGCCTATAATCAAAGTTATATCTTAGTAAATATTTCGACCATGAATCAATGACATATATAAAACATACAACTCTGTGCCAATGCATCTGTCGGATTCCGCCCTTAGTTAAATGGACTTGGGCGCCTGCAATATCGTGACTGGCAGGCAGGTCCGAGATAACCTGCTCACGAATCCAGCCACCGTGGAACATACGGGTCTTAGAAAGAGAAAAGCTCCATTTCAAGTTTGGTACAAGACCACTGTCGGTGGCAGGCTGGCCGTTGATATTGCTTGGGTTTTGGAGATCAAGCTCGCGGTTGGTAGCCCCTGAGAAACATTGTGTTAGTGATAATGCTGTTATATTTCAGTAGGAGATAAACATAGGATGGGTTTACCAGAGAAGACAGCTCCCTTTCCGCTCTTCTGGATAGGCTGGCCTGGCACTCCGCCATAGTCTTTTGCGGCGACTCCTGCTACAGCAGCGACCGCGGCCACGAGTGCTGAGCCGAACTTCATCTTTACTGTGTAAACCTCCCAGTTTTCCCCCTATCCAGTGATCCTTTTCGTCTGTCTGTCTGGAGAGAGATCGGATGCTGATTATCTCAAAAGGAACGGATGTGAAAATGTTTCACAAAACAGTTGTCGAAGGGCGGGAGTGCTTGTATGTATAAAATCCATTTTCCGGGAGGAATGTATGTATATATACCCGTATATATACCTATCTATGATACGAAAAGGCTGTTAAAGTAGTTAGTACATTGCATATCCTTGCACTGCCCGTGTTTACTTACTTACAAGGCTCTCCCGAAGGCCATGTATAAAACCCTCTTTATATCGCTGCTTTAGCAAAGTGCCCGGAATGACCGTTGCTCACCGACATAAATCTGTCAAGCTATCTTAAAACAGCATCAATTCCGTGTGAAAAAGGAATAGCTTGAAGATCCTGGATGTTGCTTTTTGCGAGTTCTCCTTTTTTCTTTTTTAACAATCATTACCCCTTAGAGATAGTATAAATGTGTATATTTATATATATAGGCATCGTATCCACTTGTTTCCATGCCAATAACAAATCTTCCTCTCTCGGTAGCCATATTCAGACGTCGGCTTGCTCCTGTATTTTTTCTATTGCAGCCGAGGGAGACCGAGAATCAAATACGGAGCAGAATCTGTGTCTCATTCAAGCAGTCAAGAGGGAAGGGGATTTGGAACATTCTCCGTAACTTACCGGCTGGTAAATTCGGCCAACCTGTAGTGGATCTCCTCCAGGCCAAGCTGGAGCCTGGTGTTTCAATTTCACTCCTTCGAGTTCGGTTCCACATTAATAGTTATTGACTGTGACTGGAGAGGTTCCTTTTCAGCTGATAATCCCACGTGGCGACTGATATGGCTCATGGCTTGGGAGGATGGAGGAGTGTAGCCCTGGTTATCTGTGGTATGTATGGACAGTTGATAATATGCAGCTTCGGCTAAAGTATGTCTTTTCTCTTGGGCGTATGGGGAACTCCGCGGCGAATTCATGATAAGAATATATATAGAACGAGGCTAGAAACCACAAGTTCCACAGTTAGCCAAGGGTACCAAACTTAATGTAGTTGATATCCTTTCTTTTTCTTATTTTGTTATTTGAAAGTCCTGCGATTCACAGTTATGAAGAGGATGGTGATGATCCTGAAGAACCGGAAGAAAAGAAGAGGAACCTTTGTATATCGCAATGCTGGGATAATGGAGGATCCCCTGGATAAGTTATGGGGCCAAGAACATGGCACGGTGACAGGCAACCGGCTTGTACATAACTTACTTGGGCCTCTCCCCTGCTTGAAACTATACTTAAGTATATGGATATCAAGCTTGAACCTTGCAAACTTGACAACCCTTGACACCAGCACCGACACCGAGACGGCACGATCGGAATGGTGTATCGGGCCACTGGTTTCGGGAGGTCTTCCTAGCTCCCGCCTGCCGGCCTACACAACGAAGTAGATCGAGGACAAGTGCCATGAAGTGGGAGGTCGGCCGGCCGATTCAGACCGTCCACCAAAAGCGCTGGATTCTGTCAGTATATAACTAAGCCGAGCAGGCTCTTGTTTCTAAAATCCCATCAGACTGCTTTATATTCCGCTTTGCTGGATCAACGTGGTGGTGCCACCGTCGGAGCCTGGGACCGGCTATAGCTATACGAGGCGAACCAGTGGTGGTCGGCGACGTTTGACTGGGGGGGTTGGAAAAAGGGGTCCCCGAAGACCGGGGGTGGGCAGGGTTGGTTTGGGCTTGAGGTGTCAGGATCCCAGTCTGTCCCACGGCCTGCAGGTGCTGCTGTGCGTTTGCGAGGGGGCATCTCATCCGCGACGTTGGCCTGTCTGCCTGCTGCCAGACACGAGCAAGTCCGTATTTGATATCGCTTTTTGCATCGTACCATCGCATCTTCTGCTGCTTCTTCTTCTTCCGACGAGTTAACCGAGTCTATAAAAGGCAGAGCAAGGTAGTAGTCACGTGGTCTATACATGGATGAGGCTTAGTTAAGCTAGTTAAGCTAACCCGAAAGTGGCAGGAAGAACGACCTTCCCAGCAAGTTTCATCTACTCGGGACGACGAGGACAAGGACGACAAGGACGACGACGAGATGAGATGAGATGCGCGATGGAGGCCGAAGCGGGCATCGACAGCGCAGCAAGTGATCGCCTTCTTCATCGTCAGCATCTCATCCACCCCAGCCACAAATCTAACTAAGGGGATCGATCCTCGCGCCACTGACGCTATAAACAGAGAAGGCTTATTGGGAAGCTAAAATCTCTGCACAAGACACTCACACACACCAAGAATTTCTTCGACTTGATTAGTTTTAGGAGAGACTAACGCCCAGTGTTATAAGCGATGTTGCAGCATCCATCATCAGCTCCTTTACGAAGACACGAGTCATGATTGATGAAATCTGCGACGCTGGCGTGGCGCTGCACCAATTGAAATGGCCCTTGGCTTAGCAGTCTCTGCTCCTGGCTGCGTCAGGGAAAGGGATTCAGTCAGAAGGCTTGGGAGATTATTGCTGCTGGTATTCTATTCTGACCATTATTGGCATCGTACGATTCGAACATAAACGAAAGTACAGAGTAGTTACTCTGTACAGTTACATCACTTGTTAGCTGCCATTTAGAGTTAGCGTACCTTGTGTGGGCGCAAGCATCTTGGTGGGTGATGATGGAACAAGAGCAAAAAACCGTCAAGACATGCTCCGAGGACTTTGTTGATCCTCTGAATCATATTTTTTTTTGTTGTTTCGTGTGCCAGCGGGTGACGACGGTGATTAGGGGAGCCTGACGTATACGACAACAGAGAAATTGGCAACCTGCTACAGGAACAACATATTGTCATCGACGCATCTCAAGTTTCCATGGAACCTTTCCAGTTCCCACAGAATCAGATATAACGGCTCTCTCTGCCGCCAATAAGGGCCTTCCCCTTTTGGCTCAGCGGTCGATCAATGCTTGGTAGAAGCAGGAGTCCCAACTAAGCATCGGAAAGAATTGAATCAATTGCCTATTGTATGTATATATATCTAATGCCATAGATAACTCAGTGCTAACATATATAGGATATATGACGAAACAATTTCACGGCTTATAGAAGAGAAGTAGATCAACGATCACCACTGGGTGGGCACGAGTGCCAATAATTGGAGCCTTGTTAAACCTTCACTTTCAAATCTAGTCCTCACTGAGGGCTCGATTTGTTTTACTGCACTTTGTTCAAAAACCCATTCTGAACCGATATACAGAATGAGAGTCAATAACAGGGAGCCTCAATCCGCGGTTTACTAATTTCTCTCACTTCTCACGTTCTCTTCACTGTACCTGATACGCCCTATTGCCTCGCGCTTTGTTGGATCTTTGAACTTTCCAGCTTCTTGCTCTCTCAAGCCATTACATTCTGCAAAATACTCTTGTCTACAAGCTTCTTTTCTTATACAAGTGGCTTTTGTCGAAGACCGTTCTCACTTGATCCACTCCAGCATACAATCACGGGGTGGTATCTAAGTCACCAACAGATTTGAACGAGGTACTTCTGGCGCTGGGCGACCGAAGTTCCCGGAGAAGAGCGTATCAAAGTTCTTAATAATGCGGTTTCCCAGGTTCCTGAAATTATTGAGGAAGAATACATAAGCCATATTTACATAAATGCCATCAGGATGGGTTAAGGACACCGTGTGCGAAAGCGGGCAGCGCTGTCCACTCCCTGGAACTCTCTGACCCGTTCGGGCGCTGGTCCAGGGGGCCTCCAGACCATGACAGACACCGGCAAACCCCCCTTCATCGTCATTTTGAGCAGCCTGAAACCCATCTTCTCATATACTCTACTATCTCTCATGCTTGATTCTAGCCCTATTGGAACGCGCTCATCGATTGCATGGCTTATACCGCGTCGTGTCAACAAGGGCCGTATTCCTTCTCCTTCGTATGCTGGATCAACTGCGAGGGTAGCCAAATACCACAGCTCTGGAAACACATCAGATGGGAAACTCTCCTCAAGTCGGAGTGAAGGCTCGTCAGAATTGACTCCTTTGCTTAACTGGAAGCATTGAGTTAAACTGTCTTGTAAGCTGGAAAGGGTTACCCGGAGGCCTGAGACGGAGACGCTTTCGTGAGCCAGCCATCCAGCCACAAGAGAAGAGGAACAATTCATTCATACCGTTTAAATTCCACTCATTGTTGTCAGACCATGCTTGCGCTGCGGGGCTTGTGCCCGTTCGCTTCCAAGCTGCATATCCAACAATTATTCCCCTGTGGTCCGTGGTGTCATCCTTGCTAGGAACTGCGACGGCGACATATATCACCCATCCGGGACTCAGATATCTCGATCGTATACTCTGGATAAATCCATCTATGGGGTCGCTGTGGTGGGCTTCCTTGCCTGAGTACAACGTTTTGCCCAGGCTGCTGTCATTTGCTAGAATTTCTGCTGCCGCTGGGAAGTCTGATGGCTGGATACGCCGGACTGTATAGCTTTGTCGTCGTGACTCTTCTCTGCTGATACCCTGAGACTCCATTATGATGATAACTAGTGTAAACTTTCTGTGATTGATAAGTTTTACTAGCTACCGAGCCAGTGATCATCCAGCGACTTTATCTGGCAGAGTTATCCTGTTGCCTATCGATATTGTGCTGCCTGGACGGCATCTCGGATGCAAATGCCAGGGATACAGAATCTTTCAGCCTGGCATGGCAGCTCATTTACGCAATATTATATCCGTGTCCCTGCAAGTTGTATGCCATTCTTACGTGGCTAACTTATGGCCAAACAATTCCCGTTGATGTCGCATTTCCGAGCCCAACTTGCGAATGAAAATGTCATCCATTGTGCAAGGCTTGTTTGACTATCCTCCAAGGATAACCTGCTCTCTGAATACCGATAACTGTCATTAAGCTGGAAGATATCAGAGCATCTACCAACAGTTGACAATGGATATGTTCACTACCATTTGGGATCACCGATCATCGGACATCATTGCATCATTGGGCAATAAGAGTTATCGTAGATATGTTGATTGCTCCCTAACAGACTTCAAATATATCCATCGGTGCCCCGGATGAAAAAAAAAAAAAAGGGCCCTATGTACGAAATAAATGTTCATAACGGTCATAAAATAGCCAGAGGGTCATTCTCCCATATTCAGTCACTCTTCAACATCCTCCCAATTGAGGTCATATATGACTCCATCTTCCTCTATATCAGTGCCACAACCAGCTTCTAGAGGAACAGTTAATTGGACTGGTTTCTTCCTACCAACAGTCGAATCACTGACGAGGATGTTCCATTCATTCCGGGTAATAGGAGTGACATCGGAGGCGCTATGAGGTGTCCGTGCTCTAAGCGGAGAGAGTGCCTTTGCAAAGCTAACTCTTCTCGTAGCCAGAGATGAGGCAGAAATCTCCTTCTTTTTAACCTTTTGCTTCTCCGCTCTTTCTTCCTTGGGCTTCGACACTATCACTTCAGGGTTAATGTCTGGCTTTGACTTCCCCTTTGGCTTAGACTCCGGATCCGATTCGGCGACAGGATCAGGGGCTGGAGGCTTTGGCAGAACAATGGCTACCTGCTTATAACGAGCAAAATATTCGTTGGCTATGTCGACAATGAGGTGGTCTTCAAAGTGCAAGTGGTTGTAAGCGTGATAGAAGAACGACTTGGCGAACGGCCGGCCTCCTGTACTCTGAACAGACTGTCGAAGGAGGTAAAGACAGGCATCGGTATAGATGCGGCTGGGGATACGGTCGATCATCGTGTTTGGTGTCACCCAGGGAGTGGAGAGGGCATTGAGATACTGTTTGAGAGTGTACGTGCGGTCAATGTTCAAGATAGTGAGCCCCTCAAGGCTGATCAAGACATCGTTCTGTTTCAGTGATCTATCGATGAGGTATTCCGGGTTGAACATTGCGTCCATGCCAGAGCTTGATGACGAGAGAGCCATCCATTTCGGCTGGAGATGGTACTTCCTTGCCGCTCGCCGGATATACTTGTTGAAAATATGGCGCTCATTGTCCGAGAGAGTGCCGACGGGAAAGACAGTGAGATTGCACCCTTGGCCAATAGGCAGTGGTTTGGAACGGGAGAGGATGAGAGTCAGGTGCAGTGTGTTAGACTGTAGCTTGCTTGAGACATATTCCAGTCCCGAGTAGACCTGGGGTGCAATCATGTTCGAGTCAAAGGCCGACTCCTGAGTTAAGGGTGGAGATATCATATCTCGGGTCAACGGATCGGTAGAGGGGGGACGTATATCCCCCCTGTTTCGAGATTGCTCGTGGAGAATCATCCTCTTTCTCCCTCCGCCGCCTGCTTGACCAGACGTTCAGACGGGCAGCAGCGATGTGAAGAAGAACGGCCACAATGATGAAACATCCCGATTGTTATATATCGTCATGAAGATGCACGCACACGACGCACACACTGGCCACTGTTCCTGCATTCCTCCGCCTGCAGCACCGCTTCCCCTCAATCACAAATTCCCGTCCAATAAGAGCCCGCCATCTCAGCTTCTATTAATAAACGGCCCGCCATCCCTGATCCTTGCCGCAGCCTAACCGCCGTGACGGAAGCGAGCTTTACCTGATAAAGAAATAGTGGGGTCAATTCCCCGCGCTTATTCGTTGGCTTCTTAAAGTTAATTTCTGGCCAAAAAACCCGGCGCTTAAGTTGAATCCTTCAAGAGGGATGAAGGTTGGGGAAGAGAAGGAAAGGCAGAAGGTACAGGGAAATGCAGACACTGTCAGGTATATTATTCTGTCCTGAGATGCCGCTCGTTGCTAAGTTACTGCATGTGCGTTCGGACCCCCCATGCAACAGTCATGACCCCTTCAATTAACTAACCAAACTCTACCTCTATTCTTAGAAGATCCCATCACAAGCCGGGTATCGGCCTAGCCACTCACAGATGCCATCACATCGGTATTTGTGTTGTGCTTAACCTTGCTGTTCCAGTTACCTGGTAGCCGTTTCTATATGAAACTCCCCAGTACTTCTATCTTTGGGGTTAAGGTTTCCATTCCAGCTCCTGGCTTGTTTCAGGAACAAGATGCGTTTTAGGGGTTTTCTTCGTTGGAACTACACATAACATCTTCGGAGTTGGCGCTATATATATTGCAACATATTCAGCTCTCTGTCTTCGGCTTGACAGGTCCAGAACGTGATCTAAAGATAGGATCGGAGAATAGGATAGGGTGCGAAGCGGGCTGTAGCTTGAGTGTGGTTATGCTGTCGTGAAGGAATCAGCCATGTATGTTATTGCTTCGTCTTAGACCTACTGAATTATCTATCAGGCTCTTATTGGTCTCCCACCTCTTTGCCGCAGGTAAATAATTAGCTGTCATTTAGTTAGCGCAGCAATGAAATTACCAGATCTGTAAAGCTGACAGCTATCACTCCAATTCTTATTTTAGCGTCTACCTCACATTAACCAAGCCAAGTAAGCACCGCTGATGATGAGATCTTCGCTAGTTATCCACCTCCTCAATCTCCAATGTTGAACCGGGGAAATGGCGTGGTCACATGACTGCTTCCGGCCTTCCTTACGGCCGAAACGAAAACGAAGCCGGACAAACAACTGCAAAAAGGAGACGAAATGACCATATTGGTGAACGCATAGGGCCGTCAAAACTCAGGGATCCGTACGCATGAGCTGCTTATTTTGAATGCGACGCTGGGACATGGTAACTTGCTTACCCTGATGTGATCGTCAAGCTGGTGAAACGAATCCGGTGTAATTCCCTACGTGCGCAAAATCGCCTTATTCTATATAGCTGGGGGGTCTCCCAGCCAATGAGTGCCAGGAAGGTCGAAGGTGCCTTGCCAGTCTGTCATGATGTACGGAGCATGCATATCTATATCTGCGAAGATTAGCCATATATGATGATGCCTAGTCAAGGGCGTGCGTGAGATTGAACTTTAGTGTGCAATGCACCGAGGCAGTCGGTGAACTACCCAGCTGCAGTCTACACCTCTACGGACGTAACGAAGCGGGCATCAATGTAGGCCGGATGAATATCAACAAGGTCATGTTCTGTCCTGAAGTGTAAGCAGCACGGCAGTCCGCTTGTTCAATTTCATCAACCGGCTGATTCTGCGGCTGATTGACGTCCTGATACGTATCCAGGAGCGCCGGGGCTAGAAGGTATATATACATACATATTGCCTGACATTATCCGCTGGGAGGATTAATGCATCATACCAGAAAATTCCTTCTCAAAACCAACACCTACTGCGACTTACTTCCCATTACGGCATTAATATACCCTATAAATTGATCATGGAGACAAAGGCTCAAATACCCAAGGGATCTCCTTCATTATCAGACTGGCCAAACTACCAAGGGGTATGTTTCTCCTGCCTTTTGTTTTTATTATGTACTAATGAATGCAACTAGTTTGATACTTCATATGAAGAAAGGTCTCCTGTCGAGCTGAAGGTGACTGGAAAGATCCCACCGTGGGCAGCCGGTACGCTGTTCCGCACAGGAATCGGTCGGGGACAGATTGAATCGGACAAAGGAGTGTATCGAGTCTGCCACTGGTTCGATGGCTTTGCAGTCGTGCATAGATTTCAGATTCTAGCACCCGATGAAGAGCATCCTGAAATCAGAGTCATATACAACTCTCGCAGTACTTGTGATGGCCTGATTGAAATGATCCGAAAGACCGGCGAGCGGAAGACGATGACCTTTGCAAGGAAATACGACCCCTGCCAGAGCTACTTCAAAAAGGTCATGTCTGTCTTCCAGGCCGATCGACCACGCAAACCAGATGAATACTCTATGGCCATTACGCTATCCGTTGACTTTCCGGGCCTAGAATCTGTGGGAACGAAGAAACCTGTTGGACATGGCTCCAGTATCCAGTATCTTGTCAACAAGACGGATTCGGCGGTATTGCAGACGCTGGACCCGGAAACCCTTGAGCCCGTGGGGATTGCAAAGCAGCATGCCCTTCACCCGGAGCTTCGAGGCCCCATGTCTGGAGCTCATGCGAAATCCGACCCGGTAACGGGTGACGTTTACAACTTCAACCTTGAGTTCGGAATGACACCGACGTACCGAGTGTTTACCGTCTCTCGGTCAACTGGCAAGACGTCTATATTGGCGACTATAACGGATGCTACCCCGGCTTATATCCATTCAATCTTCCTAACGGAGAACTATGTGGTTCTTTGTGTGTGGAACTCCTTCTTTGTGGCCAACGGTATGAAGATCCTGTGGACGAGAAACGTTCTCGATGCGATTGGGGAGTATGATGCGTCTCGTCCTGCTAGGTGGTTTGTGGTTGATCGCCGGACTGCTGAAAATGGCGGCAGGGGACTAGTAGCTACGTTTGAGAGTGATCCGTTCTTCTGCTTCCATAGCGTGAATGCGTATGAAGTGCCATCTCAGACCGGGCCAGGAACGGACATTATAGCGGATTTGGTTGCGTATGAGAACCTCAACGCCCTGAAGTGTTTCTACCTGGACAATCTCAAGTCGAATTCACCTAATGCAGGAAAGACAAAGGCGGCGAATGAGTTTTCATCTGCCCTCGTGAGATATCGTCTGCAGAATATATTGCTGGAGGCCACCTCAGAAGATGTACAAACAGCTAGAAAGGCTGTTCTTGAGCGCAAGTCTGAGCCGATTCAGTCGCCGGAGCTGCCAACACTTAATCCACGTTTCATTACTCGGCCACATCGGTATATATATGCAGTGAACTTCACGGGATCATCTACTTTCTTCGACGGACTGGTGAAGATGGATACAAGAACACACGAGAGCAAGTTCTGGTCTCGTCAGGGGCAAAGTGCAGGAGAACCAATCTTTGTCCCACGAACTAAGGGTCCACTGGTGGATGTTTTAGCGGGGGACGACGGTTCCGAGGAGGACGACGGGGTGTTGCTGTCTGTTGTGCTTGATGGGCTGTCAGGGAGCTCGTATCTGCTTGTGCTTGATGCAAAGACTATGACTGAAGTAGGCAGGGCAGAGCTCAATGGTGCTATTGGCTTTGGGTTCCATGGCATACATGTTCGTTCAAACGAGCAGAAAGGAATCGACTTCTAAGATGGCTCCATCTACCTGGTGTAATTTCTAGTATTTTTTTTTATTCACAAATATTCACTTCTAACTCCTAATGGTAATATTAAACACAGGAATAGTGGGTATTGTATGCAAGTCTATCCCAGTCGAGAACCATTTCATCCGAACAGGCCATGCATTAAATCTATCAGAACCGTAAACTCGTAAATAAAGGGTATCATTTCCTCCATGAGTCTCGTAGGATGACAACTTCATCCCAGATATTCTCTCTTGCTCGTTCCCGTGTAAGACCACGGCGAATCATGTCATCATACTCGGTATGGACGTGTCTGATATGGGCTTCAACTGCCAGCCTAACCTTGTCTTTCTCACTGGCAACCTTGCCACTCCTTCCGACTCGTCTGGACCCCTTGAGAAAGGCGTGATTGAGAACTGCTGTGAGATCTGACCTGGGCATGTTAGGGAACTCCTTAAGCAGCAGCTCCCGTGCCTTCTGTCGATCCCGGGCGTCCTTCTGAGCCACGGCCCTTTTGCGGTCTTCGGATGTCTCCTTGGACTCCAGCTCGACGGCTGCTTGCACGCTGGCCGGGACGTACAGGCCGGTTTGCTTATAAGTTGTGGAACACTGGGCAACGGGTTAGAATCATCAGTTTGAAGCTCAAAAGGGGGTGCAACTATGGAGGCCTTACGTAGACTGTATACACGGGAGAGCCGAGATCGTGTGTCTGTGACCGACATTTCCTAGTGATATAGACGTTTCCCTTGGGCACAAAGACGTATCCTGGCGGTCGAGGCTGGTTGTCAAGAAGAATCTGGCAGCTGTTAGTCCCTATTAGGTGTATAAGAAGTAAAGTTACAGGCCAATGGCCAACGTACATCTTCAGGCACAAATCCATGGGCCGTCTTTGAGTAAGAGATATCTCTAAGCTTGTCTTTCAGTGCCTTTGGCATGGGCTTTGCTCGCTTTCTAACTCCTTTTCGAATCCCTCCAGCCCCCTTTTTGGCCCTGGATTGGCGTTGCTGTCGCTGCGGTTTGCCCATCTTTGGTGAGAGAAACTGAATTGCGGGCTAAATAGGAGGAGAGAGAAGAAGAAGAAGAGCAGCTCTGCGAGTAACTGTCATGGAGAGAAGGATGTCGATGTCATGGTCCTTTGCAGCTGGTCAGGTTGAGAATATGGCTGCCTCGAGGTGGACTTGTAGTTAGTTGTTAGGAAGATGAAGAAGACAAAGATGAAGCTGTGTTGCTTGTTCATAGCAACAACACAGCAACCAGCCACCCAATTAACTAGTTAACTACTTAGATGAACGGCCATCAGGGTGATATCTCGCCTTCATGGCAGTTGACTATGATGATTTATATCTATCTACTGGCTACTCGATAGAGACTCACCGTCTCTATGGCTTGGTCGAGACGCTCACTGCTTCACTTCTCCAACTAACAACACTGCTAACTACGGAATACTTAGATCAACGAACAGCAACCGAATACTTGTCAGTTACTTGACTACAGCTTCATCATGACGTCTGCCCAGCGACTAAAAGGCTCGTTCATGTCCAGTCTCGCCGCAGTTTGACACCAACCCGGTGCCATCGCCTTATCCGTGGATAGTTGGAAGGGATACCAACGCCGCCGTACAGGCCGTGAACCGGTATATTAGAGTGAGCCTCAGGCCGCTGCAGTTATATTAGGCTCATCCTTGGACAGCGAGACGGACATTGACCGCAGAAGACCGTGGAGGAGACGGCGTTGCACAGCCAGGAGATCTGCTCGGTGACCTTGGCCAGCCAGCCCTGAACCACGACTAGTGAGCAAGTTGGCGAGACTAACTCGTTAACTAACAGATGCAAGGAATCCAGAGGATGAGCTGATGTTTGCTTGCCAATAACAACTAGTCAATGCCTGCATGAGCATCCCTCTCGTGTCGACGGAGCAGGGCCATGGAAGCGGCACGGATGGCAACGTCGGCGTCGCCTAGAGGCAGGATGGCATCGCCCCCTGCACAATAACTAATCAACATAAAGACTCCCAGAGGGGTGCCTCGCTGCCACCAAGAAGGACATTCTCCGGCCCTCCTCTCTTTCGATGGAGTAATAGGGCCCTCTTTTTTCTCAGGAACACCCGGCAGCAGTGAGGAGATTTTACGGCTAAGCAGCTTTAATTAATTAACTACGGAGTCATGAACCGCGGACACACGACAGAGGGGGAGACAAGCAGCTGAAGCGGGTTCCATCTTCCATCCAGCGAGCTCCTGGCCAATTCCGAGGGCGCAAACAATCCAATCACCGGCTGGGGGGCCAGGGGTGCCAGGGGGGGGGGGCAACACCACCTTAACTAGCTTACGATATAAATTTCTCCTGGTGGAGATCCGAGATCTTCAAGCTCTTCAAGCAAAGGAAGGGGGAAAAAAATAAAAGAAAAAAAGGAAGTGCGACTTCTCGGCTGCAGGCACAGAGCGGCGTGCATACGGTGCTATGATTACGCCGTCCCTGAGACTGAGGGAGTGCTAGTTAACAATGTGCTATGATATGCATCCGTCGAATACAAGCAAGTTAGCTGGCTGGTCCAGGGGTCGACGGAGTTTCTGGTTTGCAGCTCAACTTCTTTGATCGATCCCAAAACGGACTGACCCCTCGATGGATGGACCGGCCAGAGCCAGTTTAAACTAGCTTTAACCACCTGTTGGTTGACTGGTTTGCTCCCGTACCAGTGACCAGCTTCCCTTCTCCCTCCTTTTGGCTCTCGAGGGAGTACATGGCCGTACCTATACATGCAGTCTCACGTCAGAACTGGCACAGCCACCAAGGTTGAGAAGGTACAGGTACTTCTGGCTACCACCACGCATGCTGGTTCCATCCGTTGGTGGCCTACCAAAACGCTGTCCACGAAGAAGCTTTTGGGCCTTTCCTGGTTCTCGAGATCTCTATCTACACGACTATTATTTACCGAGCCATCTATCTCATTTCTCCAGCCTTGGACAGGGCAAATGGGGACCAGGGCGGGTGTGACAGAGGGCAGGCCGGGCGCTCTCAGGAAGTGGGCATCCATGGAATGGGACGGACGGAGCTCTTCCTGCACTCGCATTCCCACTGGAGAGGGTTAAAATTTAGGGAAGACGCAGAAGAGGCAATGCAGCAGACGACGAAGCCCGGATTAAAGACGTGCATCCATCGCATCTTGCAGCCTTTATTGAAGCATGGCCCGGAGTCTTTCTATACATATATATCCATTATATATCAACTCCGTAACCAGCTAGCTAGTTATACGAACGAGGACGGCGTCTTTCTTTGACCGTTTCAGCTTTGCCTGACTACAAACTAAATGAATAATAACTAAACATCCAAGTAATTTGTTGCTTAAATAAATATTATATTTTTATATTTCTTTTCTTTTCTCTTGCCTGTGCTGCCTGATCGATCATCCCTGGCCGTCGCTCTGGTTGCCTGGCCTTCTTCTCCTGCGTCTGCCTGTCCTTCTTCTCGTCTTCGTCTTCGCCTTCGTTTCTTCTTCCTGCCCGGCGTCGACCTTTTTTTCTCTTTCTCCCGACTTTCTCCCTTTTCTCCCTCGCCCTCAATCAAATCCGAAGAAAGACGGGCAAGGGGCCAACGGCTTGCTGCAAACGAGGTGATATCACCCCTTGCTGCTCTATCTGCTTAGTCGCCCCGTTAATGGTAGAGACTTGACTGGCTGACTCTCCTCTAGGGCTTTATTTTTTCCATCCTTCCTCCGCTGCGTTTGTCCCTGACTGGCCTTTCGACCTCCCACCTCCGAACGACCACGACGGCCACCCTCGAACCAGGCATAAAAAAACAAGGGACCGCCAGAGACGGTACAGACGGTAGAGACGGGCTTGAGCCTGACCTCCTGGAGCGTTGTGCCGGTGCTTGTCGGGGCCTCGTCTGCCGCTCGTCTCGCCTCATGCTGCTCTGGGCGTAATCTGCTGCTATGAATTGGGACTACCCTATCCACAGGTATGTCCGACATCTGCTCTCTCCCGGAGTGACGGGAGACAAGGGGCCGAAGGGGAGTGGAAAAATCCATGTCTTGCAGACGGATAGGCGGATTCTGACTCTCGTTTCTTTTCACCTTTACTCACTTCTACAGCTTTACGGATCCTAATGTTGAGCCTCAAACGCCCACGAGAACGCCCACGACCAGCTCGTTTGAGACCCCGAAGCTCGAGTCCAGCTTCTACGACCCGCGGGTGACATGGAACACTGCAGACCCCTATGCCTCCAGCCCGGAGCTGGTCAAGTTTCCTCCCCGCTTTGACCTGGCCTCGCCGTCTCCCCAGCGAGGTATGTATGCATTTAGACTTTTTATATTCGAATATATTTATTTCGATCATCTACAGGCCGGACTTCTAGTACGTGTGTGCGCTAACTTTTGATAGGCCAATTGCCAGAGGCTGAAGGGGGAGACTCTCTGGCTTCCAGCAGCGTGAGAAAGACGAGGCCATTGAGCACCATCTTCAGCTCAGGGCCAGACATGTCAGACGGAGTCGATGCCACCAGCCGCTCGGCTGCCTCGATGCAGACCCCGCCGCCCACCAGCACCTCGAGGAGAAGGACGCTGGATGCTATGAATGTAACGACTGATGACGCTGCCACGCCCGTGCAAGACCCCAACCCTAACCGTCTCGAGACCCCCAGCCGCTTCGTCGGCCTCTCCCCCAACTTCTACGGCCTGCAGGGCACCCCTGATCTGTTCCGGGTTGCCGGTGCATCTGCCACCGAACCATCCTTTATCCCTCGATACTCGATGCCATGGGACCAGGAGAATATCCCTCCGCCCTCGGCTATGATGGATGATGACACCCCTGCTTCTTCTTCTGCTGATGCTGCCACTTCTGCTGCTACATACACCAACAACAATGGCAACCTCGACATATCCACTCAGGGTCCCCTGGAGCACTCCGTCGAGGAGGTATTTGATGCTGATCCGGCGAGTGAGATTGGGTTGGAGACTCCCAGGTTGCCTGTGACCCAGTCCATTGGGAGAAGACGGGTTGGTTTGGGTATTCCTCAAGACCCACGATACCTCGAGGCACAGCAGGGGGCCGGTATCAACTCTTCCTTCTCGGCTTCACCCCGTATGCCTCTACCACCAGACGATGACCCATCAATGTTTCTTAGCTCGCCTGCTCGACGATTCGGCTTTTCTGACCCGTCATACTCATACACCCCCCATGCTCCCCGGATAGAGAACCGCCAGCCCTACCATTATCAAACGGAAGAGTCCGAGCGGGACAAGCGGGAAAGGGGGTTGTGCAAGATATCACGGACGAGAAGTGTCGGCCATCCGCGCAGAACGACTGCTAATGCCGGTGTTGCTGGTGCTGCTACCAACTATGAAGACTCCTATGCTTCGCTTCCTCGGCCTCCTGGCAGACCACCGCCGAGACGGATCACGACATATTCTGGGGCGGTATCTCGCCAAGCTTCGTTTTCATCCACCACCTCCGGCGCCCTTCCTGGAAGCGGAGTGAGGAAGACTCCCTCCAAGGGCCGCACCTCGCCGTTCAAGCAGATGCATTCTTTCCAACGATCTGCCTCTCTGGCTGCGCCAATGGAGTCTCTCGTCCTCAAAGTTGGAAAGGACGGAATTGCCACGACTGAGATGAAAATGGCGGCACACTCTCAGTCTCAACTGCCCGATGTGTCCCCTGATATCAGCATCGAGGAGCTCTCCACAGAGAGTGACAGTGACATATCAGATACTTCAGAGCGTCGACTTGGCAGAGTGCGGAATCCATCGTATCATTTCCCTGATATCACCCCTCGTCGGTCCCGCATTGCTGGTACACCCTCGTCTTCCCGTCCGCACTCCAAGTGCTCGTCTCGTTCGTCCACAGTGGGATCCTCGCATTCAGGGTACAACCCCGGCTGGACGGATACTTCTCGCGGCAGGGGTAAACAGCTCGATGCTTGGGATGGACGTCGTCGTCATTCCCGAAACTACTCGATTACCGACTCGGAGTCTACTCAGGAAGATGATGAAGAGGAGGAAACTGACGATGCGGGTCATGCCCAGCATGCTCTCAAGCAAGTGCTCCAGGCACGTAAACGTCAGTCAGCCGCTGCCGGTACCGCTGCCCCTACTTCTGCAACTACATCAGGGTATGCATCTGCCTCCCGAGCATCTCAGTCACTGGGCCATGGCCACCCTGCGGTCCTCGCCTCCGCTCGTCGGATACCCTGAGTCCTCATGGGCCGGAGACTCCAGCTCGCCAACTAAGATGACTGACCCTGATACCGCCCCTACGCCCGTCGTGGAACGCCAGAACAACCCTAGCACAGGGACAAGGTGTGTGTGTAATTCGAGGAATAACGGTGGGCACCTCATGATCCAATGGTGAGACCTCACTTCACTAAATACATATCTAACCGCCCCGTCGACTGAATCTGACTGACTTCTTTTGGGTTGTAGTGAATCGTGCACCCACTGGCTTCATACAAGATGTGTTGGGCTTGACCGACAGAGTCTGCCGCCCGTATACATCTGTATTTATTGCGTGCAGACTCCCGTCCGCCGGCAACGAGCTCCCGACCCGCGAGCCCGGGGTGGCCATGTCTCTTCCCCCCTCACCCACAAGTCCTACGGCTTCAAATAAGCCGTGTATACACAGATCGACTCTTCCAACCTGCATGATAATCCGATAATCTTGTTTCGTATACTCTTCGTTTTCCTTTGTGATGCCCCCCACCCTTTTTATCAAGTCCCCAGCCCACCTTATATAACTCTTACTCATTATACCAAGCCCTCCTAGATCTTCCCTGCTCGTGTGTTACAATACCCCCCAGCGTTTGCATGTGCCGACGCTGCATCCTTCTTCTGTACATATCTCTTGTATCTTCCGATATTACAACTAACCTTCTGTCTTTATCTCGACTGTGTCTCTTCTTTATTTTCCTTGCGTGTTGTAAGTATATAAACACCCGGACGTAAGCGTACCTAAACTCCGCATCATGTGACTCACTAGACCGAAATCGGCGACAGATAGCCGCGATCTCAAGATTAGCTCGCGGCTAAATAAGCGCCGGAAGCTTTAAACTTTTTCCGGTTTTCTGCCGGCTCTTCGGCTCTATTACCCTTCACCGCCTTTCGGCTCACGTGGCCTTGGCTTCGCGCGGCTAGAAAAAGTAAAAAAAAAAAAAGCGTGAGTAAAACGCAAGAGCGAAGACGCAGCAGGCGAAAGACAGACAACGAGAAAGAAAGAACAAACAACATCCCACCCTCGCCTTTCGCTGTTCGTCCCTGCTGTCGTTGTCCTCTCCAGCCATCGCTGCCGTCGAACAGCCGAACAACTAGGAGATAACTACTCTGTCCCGCCTGCAATCTTGCGATGGCTGCGTCGACCTCGACCTCCGGCAATCGGGACCTCCCTGCATCCAAGTATGACCTAAGCACTTACTGGGGTCGGGTTAGGCAGTCCGCAGAGCTATGCGATCCAAGGTATGTCTTTTTATGGGCACATGCGTGGAAACATTGAAGGTCGATAACCGCCCGGAGCCTTCTGTCCGCCTGGGCGGTAGGGGAGCCCTGACGGTTACCTGACTTTTTTTTATTTTTTATTTGTTGTCCCTTGTCCTGAGTCATTAATCCCGGTGTTGGTCAAGCGTCGCTGACTGGTTTACCCTGGAACCTGCGTGTAGGACCCTGTTTGTGTCTGCAGATGGCCTGGAAAACGCAAAGAAACTGATTGAGTCGTATAAGGGCGGCCAGCTGCTGTCCATGACGCCGGAGTTATGGCATGCGAAGAAAGTGGTAGACTCAACACTTCATCCCGGTACGTTGAATCGCATCTAACTCGGCAGAGTCGGCTGTACGGCATCTGACATTGACGATAGATACTGGCGAACCGGTGTTTTTCCCCTTTCGCATGTCATGTTTCGTCCTCTCCAACTTGATTGTGACGGCGGGCATGCTCACACCTGGCTTGGGCGTACGTCTTCCCCTCGTTGCCTCTTTTCTTTTTCTCACTCTGTTCGGGTAAAGGATGAATTGGGTCTGACGAGCCATTAGACAACGGGAACACTTCTGTGGCAGATAGGCAACCAGTCGCTTAACGTTGCTATCAACAATGCCAATGCTAACAAGTCCACTCCTCTTTCTACCTCTGCCATGGTCAAGTCGTACCTGATGGCCGTCTCGGCGTCATGCTCTGTTGCCCTGGGCCTCAATGCGATGGTCCCACGGCTCAAGGTGGCGCCCAATACAAAGCTGATACTCGGCCGTCTTGTCCCCTTTGCTGCCGTGGCTACAGCCGGTGCTCTAAACGTCTTCTTGATGCGCGGCGAGGAGATCAGACAGGGCATTGACGTCTATCCCGCCGAGCCAAAGAACAGGAGCGCGGGCGCAGAAGTCAAGAGTGAGGGCGCCGAGGTGCAGAGTCTCGGAAAGAGTAAGAAGGCGGCTACTCTGGCTGTGGGCGAGACGGCCATCAGCCGAGTATTGAACTCGACTCCCATCATGGTTCTGCCGCCATTGATACTCGTTCGTCTGCAGCAGATGCAGTGGCTCAAGACCCGGCCACGACTGGTTCTTCCAGTCAACTTGGGTGAGTCTCACCCCTTTTGCGTATACAGTCCGTGATGCTAACGCTTTGCCTTGCAGGCCTAATTCTAACGACATCCATCTTTGCCTTGCCTCTGGCCCTGGGCGCGTTTCCCCAGCGCCAGGCCGTGCAAGCATCCTCTCTGGAGGAAGAGTTCTGGGGCCGTGGTGGAAGCACCGGCCTAGTTGAGTTCAATCGTGGCATCTAACCGGACCACCTTGCTTGACATTTAACCTTTTTCATATTTTCTGCTATTTTCTGCTATTCCCCGGGCTTTATGACATTTGCAGAGCCTTGTTTTTTTTTCCTCTCTCTCTCTTCTGACTATGTTGTCTATTTGGGTTCGCTGACTGCAGGCCCGGGCCAGTCGTAGCGAGGCGTCCTAGATTGTTGTCCCTTTTTTACCTTGTTCATTCTGATTCCCTTCCCACCGAGCGAGTTTCGCCCTGTCATGCTGAGCAGACAGACATGGCGGGTGGATTTCTGGCAAATTTGAAGTTTGATAGACAGACTTAGACCACTATCCAGGTTGGTATGACCAGCCTCAGCATCATAAATGACATGATCTTGATGTTCTTATCCCTAAACTCTCAGGCTAATGAGTAGTTCGAAGAGAGAACCGAAAAGGGTAGTCAGATATTTGCCACCCGGCGTTCTCGTGAGATATATATACTACCACCACTTCGACGGAAATCACCACCGGCAACAAGACCGGATCCACGGGCTATGACGGTTATACATCACGGTCTCTGCTCTCTCTGCTGGCGTAGGGCGAGCAGAACCAGGGATGGAGCACCACCCGGTGACGCTGCCAGTCCATGTGACGGCGCTGTCCCTGCTGGTTCTCCGTCAGTCTACGACGACCGAGATCAGCCTGGCTCTGCCACTGGGCCCTCGACTTTGCCGTACGACGTGGACGGAGGTGACCTGTGGCTGTGATCAGTCCGTCTTCTCTCCGGTAGCCAGAAAGACCTAGCACTCGTAGTTGTAGACTCACCAGCACCTTATATAGCCAACAGACCACCATCACCACGCCGAGCAGGGAATCCCTCTTTGCTCCCATAGACAGTAGAATAAACACCTCGCCGTCGTCAACCTCATCGTCGTTGTCTTCTTGTCGTTGTCTTCTTGTCGTTGTCTTCTTGTCGTCGTCGTCTTTCTGCCGCGTCCCCAAAAGGGTTGCCGCCTTCGACGTCGACGCAAAAAGAGGAAAAAAAAAAAATCTCCAACTTCAACCTCGCAACATCAACAACGCCAGACAAGAAAAAAGGCGACGACGAGGACGGCGACGAGATCTTGACCGTCGAGAGTCGCTTCTGCGGCCTTCATGCTCGCCCTGACGCCCTGATCTCCGCCGCAATGACTGCCTCGACCTGTTTCCCCCGCCTGTGAGCACCGCCTGAGTCCTTCTGCGTCGGCCCTGCTTTTCCTCCTGCTGCCACCGCCACCAGACCAGACCAGCGCTCCCCTGAGGACCAGCGAGCGAACCAGCGAGACAGGAAAAGTCTGAGAAACACGACTCTTTCATCCTTTCGAGAGATACAACTACGGAGAGTCATTCGTCTTCTGCTCAGGTTCGTTTTTACATCCTCCCTTTCCGACCAAAGTGCTTTTTTCCCTCCCTGGCGTTGGTGTCGTTTCGCCCGTCGCATCGACCACACAACACCCACACCCACACCCAGCCTACGAACGGCTCTTTTCCTTCTACGCCTTTCTCTTCGCCTTCGCCTTCGCCTTCGAACGGCTGCGAGATCCTGCCCTCTCACTTTCTTCTCACACCTTCTTCTTTTTGCTCCAGGGGGTTTTCCTTTGTCGATTCATCTTCCCCTTCAGCTCCGGGCCTTGTGTGTGTAGACCCTGCTGTCACATCGCTCCCTGGATCTCGCCAGAAGGAGAGAGAAAAATTATACCACCCCGTTTTCCGTGGCCGGCAGCTCCGGTTTTAGGGGGAACTTCGCCATGTCGACCCCTTCTACTGCTACGGCAACCCATCCATCTCACCAGCGTTACGGATACTCCCGTCATCAAGTATACCACCAGCCTAATCCCCAGTCGTTCCCCACCGCGTCAGCGGCGAGCAATGCGCTTGCAAACCCCTTCAGCTACACGTCCAACCATCAGTCGACCACCAACGGCCTTTCGCTAGCATCCACGCCCAAAACGACCGCTCCAGTGCCTTCCATGGCCTCCTACAGCACACCCACGGTCCTCCCGACTGCCCACAGTCGGCGGAAACAGCCAGACTGGGGAGAGTTTTATAAGAACGGCGTCCCCAAGGAGATAATTGTTATTGACGACGACGATGATGACGATAATACAAACAACGATGCTGTGCCCGTCTCTGCTTCTGCAGTGACATCATCCACCAGGACTGCACCCCGTGTTGCCCCCTCTGCCTCTTCTTCCAACCTGCCGGCAAACAAGAAACGAAGGACCGACGCCAGTTCAGGCGTCGACGTCTACTACGAACGCCCTACCTACTCTGCCTCCTCCCAAAAATACGGCGAGGGCTCGTCTGCGGCGCCTTCAATGTCAACCGACCGCACCGCCTCTATTCATACCACCGCTCCCACCTCACTTGGCTCGCAGGCTAGCGGTTCTGCAGCCAACAACGCCTACCTTGATGATGTCGCTGTCGGCCAGAAGCGGAAGCGAGTCGTGACACGTAAGGCTGCACGTGATGAATTGAAACGAAGAGAACTCGAGACCGTTGGCGATGCCTTCAGCAGCTATATTCCTCCTCCAAAGCCGCCCATCAAGGCCAAAGATGTCGTTGTCCCGGTCATCCGCGATGTATGATCCCCTTCCCATCCTAGCCTGCATCACATTGCATTATCGCATACCACATCAAAAAACATTACTAATGCCTTTTTTTGGATAGTACAACGCGAATAAAAACCAGAAGATCGACGATGAAGATGGACATTACATCGTCAACCCGGATACCAATCTCACCGACAAATGTACGTTTCCCCGTTGATGTCCCTAGTCATTTCGCAGAACTAACAGTTTATTCCCGGCTAGACTCAATTATTCGCCTTCTAGGCCAAGGGACATTTGGCAAGGTCGTGGAGGCATATGATAGACAAAGAAAGACTCGCTGTGCAGTGAAGATCATCAGATCGGTCCAGAAATACCGTGATGCCTCTCGGATCGAACTTCGAGTCCTATCAACTCTCGCGTCCAACGACGAAACCAATAGAAATCGGTGTATCCATCTTCGGGACTGTTTCGATTTCAGAAACCACATCTGCATCGTTACCGACTTGCTGGGCCAGAGTGTGTTTGATTTCCTAAAAGCAAACTCCTTCGTCCCATTCCCAAGCAGCCAAATCCAAAACTTCGCTAGACAACTTTTCACCAGTGTTGCCTGTAAGTGAATCATCTTATCCACCGCTAGATACATCCTTACTGACTCAACTCTAGTTCTACACGATGTCAACCTTATACACACCGATTTGAAACCTGAAAATATTCTTCTCGTCAGCAATGCTTACCAGACGTTTACATATAACCGAACCATCCCCTCTTCCTCTCACACAACCTCGAGGACCGCTCGGCAACGACGTGTCCTGCTCGACAGCGAGATTCGTCTAATAGACTTCGGGTCTGCGACCTTTGACGATGAATATCATTCTTCCGTGGTTTCGACTCGGCATTACCGTGCCCCTGAGATTATCCTCAATCTTGGATGGAGCTTCCCCTGCGATATCTGGAGTATAGGCTGTATCTTGGTTGAGTTCTTCACCGGAGATGCCCTCTTCCAGACGCACGACAACCTCGAGCACCTCGCCATGATGGAGAGCGTTTGTGGCGGTAAAATAGATCCAAAGCTTGTCAGACAAGTTCTACAAGGCCGTAACGGACACGGTGCCGATTCTGCTGCTAAGTACGTCTACCGCCTCGCCTCTGCGTAGAATTTTTCCATACTAATTATAACTCTTCTAGATACTTCAACCGCACCAAACTTGACTATCCAAATGAAGATACCTCTAGAGCGTCAAGAAAATACGTAAAAGCAATGAAACAACTTCACGTAAGTTTGCAGCAAGTTGCTCAGGTTCTACTCACTAGATGATCATGCTAACAAACAGCCTGATAGGAATTCATTCCTGCAACAACCTCCTTTAACAAACAATTCCTTGACCTGCTTCGCCGCATCTTCGTCTATGATCCCAAGGTTCGCATTACTGCCAAAGAGGCCCTCAAGCACCCATGGTTCAAGGATACTATCATCGACGATGGTACCGAGGCAGTCCGAATCCGCCAGGAGCAGCAGCGTGGGGCCTGAGATTGCCTCACTAATCCCACCACCGTTTACACCGTTCCGAATAAGCCCTACCTATCTCCCCCAAATATATCAGTGTTTATCTTTTACTCTTTATTACTAAATTCTTTTCTCCCTCTTATTCCACGGAGCATTTGCCCATATAATTCTCGTGCCGGCTGATACCATATATTCCTCCCTCTAAATGCCAGACACTTACTCTCTCCTTCTTTCTCTCATTTTTTTTTTTTGGAAGCCGACTGTGTCAGTGAACTGTTATATCACATAAGTACCGGACAGTTAACACCAGTGGCCTCTCTTTTCCACTTACTTAACCTTTGTCTTCTTGTTTATTACTTTTTATGTCACCTTAGACGCTATTTTTTGACTTTGCTTTTCATTTTTTTTTTTTTTTTTTTCCCCTCTCCTGTCGTACTTCTTTTTGTTCCTGTTGATTTTGTGTCAATTTCCTTGATGATTCGGCGATGCTTGGTGCTCTTACATCTACGCCAAATACTCTTTGTCCTTTCATGATCCGGGAAATATGACCGCTCTCCATTTGGCGTTTATATTAGCTAGGTATGATGGGTGGTATGGGGAACGGGAGAGAGATACGAGGGCTGCGGTGGAGGACTTCAGTTTCCTTGTTTGAGGTGGATTAATGAAGACGACTTTACTTTCATATTATTAAATCTCTCCTTTTTTGATTAAAAAGAGTATATATGCTGTGCCTTGCTACGGGCACGTTCTGCAAATACTGCGGTTGCCGATTCCCATGGTGTCCTTTTTTTTCATACTAGACTTTAATTTGTGAGCGTCTTTTCGTATTACCCTAGACGCGGTATTAAGGTTGTGTGGTATAATGAGGTATATCTTCGTCGATAGTTACAGGTAGGTCTGATTTTACTTTTTGTTAGAACTGAAGACTTGATCATAATGCTACGAGTCAAGTTTACGATCCACAACTTATAAGATGTGATAATGATTATCAAAGAACTCAAGAGTGATGTGCACATCGGTAGATTGAATTTGACGGCTGAAACGACTGAAAAAGAACCGAAGTTATATAACCATAAATCCTTCTGTCCACCAGGGAGCCAAGGAAACCATTCACAACTGCATCGACTATACCCTTATCTTTATCCTCTCAAGTCTTCTTCTCAAGACCGCTCAGGAGAAATGCCTATATGTGAGTTAGTTATATGAAAGTGATCAGGAATTACCTCCGAAGAATTAATCAGACTATAGCACATACCAGGAGAGAGGGAAAACTCCAGGGGAAGCATTGTTGGTCAAGGCATTCCATGGGCCAAGGGCAAAGTCAATATCTCCAGGTCCGCAAGTTGGACAGGTATCAGCCACAGTGACGGTAACAGTCTTTCCATTGCTGGTGTTCTTAGCAGATATACGTCTACCACAGTAAGGGCTCTTAGGGCCTTTCATGTAATTGGGGCCTAGAGCAACGATGTAGTCTCCATCTCCGTGCACTGCGCCACATGAGCCTGCTGCCCCCATCTGATAGTATATAGTTCCCCTCCCGGACCTTCCAGTAATGTTAGACATTGGTAATCGAAGACAGAATTCGGAGCTAACTCACGAATCAAGGGTGGTGGTAGGAGAAACTTTAGTCTGGATGTCGGCGGGGAGACCTGAGACGATGCCACAGACCGCAAGGAGAGAGAGCGCATAAAATGACTTGACGACCATCTTGATCGAGCTGGTAAAAGCTTTGATTTTATCGAGTGAGGGAAGTGATGGTGATGATAGTGGTGCTGGTGATTCTCAATGCTTCAAAATCATCATATGTTCTTGGAATCCATTGCCCCTTTTATATTTCAATCTATTCCATGTCATCGTAAAAGACCCAGTGATTCCATCATGTTTGTTAGATCAATACTTGCCGTGATATCCCCCTGCCGAAAGGTAATTGCATCCGGCTGGCTTCATTGTTGAGGTAAATATTTCGGGATATCAGAGATGGTTCTCGGCGCCCATGACATGCATCACGAAGCCCACATGGCGAACAATTCACGCAAGTACCAGGTCTTTAGCAACCGAGATGAGATGAAGCGCGACTGCCAAGCAAGAGAATTCAAGACGGAGATGTAAGGAGATATCATTTTCTAGCTCCGTATCTGGCATTGCACCCCACAGAGAGACGGCTATTAGACGTGCATCCGCGTTCTGTGACTTGAGATGGAATATCTAGGTCTGATCACCAATGAATAATCTGCATGGGCTGTTGGGAATTGGGTTCATACGATAATCCCTTTGTCTATCTGCTGCAGGGCAAAGAACATATTCAAGAACCAATGTCTTGACCTTGCTTCCGAGTTGTACTCGATCGTCACTCGCGCGACTGTGCCTTGCCACACAATTGTCTGGAGCAATATAGCGGACAGCTTCTTGTAGATGAGAGATACTAGGAGGTGTCGTTAAAGGATATATAGTCTAATGGCCATGGTGAGGAGTGTGTGACAATTGGTATGTAGTTGTATGTATATCTGGTGTCTGTATACCCATCGATTTATCACAGGACTATATGGTATGGAATGGGTACTCAGCCAACAATTGAGGGGTGTCTCGGGTTGGATCATATAACCGCCCGCCGGCTGCAAGATATCACACATGTTGAAGATCAATGTACATAGTAGCACCTAGAAGCCTTGTACTGTTGTCCTTATCCGATGAAATTTCTTTCTGGCCTAGAACTGTAGGTTATTGCAATAACCGACATACTTCGGGCCCTGGGCCCAGTCGGCGAAGTCGGGGCTTAGACCGACGGAGATATACCCTGGGGATTCCAAAACACGTTGCTAGGATCAAGTCGCGCTTTGATTTTCCGTAGTCGAGGTAGGTTATCTCCCCAATATAGCTTCTGTGCTGTATTGCCATCGAGTTGGGTGTCGATAGAATTGGCATACATGCCCCAATCTCCGTCTACCATGGACTGTGTAACACTGTCCATGATTTGCTTGAGGAATACAAAACTCTCACGGGGTAGATTTCCATCCTCTCCAAAAGCATTGAGCTGCCAGAGCAGGAACTTGTCACGCTGGGCATAAGATGTAGCGGCTAAGTCAGTCTGGGAAACCGCTGACTTTGGGCCACCGTGCAACTCAAAAAGTACATCCCATGAATGACGTGCATTAGTGTCATTAATGTTGGTAAAGAGGGTCAATACTAACGCATTAACCTGCTCGTCAGTCAGTGGGGGAGTTGTGAGGCTGCTCGTATAAGTTGTTGTATGCTAAGATAATGTTAGTACTACAATGGCCTATTGCTGAAAGTATAATCCTTTGTGTCGACGGACATACCACATTGTATGGTTGCGGCCGGACCAATGGTTCACCTTCTGCAAAATACTCTAGTCCCTCCAGCCAACTGACAGACTTAACGTCAGACAATTGTGTTTTGAGATTGGTCAAGAGGGGCTGTAGTGCTTGAACGAGTCCATGTTCATCGCCGAAGTACAACCCGCGAATGGCCTGGCTAGATGCGGTCACATCAAAGGCAAGGTTAAGCTCCTCCCGAGCCGTCAATGAAAGACTCTGCACTGCCTTCAGGGATTCAGCCACGCCTGATTCGCTCCAGGGCATGTCGATGGCGAAAACAGTGACATTTTCTGGTGGCCTGAATGTGTCAAACTCGAATTCGGTGACGATGCCAAAGGACGACCCAGCGCCTCGTATTGCCCAGAAGAGATCTGTATTGTCTGTCGCAGAGCAATGTGCTATGGAGCCGTCAGATAGAATCACCTTGGCACTCTTTAACCAGTCCAGAGTAAGGCCGTGAGTGCGTGAAGCCCTGCCGTATCCGCCGTGCAAGACATGCCCGGAGATACCAACTCTTTTTCGGTTAGCTACAGCCTCCAAATTGATCTCACTTCATTTCTTTCATCCAAGAACAGATAACATACCCGGGGCAGGTTCCGTGGGGGATTGCTCTCTGGCCTTGATTGAACAATTCTACAGAGACGTGTCCCAGCCGCGCTCCAGGCTGGATGATAGCAGTGTGGTTATCGGAAAGGATTACCTGGTCCATCTGCTCGAAGTCAATAACAAGATGGCCATTTTCGCCCCCAAGACTATAGGACCCGGAACTGTGACCGCCTCCTTTAGCGCTGATGCGCAATTGATGATTTATCCCACATAGCACAGCAGCCTGAACCTGCTCGATACTACGCGGCATTGCAACAGCCGCCGGTGTATATCTCACGCGAATGTTCCAGGGCGATATCCTTTCATTCCAATCCTTCGAACCTTCCACTACGTACGAAACGCCGGCATCCGATAGGCATAATGATAGCGAGCGCGTGTCTCTCCTAGCGAGAAATATGATAACAGTAGCAGCGAGGACAACCCACAAAACGAACCCAATGGGCCGCCATAGGCTGGTGCAACGTGTGGTATTGTTTCTGCGAGGCCGTGTGTGGACAGCCAGCAGCGGTGTCCTGTGATTGCTCTTGAGTGGCATATCAGAAAGAGCAGAAGAATCAGAGGATGAGCGTTGGCTAGAATAAGAAACAGAGACGAGGGTTGTTCTGCTTGATGCAAGATTGTTGATCTCAATCTAGAACCGGGCTAATTCTCTGCTTGGAGTACTTGCATCGAATACTCTCTGTTAGGTGTTTGGAGATAATATATCCCCAGGGATTATGACCCTTCCGTACGGGGTAGAAATTTTCGTCATTTGTTCGACTCAAAAATGAACAGATCAGCAAGAGGTTAGGGGCCTGGCGATCAGCGAGCTCCAGCCAACCAGTCTGCAGCCCGGGGCTGATTGCGATTGCATCCGCCAGCCACGCTGAGGTGTCACAGCCTATCGGGTATCTTCTCCTTTCGTAGATGGTTGCCTTGGCTCGCCTTACACATGCTCCATAGAGGCCTGAAGATCAATGAAGCTGGCGCAGAGATAGCATTGCCATGAGCTCCAGGAGTCAGCACTATATAAATGTAGGGAAAACGAGTGTCGATATCCAAGTAACGGTTTTGATTGATCGACCAGAAGAAACGCGAGGAGTTGCTACTTTGAGTTAGCCAATCAGAGCGATCCGTCCCGCGCGGCAAATGGCGGAACGGATAATATATTAACCGTTGTATCACGTGCCCAATTCAAGTTGATTAATAATATGCATGAACCTTAAATTGTTCAATTAACGTTATTTAACTGCGAGACGAGGATAGTAAACCGAGAGAGAGAGAGAAGAGATGATTGAAGAGATGGGTATTATATTTTGGCATTAGCTTGTACGTGGGCATCTTGTCTCTTACCAATAATAATTATTACAGTGTTGGCCCTGTAGCTGTTGGCTGGCATGGGAAGGTCGAGAAAAAAGGCCAAACGACATGTCAATGTTTTCAATGTAGCCAGGTTATATTAATACAGTAGAGAATGGTTACTCTATCCAAGTCTCCGGAACTCCCGTATCTGTGGTAAAATGGAAGAAACTCAAACTTGGGCGGCTAACCTGAAGAGAAATCGAGGGAGCGGATGAGCGAACTAAACAACCTGCTCGGTCTTTATCGTGTTAGACCCATTTGGAATACCCTTGACTGGCATGGTACTACCAGCTTTCGTATTCCACATGTCGGCAACGGTTTCAACCGCCCTCTCGACCACCACCCTAACACGGTCCCTTAACACAGGGTAGGAACACTCAACCTCGAGTGTCTCAAGCCAGACGCGAGCAACGTGGTTATCAACCTTAATTTCAATCCCGGGTACAGGTATGCCGAGAGACTGTAGACGGGCTAGCTCTAGCTCTTCCATTTCTCGGAGTTCCTCTTCATCTTCGGGTTCATCAATGTCAGGAGTGTCGACCTTACTTGCGTCCTCGGCTGCAGATGGAAATCTTTCTTTCCGACCTCCATGGTATTTTAATTTCGGGCGTTCGATGGCAGCAATTTCCGACCCAAACTGGGCCTCCAGGATCATACATAGACGCATAAAACGCTCGTCAGGAGTGAGCTGAGAATGGGGATTGCTTGGGAGTGGCGGCGCATGGTTATGGCACTGCTTATTTTTACTCGAACCTATTATCGTCAAATCAATAAATTTCTGCTGTTTTAGACGAACCAGCCGGCATCGAAAAGGGGGGATACTTAATACTCACGTTTAACAGCTGCGGGGCTACTTTCAACTGTGAGCAATACTGCCATAACAGCATCGGCAACACCATCATTCATCATATTGCCTTCCCATTCTACCTCAACTTCGCGCCGTTGTGGATTATACTTCACGAAGACACAGCCCATTATTAGGTATGTGGTTAGTTCTCTAGAAGGTATCTCCTCGTCCGCTTCTTCACCTTTTTTGATTACCGAGTCATCCTGCGTTTCGCTTGCATCGCCATTAGAGCCCTTCACGGCTTCACTCGATGGCGAGTTGATCTCTTCGATCAGACCGAAGGTACTCTCTAACGCCCAGCGTATAAGATCAATACTTGCGGTGCTGAGGGTAATATACTGTTTGCAAGTAACCATGGTTGTAGTGAGTCCGGCATATTCTCTAAGGTCGTCAGAGGCCATCATCGATAATTTGAAGCCATTCTGGACGAGAACGCCATCCATTAATCGAGAATCATCTTGGCCTATGGGTGGTGAAGTCTCTGCAAGTCGACCGACGACTCTGGCAACCTTGTCAACCATGAATGGGATACGGACTTCATCACAGTTTGCAGGAGTGTAGACTTTGACCTTTACTTCTTTGTCTACATTCAAACTCAAAAGTTTGGATTTCAGCCTCATCATTTGGTGTTTCTCTCCATGAACAAGGATCTGTAGTGTTATACATTAGCTTCAGGAGCTAAATTCAAGATGCGTGTTAACTTACGACGACGGGGGCAGCGACTGATTCGATAAATTCCCTATTCTCCACACCGTCAACGTGGGCAGCAAAACTAATCTCATCGACGGTACACCTTCGCTGAATCATGATTTTCTGATCATCACTAGGGCCTGCAGCATTTTTGGCGCTCATAACAGCTGGTATCTGTTCGGGCTCATTGATTATCTGTTTTCCCATGGTACCCTCAACGCTGTAACCTGTCATGATGACACCATTGCGTTCATTTGGTGCCCACCGCTCTAGAAGCTCTCTGCTGGTTCCGGTTTGGAGCATACCGGGAGAAGCAAGCATTACGCATCCTCCAACATCTTCAAAACGGTCGAGGTTCCTTAGACTTCGAACAAAACGGAAATCCCAGGGGCCAGCGGTGACACTCTTGTCTCCTCTAGCTTCAGCCTCGGCCATGCGTTGGCGGAACAGCCGTTTTATGTTCTCATTCATAGCTCCGATGTATGTTTGATACACAACCATACACCGACGAGCCATGTTTCCAATATAGTAAATGGGAACTTTCTGTAATTCTGGGTGTCGGCTCCAGTACTCATCTAGAATCAAGAGTAGCTCCTGTGCTCGTCCAAGTGCAAAGACGGGCATGAGAACTCTCCCTCCCCGATTTATAATACTGGTAACTGATTTCATGAGGGCGGCTTCTCGCTCAAGGCGAGGGGGATTGGATGATATTCCGAAAGTAGACTCTGTAATCATGACATCTATTTTCACCCCCTTAGGGACTTCTGCTGAAATTAAGTGGCGGTCCTCTTCTCTAGAATAGTCGCCTGTGAATAGAATATTTAGTCCGGCGATGGATATGAGGAACATGGCGGCGCCAAGCACATGGCCAGCCGGGAACGGAGTAATTCTAATACTGTTGATGGCGTGGGTGGTGTTGAAGTCGATCGTTTCAATGATGGGGAGGGTTGAAAGATGATCATGTTCATTGTAGAGACTTGTCCGTTGATCGGAGGAGGAGGATGTATTGCTGACTCGGACATTATCCTGTATCAGCCACTTATAGATAGCCTTGGTGGCATGGGTCATGAAGACCCTGCCTTTGAAATTTGTCTTGCTAAGGACATAGGGCAGCGACCCAGAGTGGTCCAAATGAAAACTGCCACAAGTTAGCTGCCTGATCTCGCTTAGGGTTGTGGAAATATTGTGCAAGGGGAATGAAATTAACAATGCTGTAGAGGACGAATACATTGGGATACGAGGGCAAACACCATATTGTCGAGGCTAATAAAAATTTGAATTGCATTGAATATCTCATAGTACATGTTTGAACATGGAGGAAAGGCAGTGAAAAGAAAGTTTGTATATCTGTTTGTATATCCATCTGCGCATGGCTGACAAGGGGGGTTGTTGCACCAATAAACCGAACATGGAGGGGAGGATGGACGTACTGGCTTATTAAAAGGATATCGACGGTACTGAGATCGAAGTCATCGAAGAAAGGGAGTGCTGCAAATCCATCTTTCGCGGGGTGCATTCCAGCATCAAGCTGTCAATTTCATATATGCCATATTAGCCCAGGCACAAGACCGCAAAAGACTCAAAACGTAATAAAGAAACGAACCATAACCGTCTTCCCCTTATACTGTATAATGTGACAGGACCGCCCGACCTCATTGCCGCCTCCCAGGCAGTGGAATAGAAGCTCGTCAGAGGGATCTATTTGCTGCTCGTCCGCGCTCCCTGAAAACGAGCCCTTTCGTTTTGTCGCCATCTCTGCGGGCTGTATTTATCTCTGCATCAGCGTCTAGCTAGCCTATTCGTGCCCAGGCAACCACCAAGCCGGACTTCAGGCCGGTCTATCTTTTCCCACACGCCCTTTTCAATGCAGCTGGCTTGATGTCGACTTGTCCGCCTGCTTCGTCCTTTTTTCTGCTTTGACATGGACCAGAATGGTCGTCAAGCTTATGTCATCGATGCTTATATAATGTATTATATAAGTTTGTAATAAGATATGTTCACGTGACACCTCTTTTTGTCCTGCAAAGAAAAAACGCGAAAAATGACATCAAAAAGCGACGTCAGAGAATACAAGCAAAAGGACAGGCAGAAAGGACGACGACGAGATACGAAGGAAAAGCGAGTTGACCGATAGTGAGCGCCCGGCTATTTACTACTTCGCTTCCGTTTGCGCTACAGATGGTTGGCTTGCCCTGCGTGAGATGAAAGCTGGCTCCGGGGGGAGACGCAAATCCTCGCCTGGCCTCCGTTTTGCGCTGCATTCACCCGGGCGCTTGATATATTCACAAACAACGAGCTCCTACTAAGAGACAGGAGGACAATAAGAACACTCAGAAGCCGTCCGTCTGAGGCCTTCTGGATTTTCTGTCACGATGGCGCAGACCCAGTCCCACCAGCTGCCTCCTCGCTCCTTTTCTCCCCCTGCCTCCAGTCCCTCTCCTGGTACCCAGCAGGCTTCGGTGCCGGGTAGCAACATTCCCCCTCCCCCTAAAAGACAGCGCCTCTCGCCTCTTCCGCAGTCATCACAGCCCTACAACTCTCCTCACTTTGCGCCAGTGCAGTTGTCTACGAACGGGAGCGCTATGCATGTGAATGGTATGGCAAAACAGGCCCCCAATGCGCCCCCGCCACCCGGCTCGATGGGGCCGCCTTCACGGCCGGTGGAAAAGGCGACAGACACTGCTGAGCTTACAGACGTGCTCGCATCGTCTGGTATAGATGTGAAGGAGGAGGAGGCGTTCTTGACTAGCGGGTATGCAAAACCGGCAGCTCCGGTCCAGCAAACACATTCCCAGTCCATCTCACATCCGCCGCGCCAGCAAACAAGCTTCTCAAACTCGTTCAATTCCATACCACCTGTTGGGCCTATCACACCTTCAAACAGCTTTTCCGAACAGACACCCAAACAACCAGGCTTCCAACCAGCAGGTTACCCCTACCAGGCACCTGTTGCCCCTGTTCCGCCTATCAAATCACCGGAAGAGATATCGCAAGATGAACAACTACGACAAGATACGGCTGCTAGTAGGAGGGAGCAGTATCATCTCCAGTCTGCTTTTTTGCATACTGCTGTTATGGAGAAGAAGCTTGAGAAACGGGCCCAGGAACACGGGGTGAGGATGCCCATGAGTGGTGTGTTTAAACCCCTTCCTGGGCGTCCTACGGGACCTGTTGAGGTCACTGGCCCAGATGGCTCCTCTGTCATTAGAAGAGACAAGACCATTTTGAACCCCGAATCAGCACTTGGTGACATTATCTCGCTGCTATCGTTAGCCTCGGAGGAGAGGCTTCGATCTGTCATCGATCATTCTGTGACTCTCTCGAGAAATCGGCGAGTCAACTCTCACGGCGCTGTACCTCCTGAGTGGGCTGATTTAGCTATAATCCAGGAAACAGCAGCTGATGATAATACTTCCACAACAAGTAAGTCTCACTTGGTTTCCGCGGCCCTTCGGTTGTTAATACTCATTTCGTAGAAGCAGAACAACCTTCCACAGCTGAAACGACGGTTGATAACTCCACCTCAACAGCTAAGAAGACTACTACATCGAGCACGTTGACAGTGAAAAGCCGTCGTCTGATTGACAGGGATGAATCACATGAGGAGCGTCGAACTGCCAAACGTGCAAAACGCAATGCAGATGCCATACTCGGCGCTGATGGCCGACTACCGACCCCTGGTGCATCCACGCCCAATGGCCTGGATCGTGCTCCTGATATTGATAAGAAAATTTCTAAGAAAGATATAAAGAAGATCGATGTCAAGGCCACGGGTGCAGTGCAACATCAACATGCAATTGAAACCGCCCGTATGCAGACAACTAGTCTTTCTTCGCGATTCGGCAAGAAGGGAGGTTACAGTTGGCTTAAGTCTTCGCAGCCAGCAGTCAGTAGAAGCGGGTTCTCGACGCCCTCTCGACTCAGCACAGCAGCAGCAGCAGGATCAGCCGCAGGAGGGAACGGAAAGCCGGGCTCCAACGCAGCCAGCATAAAAGCTATTCGCAAGCAGTTCGGTGATTGGCGGGAAGACAAGGAGAATGGAGCTGGTATCCAAATCCGAGACCTTCTCTTTACGCTAGAAGTGGATGGTAGAGGTCTAAAGCATCTACAGAAGGCTTATTCCAAGGACGCTAAGGAGGATTTTGCAGCATCCTAATCTGTTTACTTTTTCTCTCTTCACACAAGACAGACCCTTTGATACAGCAAGTTTTATTTGGCCGGGCCAATCAAGCTACCAGGTCTCCTGTTGAGAAGATATGTCTTGTGGGAGACTCTTCCTTAATGCTCGGCATCATACTACTTTACACAGTCCGTTGATGTTTATTTTTCTTCCCCTTCACGCAGCACTCGAGCTTACTCGGCTCTTACGACTTTTAATCTTACCTTTTCTTTTCTTTACCTCTTCCCTTCTACTTTGTTATATTCCGTACCACCGGCTTGCTCGAGCTGCCTCTCTTACACACCTCCTTATTCAACACGTCTTCTACATGTGGTAGTTGTTTCTTTTCTGTTTTATTCCTACTATGGGAAAGGTTCGTCGTTCAAAGGCGCAAATGCATTTTGAATATTATGCTGTTATAGCTGACACTAGGAGGCATCTAACTTGCATAAATGAAAATCTTGTTCAGACTGACAGCTGACAACATTCCAAAGGTAATCCAAGACAATTCGTAGTGTTCGTTATATCTTATCTTCTTTGATTATCTCGTTGACCATGGCTGCAGCGAGTCTTGCATCTGGCTCTATCTCTTCTCTGACCCGAGTGTGTGTACAGGGTCTCATCTCCTTTCTGAGAGGTACTTCAGGCCCATTCATGCCCTCTTGAATAAACCTTATCAAAATTGCTGAGCCATAAAGCCGAGCCTGCTGGACGCTCTAGCATCGACAACAAAAGACCTTATACCCAAGCACTCGCTTCAGAGCTCTCGCGTCCTTCAGTAAATGCCCGTTTGTTCACTTATTGCCTCGTCTCGTCAATAAAATGCAATCATAGTTATGCCTATTCACATAAACTTCTGAATCTCCATGAAGGTTCAGAGATTTGTATGAGCGTAAATGGTTCAATAACAATGTCTATCTCCATTGGGTGTCGGTTAAAGAGGTGAAGGACACAGGTTCGACAACGAGGCTCTGGGAATCATCCTCATTAACTCCCAAGTTAGGCCTTGGAGAGGGTTCTACTTAACTAGAGTTCTGCCAAGCCGGAGCCTCTTTCGGTGATTGGTGGTTGGGAATTACGTGATGTGAGTCCAAACTTCAAGGTCAATCACACGGCTTTGATTGGATGAACTTGGCGCCACATCAGCCGCCCGAAAGCACAGTGGGTATGTCGCGGCGGAGGCATCTGCTTAAAGTATGCTTAATTTTATCAAACTTGTCTGGGAAGGTGTTTAGCCTCAGGTCTAGCGTGACTGGCTCGAGTTATGCGGTTTGGCTTGGGTGGAACCTTTTTTGTTAGCTTTTGAGAAAATAGTGTGGTGGTTTTAATACCCTTAAAGCCATGCCATCATAGTCGTGGGGTTCGATTTGCCTGTGAGCAGCCTGGCAACTCTGTATGATAATCTCTAGATACCCTAACTAGTTAACTAATGGAGTTCCTTACGCCGCCGCTCGCTCGGCCGATCTCGAGGGCCACCTATGCCAAGAACTAAATATACACGTGACTTCACTAAAAACCAAGTTGACTGACTAACCTTAATTCGGCTTTTGGGCAGAGCCTCAACATCACGTGACTCCAGGCAACAGCGTCCATAGGTACGTACCTAAGGTTGGATCCATCCATTCCAACCAGTGAATGCCTCGACGATGCATGCGTGGCCATATTAAACGGCTGGGCCAAAAAGGTGAGCCTAGCAGTGGCTCGTTTTCTTAAGACAGAATATTAAAGTGCTTGACTTTGGAGTGCTCGTGATATTTTGAGGGTATCAACAAGTTTGTCGTGCGAAATCATGGCTTCTGATGACGCCCTAGATTATAAGGCTCTCTTTCTACAGGCAGAGGAGAGGCGACTCCAGGCAGAAGAGCGGGCAAGACAGGAAAAGGAACGACGGTTACGAGCGGAAGACGATCGAGAACAGGCCGATGAGCAACGAAGGCAGGCAGATGAGCAACGCAGGCAGGCAGAAGAAGCACGACAACACGCAGAAGAAGAGCGACAACAGGCTGAAGAAGAGCGACAACAGGCTGAAGAAGAAAGACAGAACGCAGAAGAAGAAAGACAACGGGCGGAAGAGCGTAACCAGCTTACGTCGTTTGAAGAATTCATCCAAACATGTCATAACCTACTCTCTCTACCCATAAAGGTGCGGGATGCCGCGCGCTCAACCAGAGGGTCAATCCCAAAGCCAACCGGGAAGCTATGCCCTACCTACCTTCGCCCCTGGTCAAGCCCATTTCTCCTAGATGAATTATACCGCCGCGTTAATCACCATTTTCAGCCTACTGAAAAGTTGTTTCCTTCTTTGGCTGAACTCGAAGCCGTTGCACGGAGATGCAGTCGTCCACTAGGAAGTGAGAAAGACCTAGAATTCTACGCGCACATTGCTGTGGAACAGCATGTCCAGGATGTGATAATGGAGCTGTGCAACAAACCGCAGGCTCGAGATCGTTTTGCTCTTGGGGAGGCAGTTGTATTCGAAAACCATGCGAATGCTATTGACGAAGACGACGATATGTCAGATCAATCAAGAGCGCGGCGCCCTATACCGGACCAGTTTTGTGTTCATAGAGTTGATGATGGCAACTACACACTACTTACAACTGTTGAATACAAACCACCTCACAAGTTGTCGGTTGAAAATCTTGCCGCTGGACTCCGACCAATGAATCTCTGGGAAGAGGTAGTCCAGCTGGATGCTATTCCGACTGAAGGAAATGCAAAGCTACTGTATAATGCAGAACAGATGACAGCATCTACTCTGGTCCAGGAATTCCATGTGATGATCAATGAAGGGCTCGAATTTTCATATATTACCAATGGATTGGCCTATGTTCTACTTCGGGTGTATGACAATGACCCAACCACGCTTTACTACTACTTCTGCAATCCTAATGAAGAGGTTGATTCGGATACGTTATCGAGGACAGCTATCGCTCGAGTACTCTGTCTCTGCCTGATGAGCTGCCGCTCACCAGTTCGGAACCAAGATTGGCGAAATAATGCCAGGCAGCAACTACATGTGTGGGAAACAAACCTCGATTACGAAAGAGGTCGTATACCAGATGATGAGCTAAATAAAACTCCTCCGAGCTCTGAACATGCGCCGTCTTCTCCATATGTGCCGTCCTCTCCGCTGAGCTCTCCAACTGCAGACAATTACCGCCCAGTAACTCGATCTCAGGCCGGCTGTGCACCTCAAAGCACAGCTGCACATCCCTCAGAGCCCACAGATTCTGACTCCGACTCCCCCCAGGCGGCTGCCGGAAGGAAGCGAAACTTAAGCCAACTAACAGCATCGCCGCCCGGTCAACAACGGTCGCGCCAGATGGAAAACAGGGGAAGTCAGAGTCAGGGAAGCTATAGGGAAGAGCCGCACGTTGAGCTCTTTTGCACGCAGAAATGCTTGCTCGGCCTTAAGCGTGGTGACAACCTGGATATCACCTGCCCAAATGTAGAGAGACATAGATCGGTAGCCGGAGGGGACAAACACCCTATCACCACGGAGCAATTGGTGGGTTTGGTCAAGCAACAGCTTGATACAACCCTTAACCGTGATTGCTCGCCCTTTGGTAGCTCTGGCTCGTACGGAGCGCCATTCAAAGTTACCTGCCGCCGGTATGGTTATACTGTCGTTGGAAAAGGTACAACCTCGTACCGCTGGAGTGAAGTATCAAGCGAAGCAACTATATACCGTATCCTCCGCGAATTACAGGGGTCTGCAGTCCCCGTGTTTCTAGGACTAATCGACCTTAAAATGATATACTACTTACACGGCGTGGGGGCCATCCAACATATGCTGCTCATGGGTTGGGGAGGAGAGCACACAAGCGGACATAAGCCCACTAAGGAACTCCTCAGACAAATCAGACGGTCAGAAAAAGAGATCCGCGCCTTAGGAGTACATCATGGTGACTTTCGCAGGGAAAACATTTTATGGAATGAAGAGTTGAGGCGAGCACTGATCATTGACTTCCACCGCTGCAAACTCGTCCGACCTGATAGGAAGAAACGCTCGGTGGACGGAAATGGGCTCTTAGAAACCAAGAGTAAAAAAAAGAAGGCCATCTCGTGTGGTACTCCAATTGCTGGGAATGTACCTAATGCTGTTTAATGTTGTATTGCTAGAGGTAGTGAGAAGTTTAAGGAATAGTGATAGATTAGCAGGACCTAGGAAGCAGCGCCGAAGTATTATTTTATATTGGCTAAAGGATTGACCAAAAGTTACAACATCCTGCCACCGTCTATACTTTGAGAGGAAAAGATTTGAAAGGGAAGAGATTATTTACACCCTCAATAGCTTTCTTTTTTATATACAGCTGTTCGATGTTATAAGAAATCCGCGATACTTCGACATCTAAACACTCCCTGGATTTCCTCGTACAGCGGAGGACTTCACTATCTAGGTAGATCCCTCGATACATCGACCCTTGTCACCCCACCAGGAGTTTGCAACAGCTCCCCACCAGCGCTTGACGTCAAGCAGGGCGTCCTTGGTTAAGAACATCCTGCAGTGAGCAGGCTCATAGACAAACTGCCGAGGCACTCGCTTCCTGTCATCAGTGAAGACAGCGTTGCGGTAATTGACACGGCCGCCAGCTCCATTGTTGAGCAGACGGGACAGCACATACTTGCCCTTGTTGTACATCTGGCCGAGCTGGGTCTTCTCCAACTCGCGCTGCTCGCGTGGGGTGGAATACTTCTTGATAACCAACTCAGCAATGCTCCAGAGCTCACGGAAGGTAAGCACCTGGGTTCCCTTTACACCACCAACAGCCTGCATACGACCTGTGCGAGGCTGTCCACCGACTGCAATAGACTTGATACCATTGCGGTTCATTAGGTCGGAGAAGATAGCACAGGTAGAGGCACAGATACCATCGGTAACGAGGACGATATTCTCCTTTCTGAATGCCTGGGGGGCAACATGGCTGCGGTTACCGTAGCCTGAGACAACCAGACCACCAGCCTTAAGGGACATGGGGATATTGTGGAAGTCCCAGATGGCAAGGCGGCTGAAGTTCCCGGCCTCAACGGTCTCGGGGCCAAAGTAGGAGTCCCAGGATCGGTATTTTCTACCGTTAGGGTCAACATAGGAGTTGGTATCAAAGATATCGTCCCTCATCTCCTCTGCAGCTGGGGCCTTTGGATCGCGGGGGTGCTTAAGGAGGTAGTTAACCTTAGTTCCAATGATGTCGAACTGCTCAATGGCACGGAGGTTGAAAGGGGTTTCAATTCTTCCTGTCGGGAGAAGCTGTGTTTTAAGCTGTTAGCTTTAGGGTATCTCGAGGGATCTTGCCACCGATTGACTTACCTGCTTGAAGGTATCGTAGCCTAGGAAAATAGTACCACCCCTGTTGCCGCTGACATCAACAATCAGCTTCTCCTTACCGGCCTTTCTGCAGTCTTCCAAGAACTTGGTGACAGTGTAGCTGAAGTCCCACAAGGGATCGTTATTTTCAGCAGCACCAACGAAGGATCGGAGGTTGAGTACAGCAACCTTAGAGTCCTTGCCTTCGAGGAAGTAGCCGGCAGCGGCACCATCCATAGATTCACGGAGTGGGGTTACTGGAGGAACGGTACGCTGAGCCAAGGGGAATGGCGGGGAAGATATCGGGTTGGCGGTAAGGAAGCGGTGGTCTCGGTAAGCAGTGTACTCGTAATCCGTTAGAGAAGCAGCAGTAGCCTGTTGCTTACCGCTACAAAACTTTTCGTAAAAAGTATTGCCATCCTTGACACCAGAGAAGTCTGCAGTAGAAGTGGCGGTATGTCCAAACTCCTTGGTAGTTCCGTTTTCAAAGGTAACACTCATCTTGGTACCGGTGTAGAGACCACGGCTTGTGAAGAACCCACCAGTACCACTAACCCTGGTAAGGGGAAGGTTAAAAAGCATGCCGTTATAGAGAGCATCAGGGTCCTGGAAGAACCCGCTGAAGGAGAACTTCTTCATCCACTCGGTGGCATCTTGCCCGTCAATAGTTTTGAGAGCCGATGCGTTCATCGATCGACCCTGGAGGTCATCTTCATAGACATGTTAGCTTCAATTGAATAACACTGAACAAGAGAGTGAGATTGAACATACTGAGAGAGTAGATCTTTGGCAAGTTCTTTCCGTCATCAGAAAGAGACACGAGCGAGCCGATATCAGAACGGGTGAAGGCAAAAGTGGTAATAAGGTCCATTGCCAGGTTGAAGTGACCATCATGTACAGTTCTCACAAGTGCATCGAGCTCGAACTGGAATTCAAATTCGTTCTTGTATCCATTGCTGGCTGCCTTTTGGCGAATCTTTGCAATTCCTCCCTCAAGATCAGTGCCAGGCACGGCGTAGCCCTGTGGTGGGTTCTTCAGGAAGTCCTTGGTGGTCTGCCAGTCCCAGAAATACTTCAAGCCGTCAATCAACTGCAGCGAGTCGTTCGATTTGAACGGAACTGAAGTCAGACAGGCGTGAGCGAGCTCCGCCGAGACGGTGAAGTTAGTAGCTATGTAGACATATATATTAGTATGTATATTTTTCCCCGTATTTTTGGCTGAAAAGTTTTAATTGATTTGTATACCATTTGGGTTTCCTGCCTTCTGCTTCCGCTGCTCCTCAGCGACCTGGGCGCATGGCTCTGTGGCAGCAGTCACAAGGCCACTGGAAGAAAGCAAAAGGCCAACAACGGCCTTGTGGAATCGCACCATGATTCCCGAGTGAGGGATTGATTAAAAAGCGACCGTGATTTAAAAGAGTGAAAGGCCCACACGCAAGATGTGCGTAGATTGGGGTGAGCAGGCAGAAAACAACGACTGCTGTGAAACCCTGCAAAACCTGGGGAATCTGGAGAAAATGGGGACCCCGCTGGCTCTTAAATACCCGGGAAACTGGTCTAGCCAGCTCCTCGATCCCTCAGCATAGGCAAGGTGCTGGGGGACGAAGGGAAGTTAACAATCCCCCGAAAGAATAGAGGGCATCCTTTGCTGGTTATCATTACATGGGTGGGAAGGCCCCAAGGTAGTGGAGGATAGCGCAAGGGTAGGCGAGAAAGACCTTGATCACGAAATATCCCGCAAAGGAGAAATAAACGTATTTAAACATTATTGCAGCGGAGTTCGAGGAATACGCCAGGGATAAGCCCTGGTTATCTTCCGCAAGGGGTATCTCCTCCGGATAGCCCATCCCCTCAGGCCGAGAGTGAGCTCGAGACTTGATCACTCCCATCATATTTGTTCCATGAAATTGGGTCGAGATCGAGATCACCAGGTACCCGAGGGGATCGCTGACGGCTATCTATTTCCAGCCTAGCGGGTATCATAAGCATTGCACCTAATTATACGATTCCCCAGCGAGCGAACCATGGGGGTGGCGTGCGAAGATCTCAATTTCCCCTCAAGGGGCAAGCCGTTCCTCAGTCGCCAACACGACGGACACGGGCAGCTGGATAGGCCAGCCGAAGCCTTCCAATAATAAATCATGAAGGTTGGGAAGTTGAAAATGCCGGCCGTCGTCGTATCGCCGGAGCCGGACTAGCCGCTTAGTCATCTCTCACGATAACTAGCCGAGGCATAAACTCAGTCAAGCCAACAACCTTAACTATCCTGAACATCCTCCTTTATTCGTTATTCGTTATCACTTCCAGCTCCGTCCTCTCGCGCTGCAGGCCTGTTGAACCACTTAGTTACTCCGCACATTCATGACAGCTGCAGTGACGCTGGTATTTGCAGCCAATCATCCTGCTGCTCACACTCGATACAGGGCGGTTTAGGATGCCGGCGCCACGCACGAGAACAATTCTGGAAGGCCTTCTTCGGCTCGCGAGAAACCTTGAATGATGTCGCCTTCGTGTTCTGCATGGCTCACGTCGGCCTAGACGGCTGCCTGTTCCCTGCATCCTTTTGTGCGGTGAGGAGGAGGGCAAACTTCGCTTCGCGGGAGAATCAATACTCACACAAATATAACTAAACGCAAACGCTAAACCTGAAGTGGCAGATACTTTTATATATTATTATTATGTCTTCTGTCACGGTCTCCATCCTGCACTCTGAGCGGATATTTCCCAGGACGAAGCAGGACTCGGAGGAAACGATAGCTCTCTCGCTGCTGGATGCGACTACGGTTAATTTTGCGCATACCTGCTCGACCTGGCTGTGTGAAGCCCCCGAGACTGCCGCAGGACCTGAATTTGACCTAGCAGACCATCTGCGCCAGTCGCTCCGGGTGGCCTTAGATGCCTACCCACAATGGTGTGGCCGTATCAATGCTATAACCACCCTCGACGGTGCGGCAGGGCCTCATACGCAGCGTTTTGGCCGAGTTTATGTTCAGTATGGAACCCCTCAGGACCCCGGGGTAGAGTTCAGAGTTGCCGAAACTACGACCACTCTTGATACTGTCTGTCCGGCCTTGAGAGCAGTGGATCAGCCTGTCTGGAACCGTCAGGAGATACCACCAGAGAAGTTCGTTCCTTCAACGCCTCTGTCTAATGCACTGCAGCCTGATGTTCTAGATGATGCCGGTCTCTTCCCGCCTTTGCTAGCTATTCAGTTAACGAACTTAGCCTGTGGCGGCTTCATTTTGACTGTCAAGATCGTTCATCCACTGGCAGATATTCAGTCTCTGGTGTACTTCGTAAAGGACTGGGCTAGTGTCAGTAGGTCGATCCTCTCGAACACGCCATGTCCAACCCTGAATCCCCTGTTTGAGCCTGGGTTGCTAGACTCTTTAGCTGCAGGTGATATTGATGCCGTCGAGCCAGACATGGCTATTATCCAAAGGGCCAAAAGTATGCCTCTCCATCGCTATGACTGGTGGGCATCTTCACCCAATTCCCCTTGGCCCGTAAAGGTACCAGAGGCTTTAGCCGGCAAGATGCTATCTCCGGCTGGTAAACCGATGCCGTGGTCGGAATGGAACATAACTGAGCCAGTCTCACACTATGTTGTTCACCTCGGCATCAAGTAGAAGCCATACTGAAAGGAGCAACTTGTGGGCTTTCCCGGGATATGGGGCCAACTCGCATCAGCCAGCACGATGCTATCCTAGCTCACGTCTGGTCGTGCATCAATCGTGCTCGCAATCTAGAAGAAGACAGCCAGCCAGTGCATTGCGATCTTGTATACGGGGTCCGGCCCGCATTCAAACTTGATAAGTCTTTCTTGGGCTCCCCGATGCTTATGATCAATGTAGAGATGTCATCGGCGGACGTGACGGCCGGATCAAGGCCTTGCAATATACCCGCTCTCCAGTCGATCGCACAACGCATACGCCAGACGATTGGAGAAGTCAGCCAACCAGATCTTCTCGCCGCCCATCTTCATAGCGTGGCATATGAAGAGTCGCCGCAGCGGATCTGGCAAGCGTTCCTAGGCCGGCGCCATATTCTGGTAACGAGCTGGGCGCGGGCGGGTCTCTATGAGATAGATTTCGGGTTGAGGTCGTCCCCTATAATTCGCTATGCAGATAGCTTTATCCCGGACATGGATGGAACTATCGTGATAAAGGAGGCACCTCCGCTAAAGAAGGAGGATACCTCGGATGGAAGCTTACCGAGTTCATGGACTGCGAATGGTGTGGATATTTCTCTCCGTCTTCGATCTGAGGATATGGATCGGTTGCTTCGTGACCCTATGCTCTTCCCACAGAATACGTCTAATGAGTGAGACCTATGAATTGGAAAATATTGAATACGTTCTGTTATCCTCCAGCATCATACTCACGTAACGGAGGTAGATTTGTATACTATATCAAGAGTGTGACTGCTTATCGTGTGGGCTATCTGTGACTTTCGATATCCAGATCACATATGAGTCCAAGTGGTACATCGGCAGAATTATTAGCCGACATGTATTCTGGAGGGCTTCTAATACCCCATATAAATACTCCGTAATGGGTGTTAATGATTATAACAAGAGTTAATGTCTCCTACCCTCGGAGAAGGGCCTCGGGAAACGCCTTTGGTGAAAGTTGGGCAAATGACCCGAGAAAGACCCGCTCCATATCGAGACTTGAACCTGCATTTTGATAAGAGTTCGGGGTATACACACACACTTGGTACATCGCCTGGTGGATGTCTGATACCTATCTGGTGGCCTGACTTTGTTCAATTTTAGTACTCTGCCTTTCTGATTCAAACTATACGTCAAGCTCTAATGCAGGGTTAATTTACAGTCTAAGTACGACATTGTTAGCTGATCCTCTGGGAGCGTCCAATGCCACGTGGACACCTATGTTATCAGGGCTAGGATCATATTCTGTGATAGATATTGTCGAACGAACCGGATTCACACAAAGTGCCGAAGCACGTCTTTATGTACACACAAAGTAGATGGTGAAATCGCCTCCATCAAGACACAGGTTGGTGTCTTTAGCTGCGGTGGCGGCCGTGACAGACAGGGGGAGAGAAGAGGAGACAGGAGGAGAAATGTTGTATGACCCAATTGTGACAGCTTGGGAAGAAGGGAGATGGAAGCGAAGAAGGCTTGAACAGACATTGTAAGTAGGGAAAGAGGAGAGGAGGAGAGAAGTGTTGTTGTTGTTGTTGTTGCTGTTTATGTTTCCTCTGAGTTCTCCTTCTCCCATGCTTCTCGGGCCGTTTCCTCTAGGACTCGGTTCCTCATAGGACTTTGAACCCTTCAGGGTCTTCAATAGAGAAACGTGTGATTGAAAAATCGGCGAGATCGTCAACATCCTTTACCAGTTCTCTATGTTTTACGAATCCTCGACTGCGGATACAACATCCACAGTATAATGTGCAATGGGCGTAGTATATTCGTTTATCTGGATATAGGCCGCGGGGTTTTATACAGCACTGACATGCTCTCGCACAGCAACCATCTCGTATCCTACATGCCCGACGAAGATCTTGCCGTAAAAGGTGTTTAGTAGGGTTATTGCGAAGGTATTTATATTTCCGGGAGACAAGGATATTAGATATCCTTATTATTGGGCCGGTAGGCTCGCGCTTATGATGTTCATACCATTCATTCGAGAGAGCCCAGGCTTTACGAGTCTGGCTCAATAACTTACCTTGCCAGTCTTTGGAGCCGTTATCCAGATCATTAACCTTCTCTAGTTTCCCTTGTATAGCGTATTCAATTATTGTTTCTCGAAGGAATAATTGTCGCTGTATCCATATATGACGTCTCCTGGCCAAATTACCGAGTTCTATGGCCCAATCTTCTTCTTTCACAAGTTCATCCCAGGGCTGGAGAGCTCTAATCATGTTCCAAGTGTTAATCGAAACCCAATCCCAAAATATCTGCATACGGGCAAATAGCATATCGAAATTCGGCCCGATGCCAAAGACCGCCTTAATGATAAGTATAATGCAGCACCCGACAAGGAGTAGAGCATGGTCGCTAATAAACCGCAATAAGTCTTTAATCATTTTGTGAAGTCAGGATGATATGTCCAGGATATAATGGCTGAAGTGCATACGGAGTCTTTCTTAGGATATGGCAATAATAATACTCCTAAATATATAACACGGAGTGAAAAGAAGAGCGAAGGAGAGGAAACAGGGTAGTTTGTCCTTTTATAGTAGCGTTAGGTTCAAAATCTTACGTCAGGGTGTCGTCATTTTCTTTGCCTGTGGGTGACGCAAAGTTCCTTAGACACTTCACAACATAACATCTCGGCCGCATCTGGAATAGAGCTCTTCCAGGGTTCCGGCTTTCTGGGAAGCCGTGAAGTAAAATTATTGTGACTTTCCGACTCCCCGTTGCCGAGGGTTAATCCAAGACAACCGCCTCCAATTGTCAAATGTTCCGCTTAGTCAGCTTTCACGTGTATGCTTGGCCGGAGATTTCATCCATGTATTTACACGTATTCAAGCTCATCAATATAAACCCTTTATGTTGCGTACTCGCGTGTTGACCGATTCTTTCTCTTCGATTGCAGCTCATATCTGACACAAACACAAAATTAATAATGAAAACTAAATTAACGTTTGAACTAGTGTATACACGTGATAATACTATACCAGATCTGGTTAGTATTTGTATTAGTAATACCCCTAACCCAACTTCCTCTTTCCAACGGCATCTTGACAACGCAACTATTCTTCACCCTCGACACTCAGTATCAGGCCATCATCCACCTTCATCCACGGTCTCAGATACATCATTCGAAGAAAGGATGACCAATTACATGTTCTTGGCCGTTGGCACTGGTCAATATTATACCCCCAATAATCCAAGTATACCTCAATAGGGTGAATATATTCGTTTTGATTTTGTCTCTTCCTTTTGTTATATATCTTTTGCCATCTGAGGATACCGGACTTGATATCCAACCCATATGTCCCTGTTAGGCCTTCCCCCTGACTGTCCGAGGACATCTCGTCAAGGGTAGGCTGAATATACCCACTTCCATTTTGAGCCATAGCCCTTCTTCAAGAATACAATTGGATAAGGCCAGGTGCCTGCCCTAATTGTCTCTCATCGGATACCCTTACTAGCCTGAATGTTTCCCCCTAATAATAGCCTTAATTTGGCTCCTTGAATATTAGTTATATATACCTTTAACTGAGCAAACAGAAAGGGATAACTTATCTGGAAGCATGGTCTGCCTGTTCGGCAACCCTCACCCGTTTGCTAGGATCCCACCTGCCTCAGCGGTGCCCTTCCAGGACTTTTGGACCTATGCTGTTAGTGATACACCGACGGTCAGGGAAGGGGGTTCTACGAAGGGAAGAAGAAGCGCACGTTGGCTGCTTTTCTTTAGAATATTTTGGATAAAAAATATATTTATTATTTATAAAAAAAATATAGAGAGAGAGGGGGAAAAAAAAAAAGGGAAGGGGAAAAAGAAGAAGAAGAAGAAGAAGCAGCCAACGTGTCATTCGCACTCCTGCTACCGTATCTAGTATTAGTATACCACATTTTCAGATGAATATAGAGCTGGCTTAGTTTTACTTACATCTTCTGTCTCTTCTGTCTTGCCACCACCCTCGAGAACTTTTTGGATTTTCAAAAATATGCTGGTTGGCATGGTGGTGCCGGGGGAGGCCAGAGCGTCGCTGGCGGTGGGGGATGGTGGGGGGGCCCGCGGAGCGTCGCTGGTGGTGGAGGGCGGGGGGCGGACAGAGTTCGAAATGTGACGACTCCAACGACGGCCGGAAAACCGGTCGTCGGCGAGCCGACGCCTAATCAAACGTCAGTCTCATGTGAGGTTATTGTCAGTGGATTACAACTTACATGTAGTATGCGTCGGCGCGGGCCCGTGGCCCAAAAAAAAACCCATATGGCGATTATTACGCCGCACACCACAGCGGCCCCAATTGGGTCAACCCCCCCCCAGGGGAGGGGGAAGAGAGGTGGCCAGCGTCGCCGCTGGGCCGGCCTCAGGGGCAGCAGTAGAAGTGGTGGTGGCAGTGGTGGTGATGGTGGCTGCCATTGCGCTGCTCATGCTGCTGGTGATGCTGCTGGTGATGCTGGTGTTGCAGTCCATGTTGCTGTGTTTGTTGCTGTTGCTGTTACTGTTGCTGTTGCTGTTGCTGTGGCTGCTGGTACTGCTGTCTGTTGCTCGGTCGCGGGAGAAGAAGAGGAAGAAGTCCAGCGTCGTGTTTCCGATGCCTTAAGAGGACAGACGCGGTCGACCGTCACGGGGTTCTGCGTTGCTCCTTCGATTCTGCCGCTTCTCACCACCTTCGTCCCTTCTGGGACAGGAGGGAATACACCCCCCCTTGACCCCTGACGACTGCCCAAGTGAATATATCAGACATGCAGACTCGGATGCAGCAAGCTATGCCATGGGCCTATATCTATACCCTAGGAGGCTTCAGGAGAGAACCCTAAAGTAGTCTACATGTATCAGCTATCTGTGAATTCCGGGGAAGCAAGATCAGCCCCAATCTTGAAGATGAGGGAAGCCTTGTCTGCATCTTCGGGGTACTTTTCCAGGTATCTTCCACGAGCAAGAGGCTAGGCCATGGTATTCGGGAGTGTCATAGAACTCTGCCCCATTCCAAGAGTTACCTGCACGACGACGGGTGAATCAACCTCTACCCACAAGAGTAGCCAGTTGGATAACGAACTAAGAAGAGAGAGAAGACGTAGCCCACGAACTTCCGTGCCTGAGCGCAGTATGCAAAGCCTCAATGGCTGTTCTTGGGAACACGTAATAGAGCCTATATCTTTGCTTGCAAGCTGGGTCATGCTTTGATGCTTGCCTGATTATATATGCTAGACTGTTGTTGTGTGCTCTTGTGCGCGAGAGTTAGACTCGGCATCCCCTTCCGTGGGTTGTATTTATCTACGTATTCTGTGCTGTGATCCTCCCTCGGAGTTAACCAACTAGTTAAGCTTCTCCTGTCACTTTTCCATTGAATGGTCAACTATCGAGTACGTAGTAGTAAGTTGGTTGGTGAACGAATTCACAGAAGCTGTCCTGGTTTCAGTATACTCTGGTTCTGGTTAGGGACATGCTCAGGGCGCTTAACTAACTACTCGTGGCTACATTTCCTGTATCCACTTCTAACAACAAGCTAACTATGTCCTTAGAAATACGCCCAAATATCATCTTTTAGAAAATCTGTCGGCTGGGAACTGGGATCTACGAAAGTAAAAAGAAGAGCGGGTTGGTTGCTTTTCTCTGGAGTTTTCTGTAGTAAAAATATAGCAATTTATTATTTTTCTATTACCAAAAAGAAAAAGAAAGTGTCAATGATATAACGACTCTCTCTGCAGCTAATCAAGAATCTCCTATTTTGGCCCAACGACCGTGTCGGTCTTCCTACCGTATCTAGTATTAGTATACCTTTTTTTTTTTTTTTTTTTTTTTTTTTTTTTTTTTTTTTTTTTTTTTTTCGAGACAGAATATCAGAGCTTAGTTTTAGTTTTACTTACTTTCTTTCCTACGCCTTCCTCTCGTCTAACCCACGACACTTGGGGGGCATGGGCGGCCTCGGGGGGGGGGGCTGCGGGATTGGAGGAGGGAGCGGCAGCCGGGGTGGTGATGGTGATGTTGGTGGAGGGAGCTGTGGCGGTGGTGGTGTGTGTGGGAGAAGAGGGGGGAGTCCTGCGCCGGCGCCTAATCAAACGTTAGTGTCACGTCAGGTTATTGTCAGCGGGTCACAACTTACAGAATATCTGCGCCGGCCCGGCCATATGGCCCGAAACAACATCCTAACAGCGCGATTATCGCGCCAAGTACCGCAGCGGCCCCAACTGGGTCAATCACCCGCAGGAAGAAGGGGGGTTGCCATGTGGCTGCGGCGGTCGTCAAAAACTGTCGTCCACACGCCGGCGCCTAGTCAAACGTCAGTGTCATATCAGGTTATTGTCAGCGGGTCACAGCTTACAGAATATCTGCGCCGGCCTGGGCATATGGCCCGAATCAGAGACCTACTAGCGCGATTATCGCGCCGCACATCACAGCGGCCCAGGAAGAGGGGAAGGGACGTGGCCAGCGTTGCCGCTTGGTCGGGCCGGGAGCAGAGCTTTCGAATATATATCCATTCGTATTGCTGATGCTGCGGCAGATAATGTTGTTTGTTGCAGCTGTGATGTTGTGCCTGTGATGTTGTTCCTGTGATTTTGTTCCTGTGATGTTGTTCCCGCTGCTCGGACGAGGGAGGAAAGAAGAGAAGGAGGCAGTGCGCGTTTCCGCCGCTTAAGAAGGCAGAGTGGACGCGTTTGGCAGTCACGGGGTCGCGGGCAGGAAGGGAGAAACAAACGCCTTAACTAGCGATGCCGGCCTCTTAGTTATATCGAGCCACGGACAGTAGATATCCAGTCCTTGACGATCCTGTCACTCCCGGACCTGCGTGATCGAGCATAGGTAACTAAGCTCGTGTGTGAGGCTTTCAGGGGTATCTCAGGGGTATGTCAGGATATAAAATGGTAGAGTTGGGGCCCAGCGCCGCCTAACGTGAGAAAGTGGATTGATGAAGGAGTTAGAAGAGAAGTTAGGAAATAGTCCAGCGCAGAAGCTTTTTATATTTCCCTGGGCCTAGTTAACTAAGTGAATCGTTTTGGTAAATTCACGGTCCTGCGGTTGCTTCACCACTCCTTCGTTGGATTTCTTTCAAAACAGTGAATAACTAGTTAAGTACCAGAAAGGATGATGATGATATTAAGCTCTGTCGAATGTGCGAGGCTTTAACTAAGCGAGATGTAGCCGACCATTACAAAAACTGACACTAAGTACTACAATAATACATATGAACGGCCTCGAGCATTAATAACGAAATGTAGCCAATCATACACTTCATTGGATAACTAGCTAAGGTTGGATGAGCGTTTAAGCAACCAATCAACTCCACTGATGTCTTAGTTATGCTTTGCAGAAAGTGATGCTTATTGGTGGAGTAACTAAGTGAGCATAAATTTACAATAGATATTATTGACCAATAGAAATGCCTCATTAACTAATGGCTAATCTAAGAAAAAGGACTACTCCGTACGACGTCCTTCCTTGCATGGCCTTGGCTCTTCTGGAGTTCGAAATAATAATGAGCAACAATAATGTCAACGCACGCCTCTATTGCAAAGTTGGGTCAGTCCGTCAGTAGCTTGTCAAGTTCATCGCCTTCTCCACTCCTGAAAACTGGGCCAGATCATCATCAACGCTACCAGCACGTACACCGTCACACGGCAGTTCTTCATATTCAAACCCAAAGTTTCTCGGGGTCACGATGGATATGAACTGGATATCCTAACAAAATACCACCGCTTTCTCGGGCAATACCTTTCTTCATACTCTGGCCTTGCTGACAGGGAATGGCTTCTGCGCCACCTGACCAATTGGAGCCTTTCCAGTATGCTAGCCGAAGAGAGATTTTGCCGGAGGACAAGGAGTAGTTCATTCTGAAGGTTACGAAGATGGACCCCAGGGATAGGCTGTCAGCAAAAGTGCTTCTCGAAGACGAGTGGTTTCACGGAGTTGAATAAGCAGGTAGATAGGATGAACGGGCCAAATAGCGGACGCAGGACTTTGTTTCATAGGGCCAATGAAGGTATGTAATCGGGATTGAACCCAACCTTAACTATCAAATTCAAAGATAACAGATAACTACCTATTCAACACGGTGAGCTCGAAGACTACAGTAGCCAACAACATCGACCGTGGGCTAACTAGTTCTACTGCCAATGCTATATAAGCTGCCTGATATTAAAGTCAGGGATAAATACCAAGAGGCTGCCGTTAATGCCAAGCAGCGTGCCGAATGAAAACTTCCGCTAACTTAGGCTTGTCTCAGGTTGCAATTTCTTCCCGCGTTAGCTTGAATGTGCTGTAGGCCATCTGCTTAATTTTTCACCTCACAATGTTGACAGAAAAACACCAAACCGTCGTCTTAGCTATATGTTTATATCCAACTTGCGGACTGGTTGCTTTTCCACACCATTGCTCTTCCTGTTACGCTTCTCGAGAGATACCCGTTTCACCCAAGCATCATTCCTTAGCCGTGACAGGACCAGCTGCGCCTTCACATGCTTTTTGCTATCTCTCATTGTGGTGTGCTTGGCCTGCAGGCTGGGCTTCCGAAGACCCTCTCATGATACCCGTTGAGTACTCTACGCCGGTGATATTATACCCAAGCTATTGATAACGGCAGAAACATTTTGGCTTGGGATTTTATAGGGCATGGGTATATGTGAAGTTCCTGTCAAGGAATTCCAATGTCAGGAACTGCTATAAAACGACTACCTCTCCTTTCCTGATTACTAGAAGAATTTATTCTCTTCTTCAGTCATTCTCTCATACGCTCTTTTGCATTTTCTTGAAAGTCGTTCTCGTTCCTCCCCCCCCCTTTTTTCCTCGTTTATTGCTCCCCTGACCCTATTCACTCATTATGACGGGCTTTTTTACCATTCTCTCCTTTTCTCTGGCGGCATTGTCTGTGACTAATGCCGCACAGATCTTAAGTGTCCCCAAAGGGGCTGAAGTTGTGCCCAATGGCTACATCGTGGTCATGAAAGACGACACCTCTCAACAGGACTTTTCTTCTCACCGCGTCTGGATATCTAGCATCCACCATAATATGACCCGACGCGGCCTTGATGGCGCAGGTGTCAAGCAGACATACGACTTCGACCACCTACGTGGATACAGTGGTATCTTCGATGAGGACACTATAAAGGATATCTCAAACGATCCAAAGGTATGTGCACGTTCATCGGCTGTTTATCACCACTGCTAGTGTCCAAAGTCTTACATTGTACTCATTCAAGGTTGCCTTTGTCGAGCCAGACGCTATCATCTCCCAGCATGTTGTTGTTCAGCAGCGAAAGGCTCCCTGGGGCCTTTCGCGTCTCTCTAACCGCAGAGGAGGTCGCAACTATGTATTCGATAGCTCTGCTGGTTCTGGCGTCTGGGCCTATGTTGTTGACTCGGGTGTAGACATCCGCCACTCTGAATTCCAAGGCCGTGCTGTTTGGGGCTCGAATCTGGTCGATAACAAGAACTCTGATGGAACCGGACACGGCACCCATGTCGCTGGAACAATTGCTGGCAAAACCTATGGAATTGCAAAGAAGGCCAAGGTAGTTGCCGTCAAGGTGCTCAACTCCGAGGGCAAAGGCCCAACCAGTGGTATCATTGCTGGTATCAACTGGAGCATCAGACACGCCCGCAAACATGGCATGCTACAGAAGTCCGTTCTCAATATGTCACTCGGAGGTACATACAGTGCAGGCCTAAACCACGCTACTGCCCAGGCTATCAAGGCTGGCATGTTTGTTTCTGTTTCTGCTGGCAACGATAACGTAAGTGATCACAGTCTCCGTAGAGAGAGGTATATTTGTTAACTCGATGCTTGGGGCCGATAGATCAACTCGAATGGTAATTCTCCAGCTTCTGAAAGATCCGTATGTACCATTGCTGCCAGCACTGAGAATGACGGAAAGGCTTCATTCTCTAACTGGGGCCCTGCCGGTAAGCATACATTGGATTGAATCAATATACGAGATTCGATACTAATGGATTTATGTATAGTTGACCTTTATGCTCCCGGTCACAATATTCTTTCTGCTAGGCCTGGAGGCGGAAGCCAGACTATGTCTGGGACCTCCATGGCAGCCCCTCATGCCGCCGGTGTTGCAGCCTACTTGATTGCAAAGGAGGGTATTCCCGGTAACCGTGCTTGTCTTCGTCTCAAACAGCTCAGTCAGCCCACTATCCGCAATCCTGGACCGGACACGACCAGCCGTCTGCTTTATAATGGCAGTGGCCGTTAATCAGGCAGTGTCATTATCTGGCAGTTAAGGTACTATAACCCTTTTGACTGCGCTATCGTCGGGGCCTAGACTTCAACACTTAATACCATTCATTATTTGCATGCCATCATGGCCGTGACAGATAAGCATGTTTTTGTACTAATTAATCAAGACTAATTATATATTGAGGTCTCATTTTCGTTGTGTAAATATCTCTTTGGAATATTATGATGTGGTAAATATAAACGGTCGCACATCGTGCCATTAAGAGCAAGTGATTTTACTAAAGTTTCTGCAGTCCTTGAGGCCTAGTGGTGATTTCATCTCTTTCAAACCGAAGGACGAATGTTTCGTCAGGCTCGGTCGGTCGACCAACCCGCACCGTTGCCTCCCTGCAGGAATGATCATAAACTATATTGAAAAGAGTCTCTCCCCGGCTCTTCCCCTCAAGATATCCGCGGCAAATACCAACGGGATAATTGTCCTCATCTTCCCAAAGGCGAGAGAACTGTTCTTTAGACAGGCTTTCTGTCTTGCTCATAAGCTGCATCATCCTCTCGTATCGAGTAAATGAGTCTGGTAATGGGTTTACCTCCGGTGCGTTGTTGTCATGGGGGAGAAGGCAATGGTTAGTGTGAACAAGTCTACCATGAGCATCGGGTACTTGTTGAAGTATATCCGCATGCGAGAACTCAATTCCAAAGGCTTCATCTGCATTTCCAACCATGATATAGGCGCCAGCAGCCATCCCACCTTGGGAAATGATCCTGTCGTACGCTTCGGTGGGAGATGAGCTTTCCAACGCCATGCGTAGAGCAAGATGTGATGGTAGTCCTGTTCGACGTAGCCCTGGGACATGAAGTGCGTTGTAATTCACAGCAACACCAGCACTGTTAAAGCCAACTTTCCCGATTATGCCTGCTTCTGTGACCATTTTTATCACGGGAAGATCTGGTTGTCTGATAGTGAGCTGGATAAGATTCTTCTTAGATGCGCTGAAGAACTAGACGTCGCCGTTAGCAACTTGACTAACTATAAACATACTATCAAAGATACTACCAAAGAAAAGGAACTGGTGATAATAGGAGAGAACCATTAGGGCAGAAACTTACATCCCAATTCTGGCCCTGCAGCGCAGAGCCCTCAGACGTTTTGCAGAAAACACTGGTGCATCCGTCTAGCTTTACGAGGCCATATGCGAGCTCAGTGCGGATGTTTAAAATAATGATCTCCAAAACCTCTCTTCCAGCACCCTGTGCAATACCTTTTCAATTTGGATTCGTTAGCACTGACACTATATAATACTATAAAGATATTGGGTATAAAAAGGTAGCATACCGCGTATTTCTTCAAAGTATTTCGGCCATCTTTGCTCGATGACCTGTGCCAGATTAGTGGCTACTCTCTGCAATTCCTCTTCCTGCTTCTTTGTGCGTCCATGGATGAGATCGAGAGAGAAGTCGAGAGTATTGGCAATGACATCTTTGGCAGCATGGCCATGCTGGTAGCCGACCTGTTCTTTTAATTCATTAGTTAGCATCAAGGGGTAGTTAACCAATTAGTTACTTAACCAACTAGTTAACCAAGCCTCCGAGCAGGAACAAAAACATGTAGATATACTAAGATCCGCACCTCAAAGGGGGTTCCCTGGCAGGCAACTCTAAGCATCATGGTGAATATCAGCTTCTCAAACACTGCTAACGTATATGCATGAGGAAATAGGGGAATGTATGGGAAGCGTAGGCAGTTAGCTAGTCAGTTACCTAGGCAGTTATATAACTAGGTTGGTTTTGCAGTTGCCAAACTTTTTGACAGCCGGTTTACTTATCAATATAGCGACCACCAGTGGCCAAGGTCCTTCTTGACCCATCAACTAAGCTAACGAACTGCAGTTTGAGCTGGTCGCCCTGCCGATGTAGCCAATCAGTCCGCTGTAGCCCTGTTGCTGCGAGTGTGGCAAAGGCAGCTCCACAGCGGCGCCCCTGGCCTGGCGTGGTCCATTTAATCCGCCGCAGCGGGTCTCTGAGCGGACCGCATCCGATCAAGGCGCCGCATTGCAGAGCAGTAAGATTTTGAACATGACAAAATGGCTGGCTAGAATAGCTCCCAAAATTCCTAGAGCTTGTGCACCCAAGACAGCGAATACGAGGAGTTCGGCTGAGTGACACCCACAGTGGTGCCGGCATGACGACATGACGGCGCGCCGGTCGCATCGGCTGGGGCGGTGGTGGGCGTGTTCCAGGTTCTTCAACTTCGTATCCGTCCTTGGATCTCCATCATTGTGCGGACTTGAGTGAAATCATGGCCTGTGTTGCATTTAATCTATATAATTTTCAGATCGTTGAGATAGCTAGTTACATAGCTTGTTAACTCGTTAACTAGTTAACCAAGCTTAAAACTAACACACAAATTTTAGGTCTGGCCGTTCTTCTTGATCAAGCCAATCAGACCATCCTGCAAGTACTGGCCGTACGGAATAGGCTTCCTGGCTGGCTCGGAGTTCTGAGAGTTGGAGCCTGGGTTCCACGGCTCGACAACGTCATCAAAACCCAGGTTGACAAAGAAGGGAAGGGATTGGCGCTCTGCGTTCACGAATTTGACGCGATGAATGGGCGCCGGGTAGAAGTTGTTGGTGATATGGGCCATGTAGCTCCCGCAGTTGACAAGGTAGCCGGTGTCGTCAGCTTCGATATCCAGCCAGCCCTCCGGCGTCTGCACCTGTAGGTTTTGAACCTGGGATTGATACAGGACGGTGATAAGTGAAACGTCTTCGTGCCACTCGAAGCTGAGCTTCGTGCCATCGCTGGCAGTTTTTATTGCAGGAGCCGGGTAATCCTCGATATAAGGGTATCTGATAAGAACCACTGAGGACAGCGTATCATGCTTTCGAAAGTGCTTGGTGAAAAAGTCCTCTTCCTTACCAAGGGCAAGTGCGTAACCACGCAAGAGGGCCGAGGAGAGACCAAACACATCCCAGTAATACTGCTCGGCAAATTGCCGGAATCCTGGGTGCTTGTCCTCGTCTGGCCAGACATTCACCTCGTGAAACGGTGTGCCCTGCTGAATGCGGGGATGGTCGGGGCTGTAGTTGGGATTGAGATAACAGAATGACTCGACAGCCTTCTTCCCTGGGATGGGCAAATAGTAGCCACTGCGAATCTGCTTTTCGTGTTCTTTATTGTACGCCCGAATGGCGAGCTGCCACTTCTCCTCGTCGGTAATAGAGAGGTGGAATTTCCGGGTCTCCTCCGTGAGGCGATTGACATCGACCCCATGGCCGACTGCGTAGAAGAAACCTGAGCCGCGCGAGGCTGCATCAATAGCACGAGCAACTTTCATCTTCTCCGCCATATTATCACCAAATAGGGGAGAGACATTGATTCGAGGAACGTCGGCAACTGGAGTCGTTGACATGATGTCGATACGGTTAACCTGGTGTATCTCAAGAATGGAATATGTCAGGTTGCTGAAAGGTCGTTGGCAAAGATGAATAAATTTTAGTGATGAATTTCAGAGTGCAACATCGGGAGGTGCGGTTGGTTCACTAAAGTGGAAGAGAAGTCTTTGCATTTTTAAAACAGCCTTCTTACTCTGAGCCTGTGACTGGCGATGCAGACATGAGCCAAGACGTCACATTGAATCACTTAAGCAGCATAGATCCCCAGTCTCTCGAGCTGATCAGTTAGCCAACTGCACGCAGGCATGTTAACACCCTTCAGAAACATATTGCCGCCAGTGGGCCCTGGGCCCATAGCTATCGTCCATATTTCAGGTTTAACAATACGAGATCTTAATATACATTGCACCCTCGGAGCGTCCATGTTGACGTCAGGCTTAACGTGGAATGCTATCAGCTGTATATTGGATGAAATCGAGGTCCGCACCCTTCATTGCCCCAAGACTCCGCTCTTGGGGCAAAGGCTAAGAGATGTAACCAAGGAACACAAGGGTATTTCTTTGACACGAGGAGAACAGCCATCTCAGCTTGACCTGAAATATAGAGACGGTTTATAGGTCTCTATGTTTCTGGTTTTTCCCCCTTCTAGCATCAGTATTTCCGAAGACTTTTCAACTCTCCCCCCATATCATAACATCGTGTTTCAATCCCAGCTCTATATTTCAAGATGACCATCGAAAACGACATCAAACGACCAAGTAATGATGTTACCACCTTGGAAAACGGCAAAGCTCTGAATTTTCGAAGGCAGATACCCTCGCCCCATGAGAGGATGTACTGCAATGGGAGCCTCGATAAATGGAGGCTCTTTATCAGCCATATTAGTGAACGCTGTGATCTTAGTGGCCTTGCAAAGGCCTGCACTAGATACCAGCTAGCACTAACAGGGTTTTCCGACGTTGACACCCATCGGGAGCGTCAAACTGTAACCGTTGATGTCCCCGAGGGGGTTAACACTGCCCTCAGGGACAGATATATCCGGCAGGGAGGCTCTCTTCGGAGCATCGTGCTGTTTGCAGTGCATCAGATGCTTAAGGGGTTCGGCAATGGTTCCCACACAGTTACTGCTTCCATCAGCCCAGATGTGGAACACGGGCTTTCTTGGGAGGTATCCCCTACCATTGTCTCTCACAAAAATCGCGGACAAACGTCAGTCCTCGAGGCCATCAGAAACATCGACATCAGCAATCAGCGGCTACAGTCTTCCAAAAATGAGGAAAACGAAGAAGAATCACAGGCGAATCGGGCATCGCGGTTAGAGGAAGTCGGTAGTGAATTGGAGGGAGGTTGGATGAAGTCGGAGCTTTTCGACTTGCCGGTTGTCTTCGTTAAGTCGCGCTTAGGTCACGTGATGCGACTATCCAGCATCGACGTCGATTTCCCACTAGCCGTGCTCGTCCATGAAGGACACAACGATGGAGACCTCCAGCTGGCTGTCCAGTTCTCTACAGCACTCTTTGCGCCTGAGACTATACAAAATTTTACCGATGCGCTGAAAATCCTGCTCGCAGAGGCCTCGACAGGCCCAGGGACGCTAGTCAAGGACATCGACCTACTCTCGGCGCAGCAAATTCAGCAACTGGATGTTTGGAACAATACCGATGGAGATTACGAGTCTTCTAAGCGGCTCAACCATCTTGTAGAAGATGCTGTACGACACTGCCCGGACAAAGTAGCTGTCGTGTGCGAAGAGCGAGAACTCACGTATGGCGATCTCAACCGCCAAGCGAACTCTCTCGCTAGATATCTCTGCCGCTTCGTGCAGCCAGAGCAACTCCTCGGCCTATTTCTCGAGAAAAACGAGCTACTTATAATCACAATCCTCGCGATTTGGAAGTCAGGAGCTGCTTATGTTCCTATCGACCCTGCTTTCCCCGATGACCGTGTCCGTTTTGTTCTGGATGATACAAAGGCTAATATCCTCATCGCCAGCGATGCACATGCTGCAAGATTGCAAACCATTGCCAGCAATAAAGATATTCAAGTAATCAGGCTTGAGCTACTTCTGAAAGAGTTAACATCTTCGGCGGCCGGTGAGTTCCATGATGGACAAAATCTGGACCACCTGCCTCTCAACAGCAGGCAGCTTGCATACGTGACATATACCTCTGGCACTACCGGCTTCCCAAAAGGAATATTCAAAGAACATACTAGTGTGGTGAATAGTATCACGGATTTGTCTGTCAAGTACGGTGTGGCAGGGTCGCATCATGAGACGATTTTGCTATTTTCTGCTTATGTATTTGAACCGTTTGTCCGCCAACTGCTCATGGCGTTGGTGAACGGCCATCTTCTCGCCATTATAAGTGACGTGAAAAAATATGATTCCGACTACCTGCTATCCCTCATGCAGCGGCACCAGGTTACCTACCTCAACGGCACCGCGTCTGTGTTGCAAGAGTACGACTTCTCCACATGTCCATCATTGAAGCGTATAATCATCGTTGGTGAGAATCTGACGGCCGCACGATATGACTCACTTCGTCAGAGATTTAAGGGGACAATTTTGAACGAATATGGATTTACCGAGTCAGCTTTTGTGTCTGCCCTGAACATTTTTGAGCCTCATTCCAAACGAGAAAATACCAGTCTCGGACGCCCGGTTAGGAATGTAAAGTGTTATATTCTCAATCAGGAGCTAAAGCGAACTCCTATTGGAGTAACGGGTGAATTGCATATCGGCGGGTTGGGTATTTCACGAGGGTATTTGAACCGCCCCGACCTGACCCCGTTCAAATTTATCCCCAATCCCTTCCAGACGGGAAGAGAGAAAGAGCTCGGTATCAATCGCTTAATGTACAAAACTGGTGACTTGGCCAGATGGCTACCCAACGGCGAGGTGGAATATCTTGGACGTGCAGATTTCCAGATCAAATTACGTGGCATCCGAATCGAGCCGGGAGAGATTGAATCAACGCTTTCTATGTATCCCAATATTCGAACAAGCCTAGTAGTGTCCAGAAAACTCAGATCAAGAGGTGAAGAGACTGCCAATGAACATTTAGTAGGGTACTACGTGTGCCAAAATAATGTGGAAGTGGTTCCTGAGGAGAGTCTGTTGGCATTTCTAGAAACAAAGCTACCCAGATACATGATCCCATCACGTCTGGTCCACCTCGAATATATTCCTGTGAATATTAACGGTAAAGCTGACCTGAAAGCCTTACCCGTGGTTGATTTATCAAGACCAGCGAAGGGTGCCTTAAATAATTTGGGAAACCAAACGGAAATTGACCTACAAAAGATTTGGAGTGATGTTCTCGGTATCGGAAATGATTCCATATCACCTGACGATAGTTTCTTTCGCTTAGGAGGGCATAGTATCAGTTGTATTCAGCTGATCGCACGGATCCGACAACAGTTTTCTGTCAGCATTTCTGTGGAGGACGTCTTTTCAATAAAAACCCTTAGTCGCATGGCTGCATTCCTACGCAAGAGGCAGAGCGAAATCGAGGCTAGCTGTACAACTGATATTGCTACACTATCAAGCACCTCTCAAAGTTTTCCTGTTCCTTCGGGGAGTAACAGCACTTGTTACCTTGCCAATAGCCTTCAGCAAGGTTTTATATACCACTACCTAAAAAATAAGGAGCCTTCTGGAACATACATTATGCAATCTGTTTTGCGGTATGATACTGAATTGCAGCCTGATGTTTTTCGGAAGGCCTGGAAACTTACGCAACATGCATTTCCAGCACTGAGGCTCCGATTTTTATGGGAGAAGGACGTATTTCAAATTATTGACCAAGATCAGCCTCTTCATTTTCGATTCTTCTCTTCTGATAGGGATCTGGAGGGCTTATCTAGAGAGGATAAGCTTCAGAATCTACAAAACCAAGATCTGCAGGAAGATTACAAGCTAGATGCTGGGGAACTCTTTCGGGTGTATATGATAAAGCATGATGACCAACATTTTTCCTCCCTTTTTAGCTGCCATCATGCTATTCTCGATGGGTGGAGCCTGCCTTTACTCTTCCAGCATGTCCATGAGGAGTATCTCCGCCTTATCAAAGGCGGCCACTTTCATTTTGATACCCCCATTGATAAAGCGTACGGACACAGTCAGAACTTTCTTCAAATGAATCGTGATACTCACCTTGAATACTGGTCTGGTGTAGTTGAACAAATCACGGAACGCTGCGATATGAATGTCCTTCTGAATGAGCAGAGTAGATACAAGATACCTCTCGCAAATTATGATCAGGTCCGAGATCAGCGCCAGCAGACCTTACATCTTGATGGCGATATGCACCTAAGAAATATTCATGATGCATGCTCTGAGCGGGGAATCACTTTACACTCTATCCTTCAGTTCATCTGGCACACCATCCTCCAAAAGTATGGTGGCGGAAGCCATACAGTTACGGGAACGACAATTTCTGGCCGCAATCTACCTGTCGAAGGCATTGAACACTCTGTCGGACTCTATATAAACACACTACCCTTAGTGATAGATCACACTGAGTACAAAAATAAGAGCGTCCTGGATGCAATGTCTGATGTTCAGGCCAAGGTCAACGCGATGAATACACGGGGGCATGTTGAGCTAGGCCGTTTGTATAAAAGTAACCTGAAACATGGGCTCTTTGACACGCTGTTTGTCTTCGAAAGCTATCCAGCCTTGGATAGGATGAAAGAACTCCATCATCAAGAAGCTTTACAATATTCCATTCAAGGAAATATGGAAAAATTGAACTATCCTCTCACAGCTATAGTGCAGGATATCAACGCTGCTACCATAGACACTCTCACATTTACTATCTGCTATGCCAGTGAACTTTTCGATACACCCACGATCCTAGAGTTATTGTCAATGGTACAAGATACCATTAAGCAGATATCAAGCAACCTTACACGACCAGCAAATAGCTTGGAGTATCTCTCTTTAGCTCAGGTCAATCAATTGGCTGAGTGGAATGCAACTGAAGCCGACTTCCCAGATGCAACTCTTCATCAGCAGTTTGAGTTGGAGGTAGACAGGGTTCCTAGTAAAACTGCTATCATCTATGAGGATGTAACGTTAACATACCATGAATTAAACGAGAGAGCGAATCGGATGGCGTGGCAATTGAAGAGGGAAGTTGGCATAAAACCCGATGACCTAGTCGCTCTCGTTCTGGATAAAAGCGAACACATGATGGTTTCTATACTGGCAGTGTGGAAGTCTGGTGGAGCTTATGTACCGATCGACCCGTCATACCCCGAAGACCGCATTTCTTATATCCTCCAGGACACTAACGCGGTAACTGTGATCGCCGATCCCATCTATATCCCCAAGGTCGAGAAACTTACACGTCTAGGAGTACCGATATATCCATCAGATTTGGCTACACATAACACTAGCGATTGGAGCTCAGATAACCCTCCCTCTTCAAGCATAAACACGAACTTAGCCTACATTTTCTATACGTCTGGAACGACTGGCCGGCCAAAAGGGGTAATGGTAGAACATCACGGAGTGGTCAATCTACAGACTTCGCTCTCCAGGATCTTTGGCCTCCGTGAGACTGATGACGAGGTTATCTTCTCCTTCTCGAACTATGTCTTTGATCATTTTGTAGAGCAGATGACCGATGCCTTGCTGAATGGTCAGACTCTATTAGTCCTGAATGATACCATGCGTGGAGATAAAGAAAGGCTCTATCAATACATGGAGAAAAATAGGGTAACTTACTTGTCTGGAACCCCGTCAGTTATATCCATGTATGAATTCAGCCGGTTCAAAGCGCACTTAAGACGAGTCGATTGCATTGGTGAGGCGTTTAGCGAACCAGTTTTTGATCAGATTCGCGAAACCTTTCAAGGGCTTATTATCAATGGCTACGGTCCCACTGAAGTCTCTATTACTACCCACAAACGTCTATATCCTTTCCCGGAGCGCCGCACTGATAAGAGTATCGGCTGTCAGATAGCCAACAGCACCAGCTACGTTCTCGATGAAGACATGAAGCGCGTCCCAATCGGGGCCGTTGGAGAGCTCTACTTAGGTGGTGACGGCGTTGCCCGAGGTTATCATAATCGCCCCGACCTTACAGCCGATCGATTTCCTTTCAATCCATTCCAGACAGACAAAGAGAAAAGTGAGGGGCGCAATATGCGACTCTATAAGACTGGGGATCTCGTGCGTTGGATTCCTGGCAGTAGAGGAGAGGTTGAATACTTGGGTCGCAATGACTTTCAAGTAAAGATCCGTGGAGTGCGAATTGAACTCGGCGAAGTCGAAGCCGTTCTGTCTTCGTACCCAGAAATCAAACAGTCCGTGGTTGTTCCTAAAAAACGTGCGCAGGGGGGCCAAACATTCCTTGTTGGATACTGTGTTTCTGGTTCAACAATATCTTCCATAGATATAAAACGATTTATGCAGTCTCGTCTGCCAGACTACATGGTTCCCTCTCGGCTCATCTTTGTCACAAAGTTACCTGTTACCCCTAGTGGCAAACTAGACACAAAAGCTCTGCCAGCCGTTGATGAGTTAACAGATAACGAAGTAGTTGCACCACGGACTGAAATCGAACGAACTTTGCGTGAAATATGGGCGGAGTTACTTGAAATACCACTAGAGGATATCAGCATCTACAGCGATTTCTTTGGCTTGGGAGGCGATAGTTTGAAGAGTACCAGATTATCCTTCATGGTCAATGAATTTCTTCACAGGACAATTAGCGTCGCCGAGCTTTTCCAGCATCGAACAATCGAAGCATTAGGTCGTTTAATCGTTAACGGCATCGGGGACATACAGGACATCGCCTTGATCACTGACACAAACAAGGATATCTCAATATCCCCGGCGCAAGAGCGTGTTTTATTTCTCCACGAGCTTGAAGGCGGGAATAGTAAAGGGTATAATATAACAAAAACATTACAATTGTCCTCCCAGACGAGCCCTTCTTTAATTGAACAGGCGCTAAGGAAACTTCTATCACGACATGAGGCATTACGTACTTTGCTGCAGAAGGACGCTGTCTCTGGAATCTACCATCAGAAGATTTTGAATAATAATGAAGCGCAGTCTTTGTTCTTCATCAAAACATCTACAGTCAGGGATTTGGATCATCTCGATCAAAAAATTTCTGACGCTTCCCAACATATATTCCATTTGGGAGAGGAACTACCCCTCAGGGTGTATATGTTCACAGAGAATGGTGTCTCATTATATCTCACGTTTGTCATTCACCACTCGAACTTTGATGGTTGGTCTTGGAATATTGTCTTCCGGGAACTTGTTATGCTTTATTCTCGTTTGCAAGGCAAAGACTCTATCACACTTCCAAATCTCACAGTTCAATATAAGGAGTTCGCGCATCATCATCGTCATATACTTACAGGCGACCGTTTTCGTGTACTCTCCGAGTTCTGGCGAAGTAAGCTTGAGAACTTCGAGCCCCTTCACCTCAATACTGATAAATCTCGGCCGCCCCATTTTGAATATGATGGAGATGATGTGAACTTTATTATAGGCGAACAGGAGGTTAAAGTGTTGCAAAAGGTGGCAAAGCGATGCAAAGCAAGTCTCTACGCTGTTCTCCTTGCATTATACGGTCTGATGCTCGCTTCCTATACCCATCAAACTAATATTCCGGTCGGTGTACCCGTCACCCATCGAACCCACCCACAGTTCCAATCTGTTGTTGGTTTTTTCGTCAATCTTCTGGTTGTACGGGTGGATGTGACCCGGCAAGGAATTGTTGGACTTGTTAAACGGGTAATGCGGGAGCTGGTGGATGCTCAACTTCATCAAGATATGCCGTTCCAGGAGGTAACAAAACTTCTGAATACAGAACATGACCCCAGTCGACATCCTCTAGTACAAACTGTATTCAATTATGAATCAAACCAGGCTGATACCCTAAGCACAAAAGCGAACAAAGGAGATTTCGCTGAATACCAACCAAAACTGGCATACTCAGCTGCAAAATTTGACTTTAGTGCTACAGTTTCTGAAATGGGATCCGAGGTGATGGTCAACTTTAACTACGCTATCAGTCTATTCACCAAATCCACAATTTTGGGAATGTTGGATACATATAGGCATCTTATCTATGGGGTTTGTCATTTAACCGAACACGGGATTAACGACACCACGCAACTCCCATTGACGCCCATGTGTCAGGGTGATGGCAGTCACTTGCCATTGCTGGAGACACATCTTACCACTTCCGGGGACAAGGAGCCTGCTGCTACCTTGAACAAACTGTTTGAAGCCGAAGTTGCTCTGGCGTCAGACTGTGTCGCGATCGTCGAAGGAGAGAAAACCATCACATATGGCGATCTCAATGCCCAAGCTAACCAATTGGCATGGTATTTACTTTCAATAACAGACTTGAAACCAGATGACCATGTAGCTCTGATGCTGGACAAAAGTATCAGCATGCTCATTTGTATTCTTGCTGTTTGGAAAGCTGGAGCCGCATATTTACCCCTTGATCCTACGTTTCCTGATAACCGAATAGGCACAATCCTTCAGGAATCTAAGCCAAAAGCTGTTCTTTTGCATAGCAAATACGCAGTACGGTTCGAGTCCCAAGGTATAAACCTCGTCACAATAGATACTACGGAGAACATCAGCCGCCAATCGACAGATGATGTCAAATCAAATGTGCAGCCTGAAAATTTGGCATATAGTATATTCACATCAGGAACTACTGGCAAACCTAAAGGTGTATCAGTCAAGCAAAATGGAGTCATCAATCTTCGGAACGGCCTTCGAATGCGATATTTTGGCAACTGTGCGCCAGGAAACCATAGTGTGCTATTTCTCTCCAACTACATCTTTGACTTCTCCCTCGAACAAATAGCGTTATCGATCTTAAGTGGCCAGACATTGATCATCCCGCCGGAAAATTACTTCGCCAGCAACGAGTTCTATGATATCTGCAATTCATATAAACTCTCTTATTTGAGTGGAACTCCGTCTCTTTTGCAACAAATCGATCTACGAAAACTAAAGTTTCTGAAAATGGTAACAGCTGCTGGTGAAGAGCTCCATGTCTCTCAGTACAAGAAGATGCGTGATAGCTTCCATGGTACTATTCACAACGCTTATGGAATCACTGAAACAACAGTATACAATCTCATTACTGCCTTTTCAGCCAATGATGGATTTGAAAACTGTCTACGAGAAGTCTTACCTGGAAATCGGATTTACCTACTCAGCCATAATCTTCAGCCTGTTCCGCTAAATGCAGTAGGACAACTATACCTGACAGGTGACTGTCTCGCTCGTGGGTACCTCAACCAGCCCACATTAACCACACAGCGGTTTATCCCTAACCCCTTCCGCACTGATGAGGACGTTGCCTCTGGAAAGTTCTCTCACTTGTATAAGACTGGAGACCTAGCTAGGTGCAGGCTGGATAGCTCAGGGAATACTTATATCGAATACATGGGACGAAATGACCTCCAAGTCAAGCTTCGAGGTCTCCGAATTGAGCTTTCCGAAGTTCAGCGAGTTATGTCCTCAGTTCCTGGGGTTGAAGACTGCGCTGTTATCGCGAAATATATGGATGACAACCCACGCTCTCGTGTGGCTCAGTATCTTGTGGGATACTACTCCACGGAAAATCCATCAGGCCTTGAGGAAATAATCATTAGACATATGAAAACCAAGCTGCCCGGGTATATGATACCAGACCATCTGTGCCATCTCAGAGGCCCCTTTCCCGTTACTAGAACAGGGAAGCTTGATATCCAAAAGCTACCAGATATAGGCGTCACGACCGGTCCCCGGGCCGTTTATTCACCACCACACAATGCCCTGCAATCCAAACTTTGTGCTCTCTGGGCCTCTGTCTTGGGGGTAGAACGGTGTGGAATTGATGATGACCTGTTCAAAATGGGTGGGGACAGCATCACCTCCCTTCATCTGGTCGCGCAAATCCATCATCGCCTTAGTTGCAAGGTCACCGTTCGTGACTTATTCGAATACCGCACCATCCGGAAGCTATACAATAATGTTCTACGTAATGATCTGTCAGGCTCAACCAGCGAGTTCCGTACTGAACAAGGTCTTGTCACCGGTGAGGCACCCCTACTGCCAATTCAAGAATGGTTCCTTTCCAAGCCGCTAGAAAAACGGGATCAGTGGAACCATACATTCTACATTCAAACGCCAGAATTGGATGTGGATCGTTTGTCAGTTGCTGTACAGAAGTTACAGGACTATCACGATGCATTCCGTATGCGATTGAAGCAAAAGGGGGAGACTTTCGTTCTATCATTCCCAACAGAGCATCAGAAAATTGCACTGCGCGTCTTGGATGTAAGCAGCATTTGTAAACGTGCTGCTGTCAATGAGGCCCTCAGCGAGTGGCAGTCGGCGTTCAATATTGAGAACGGCCCTATCGGTACTATTGGCTACTTGTATGGCTACAGTGATAAAACAGCCCGTGTATGGTTCTCAATCCATCACCTTGCCATCGATACGGTTAGCTGGCAGATTTTGATACGCGATCTCCGGAATTTATATCTTGGTGAAAATTCAGGCAGCAAGGGCAGCAGTCTGCGGCTATGGGCTAACAGTATGAGCAGCTATCAGGGCTCAAAACTGGAGCGAGAATACTGGGATAACTTGATCGCTCAAAGTTCCGAAAGTGTTGCAGCACTTCCCCCTTCTACTAGACCTCGTCTAAAATTAGGGCGTGTCATGGGTGCTGACAAGTCAGCATCTCTGCTGCAGCATGCTGGCCAAATGGAAGCATCTGTACTTGCTGCAGTCGGGCTAGCGCTCCAGGATGTTGAGCCAATATGCTGTAATATGGTCACCTTGGAAGGACATGGTCGTGAAGAAGGTATCGATAGCACTCTGGATGTTAGCCGTACGATGGGCTGGTTCACAAGCATGTATCCATTCCAGATTCCCCATGTGAAGGAGGTCGACATGCTTGCAGCAGTAGCCGAGATCAAGGCGGAGGTGGACCGAGTTCCTTGCCATGGCGCTGGATATGGTGCGCTCTATGGCTATTTACGGCGTCCATTACCCAGTGTCAGCGTCAATTATCTAGGGCAGCTTACGCGAACGTCACACATGCCCGATGATGACTGGAATTTAGCTATTGGGAATGGAGAATACGCATACGGGCTGACATGCAGCCCCGAGGACGCAAAAAAGAGCTCTTCCGCTATAGACATAACGGTGACATGCATCAATGGGAGAGTGGCTGTTGATGTTTCCAGTATCTGGGACCAAGACAAGAGTGAGGTGTTGATATCTACGATTGAGCGCGGACTGGACCATATAGCCGAGCAGCTCAGTAGCGGGAGTACATCTTCAACCGATTCTCCGTCTTGCCAGTTATTCACCGAAGAAACATTCACGCCTTACTTTGAATATCGTGACCCTAGCCATCGACAAGGTCCGACCCTGTTTCTCCTGCCTCCAGGCGAAGGCGGAGCCGAGAGCTACTTCAACAACATTGTCAAATACCTTCCAAAACACAATCTGGTGGCTTTCAACAATTTGTACCTGCACAGTAAGGCTCTACAGACATTTGAGGAGCTGGCGGAGTGGTATGCGGACCATATACGGCGTCTTCAACCTCACGGACCGTACCATTTACTTGGCTGGAGTTTTGGTGGAATTCTCGCGATGGAAATTTCCCGCCGGCTAGATGATGGCAGTGGGAAGGCGATTAGCTCACTTCTATTCATTGACACCTACTTTGACGTCCGGGGCGCAACCGAGGAGATCGGGATGGCCGAGAGGACAATTCTGGACAAGATCCATCATATATACGATCCTGAACCCACGCGGCTTGCACACATGCTCTCCCGAGTTAAGGATGTTGTTCTCTTCAAGGCTGCCAAACCTAACGACAAATATACCAGCGACGAGCAGCGTCTACTATACGAGTACTATCATAGAACCAGAGCCAACAACTTGGACAAATTCATCCCTATCGAGCGTGTCTCGGTAATGCCGTTGCAAGGTAACACTCATTTTTCCTGGGTCCGGGATGTTGAGCAAGTGAAGAAAGTATGCAGCATGATTGAAAACATACTGGATAACATGGAGAACGGACATACTTAGGTGGATCTCGAGCCGTAATCTTGTACTATAGATGTTGAGTTACATGGTTAGCTATTACCCAAGGAGAATGGAACACCATTGGCCGACAGGTGTCTTAACGAGACGATGCAGGACGTAGTTGATCAGTTATCGTATTGCTTAGAGTGGTCACTCGTTAACTAGATAACTATTCACACTGGCCAAATCCTGGCTCGTAACTACATGTTTCAGTGAATGAGCAAGGTCTCCTTAGCGACTCTCTGACCTACTCGACTTTTTGGCCTCATTCAATGATATAACTATTCACTGATTATCTCGCTCTGAGTATATCAATACCAAGTTCTCAACCTTGGAAATGGGAGGGTCTTCTCCCACCATCCATTCTCGTGATAAACCGTTAGTTATGACTAGTGCTAGTTACCATGACAACCAGGCCGTTGATGAAGTAACAGAGCAGGATGACCATCTCCTAGATGACCGTCTCCTGCAGGTGCTGGGTTGGTTGACTCTGCAGAGGCAAAAGATCAGGTCGTTCAATGGCGGACAGCCCTAAGTCTGCATGCGATATGGCCTTCCCTCCCCAGCAGCGCCGTGGATGCATATCCCCAACGGAGAATACAAGCCCGGGAAATTCGGCTTCGACACATCACGAAGAGTCGCGCAGTCTTCTTTTCTTCGCTGGCGAGACCATTTTTACAAACATGAGCTTTGACGGAGTTAGCAAGAGATTTCGAAGACTGGAAACAGCAGAAGAGAGCTTTGATCGTCAAGTCCGTGAAGGATACAATTTCGAAGGACTGGATACCCTGCACGTATTCGCATCAAGTTGCCAGAATCTCCCACCTCCTGTCGAAGACTGCTTGCCATAGCTCAAGCAGACTGAATATATCCTAGAGGATGCAGACCTCGAATCCATTTTGCAATCAGTACCAAATTGCTACAATTATAACTAACTAGTTAACTGTTAGCTGGTGAGCGAACTCGTTAACTAAGCTTGCGCCACAACCAACTGTCGCTAAGTTGCCTAACTAGTTAATTATCTTGGCTAACGTCAGTCAGAGGTATTTAGCTATAGATGAATGGTATCGCTCTCTCGTGATGTGTTGTTATGTACTGGACATTGCATACTAAACCTCTATGCCAGCATACCACATAAGCAACAATCCACAATGGCCGATTTAAACAGAAAAGCACCAGAGACTATTGACTCTCCGCTATTGATCGGACTTCCCGAGGGAACACCACGGATTGAATATACCAATATGGAGGACATTAGGTGTCTAGTGAATAAAAGGGCTCAACTATGCTGCTTGGATTCTTCCAAAAGCGAATTTATCATAGTTATAAATATACCACATACGTTCCTTCAAGATTTTGATAATGTCTATCCGGATAAAGGACCAAGAATATCTACCAATCTTCGGGATAGAGTCTTTATTCTCGAGACTATGGTTGGCAAAATACATGAAATCGCAGCTCGAGGGCTTGAGGGATATCTTAGAGAAAAGATTAGAGATATGAATCTCAATTATATCACTACCCGTTCCGGAGAAGGCCGGGCAACCAGCGATACTTTTACCAAGGAGCCTGATGGAAGCTTTACCTTACTGGACCGCGATTGGCCAATATTAGTTATTGAAGCCGGAGTATCTGAATCGGAGGCCAAATTAAATATTGATGCTCGTGGATGGCTAGAATCACCAAAGCCAGAAACGGAAGTCGTTATTATAATTGAAATTAATCGACATTCTCCGGAAATTACCTTTAAAAAATGGGAAAAATCATCTTCCACGCCAGAGAGAGGAACATGCTCCTACCACCAACCGGCGATATCGAACGAGATTGTCCACGCCAAGTATCAGAATGATGTGGCCGAAATTACTGGCGATATGGTTATCCCATTGGCGAAGATAGCCGGCCGCGGGCCGCAAAATTCCAACGAGAATGACATCACTGTCACAAAAGCGGCATTTGAAGAGATATGCAAGGAAGTGTGGGCAGCCCAGAAGTTTCTAAAATAATCAATTTTATTGATACACAGCTTGTGAAATATGATGCTACTCCCCATTCTATGAGCGAGTAAACAATCAAAAATTCTTGCATCCAAAACCGCAGAGTAACCTCTCTAGTAGGACTGGGATTGACTCGGAGTATTACCGCGGTGCCCTTGCGTTTGCTAGAGCTTATCAACGGGTTTTCTTAATTTGTATCCAGCCTAGGTCTTACTGCTAGGTGATTCCGCGTTCGATACAGACGATAAGGCTAGACCAGTATCAAAATGAAGTGTAGTTTTTCCTAGAAGCAGCTTGGACAGATTACTTACTATATCCGGACAAGTTCTCTTGAATACCGGAGTGTAGTACTAATTGTATCAGCCGCTATTGACCCTGAGAATCATTCTTTTGCCTTCAACAGTGATAATGCGACCGCAGTTAACCCGAGACGTGGCTCACGCTATGTAGCTCTGGAGGCTCTGCGCGGGCGGCGGGAAGTGGGTCTTCCCGCCGTAGTTTAACAGTGAGCTAACTAATTGATGACTGGGTCAATGACGGCGCCAACTGTCATCCAACCGCCCACGGCTCAGCAAGCTATACGGAGTACTAGCTATTTATTGAGTTAACTAATACTTAAACAATGATAGAGTATCCCCTTCTTTCTACGGCTACATCTAGCAATGAACTGCTTAAGCAAGTCGTCAATGTGGACCAACCACAGCTAGTAACTATGGAAATCAGTGATATGACCATGGTCTTAATTCCAGTTCCGCATATGCCCCCGCCGTGAGTGGAAGCGTCGGACAAGAAGGGGTTACAGTGTGACAGACTCTCTGCACCAGATAGCCGGCATGTTGCTTTTCCTCACTCAAGCTGCTCTTCATAACCAACTGTCGGCTAGTCAACTAGACCTCATGTCCCGTAAGCTGTTTCAAATGAAGCTCCCAACAAAGGTAGCAAGTATAACTAGTTAATAGTAGCTGCAACTGCAACAACCACGCTACAGGGAGTATTACTCCAGATATCTCGAGAGCCACAATAACTACCTCAAATACAATCAGCAGACATTTTTCTTCCCCTTCGCTGCGATTTTTGTGATTTCTCATGCTTGTGACAACATAATAATACTGGCTTTCATTATTAGCCTAAGGTATTGATTCATTCGTGGGGAGAGTCGAAGCTATCCCTTGGTGTAACATCATTGAGCAATATCTCTTCTCTAAATGTTAGTTAACTCCCCCATTCTTACCTCTATCATACCATCAGTCAAGAACGCAGTGGGCCTAGAATGTATCCAAACAATAGAGAGAACTACAGCCAAACAATATTAAGTCACAGTGACTTCCGTATTTCCAGCCCTAAGACGCATGCGTAACTAGACATGCCACTGGGCATACCACAGCTTCAACTCTATGCATTCGACGTAGTTTACCCAGCCTGGGTAGAGTGCCCGTGGGAAAACGGCAATACGGTGCCCTGGCCCGACGGCGGCCATCCAGGCAGCCAGCCTTGCATCTCGTGGCCGGATCTGATTGTAGTGAGTCCGTGTCCGTCGCTGGGCACATACGTTTGGCTGCAGCATGAGCCTCTCGTCTTCGTGGTTTTCGTAGACTTGTTCCGGGTCGTCTCGAAGGACTCTGATTTCGAACCAGGTGTAGGATCCATCGTAGGAGTCGCGCACGCCCTGCGAGCACCAGCCTGGATATCATCTGTCAGCTCTATCAGGCCAGAGTAGCTAGAAGAGAGTCAAAATGAGCGCAGACCTTGATCATGAGAGACAGTCAGGATATCTATCCTGCGCAGGTAACCCTGCAGCGCCGGACACTCGACCTCAATGTACGGCCTGATCCTGTCGTTCTCGGTGAAATAGAGCTCTCGCTCCCGCCGCGCAGAGACAGCCACCCAGAACTCAGCCTCGTCCAAGATGTGCGCCATGATGGTCTCCGGCAGTCCCAGCGCGGCCGCCAACCATGCCAGCAGCGCCGTATAGCCCTCCCTCGTCAAGCTGGTCGTCCTGCTCCAGCTCCCGCCGTTCCCGCCGGCGCCGTCAGCCAGTGCCTGTTGCAGCGTCGGGAACCAAGGCTCCCTGCCGGCCCAGTCAACCACGGCTGCCGGCAGCGCGACAGGCAGACGACGGCCCTTCTCAACCATCTTTTCGGCAAGGTACGCGCAGGTGTCGCCGTGTTGCAGCTCGAGGGCGCACTGGAGGGCCGTCTTGCCGTAGTTGTCCGTCGCCGTGAGATCGCATGGGTTAGCCTCGTCCTCGACCAGCCGGCGGATCTCCTCCAGCCTAGCCTTGTGTCTGACAGCCTCGAGTAAGCGGCCGTCCATCTTGCCGGTCGTTAATTGTCATTCAGCCAACAATGAACTTCTTCCCTAGACAATTGGATGTCGAGTGGCAGGTAAATAGTTACTGGCTGCGGGTTGGCTAACTCGTTGACTTGTTGGTTGGTTATAAAAGCCGCGGCTATCAACAGGGATACTGCAGCGACTCCTGGGATTCTCTGGGATTCTCTCTGGGATTCGCCCTTATACGCCTTCGCATAGCCCAGGAATTACTGTCGGCCGTCCAGTTGGCGTCCACGGGCTTCATTCACTGCCTATATAAACCCCTCCGAGATAGCTTCTTCCTTTCCCTTTCTCCGTCCCTTCACGATCTGTCAACTCAGACAAACTAACCAATAGTCTAATGCATCTTTGGAATCATTAACTAGTTACCTTGATGGGACTCCACGCCTGTTATCTAGGCACTGTTAGGAATACCGGCATAGACATGACCTCAAAGGCTGGAGTGGGTTGTAGCCCGCATCAGAGCCCTTTGATTGCTCTAACAGAGTCGTCCTACCTGATAAATCTGAGCTAGAACAAGCCTCCCCCTTAGCCATAAGTAGCTAGCTATCGATAGAGTGAGAAGCTCGCCGGAGATAACTAGTTAGCTGGACAATACGAGATCTCCACGGCGGAGCGATAGACGCCCCGACGGAGATACAGAGGGGCACCTCAGAGGCCGTGATTATAGCTAGGACAACCAGTATAAATAGACAGTGAACCCATAACTAACACTTTAGCTGCTGCTGATATCTCCAACTACTTATAGAGAGCCCTTGTCGTCGCCGTCGACACCGGCTGGCCATCCTTTTTCTACTCGCATCATACAGAGTACTAGGTATCTGGTCAAGTAGACAGTACCATGGTCCAAGAGAGAAAAGACGTCAAGATAACCCTCTACTGGTATGTAAAGAAGCCGGCCATCATCCCTCTGAACGATGATCCTTGCTAACATCTATCCTCCCAGGCTCGAGCAATCCCGGGCACAGCGCATCTTGTGGCTGCTGGAGGAGCTCAAGCTCCCCTACGAACTGCAGCGGTTCAAGCGTGACAAGGGCCTGCTGGCTGACCCGGCCCTGCAGAAGATCCATCCGCTCGGCAGGTCGCCTGTCATCTCTGTCGAAGTGCCTGGCCAGGAGAAGCTGGTGCTGGCTGAGTCCGGGCTGATAGTCGAGTACCTGACCGAGCACTTTGGCCCGTCCCTGATCCCCAGGCGGTACCGTGAGGGCTGCGAGGGCTCTGTCGCCGGCGAGACCGATGCCTGGCTGCGCAACAAATACTTCATCCACTACTCCGAGGGCAGCCTGATGCCCGTGTTCCTTGTCCAGCTCATCATCGACCGTGAGTCCCCTCCCTTTGCAATCACCCGCGTCTTGTCTGTTTGCTCACCACATCGTAGGCATCCGCAACGCCCCGGTCCCTTTCTTCATCAAGCCCCTCACCAGAGGTATCGCCGGCAAGGTCGACGATGCGTATCTGCGCCACAACATCAAGCTGCATCTCGGCTTCCTCGAGGACCAGGTCAAGTCGGCGCCGCAGGGAGGGCCGTATCTCTGCGGCCCCGACCTCACTGGCGCCGATATCATGATGAGCTACCTGCTTGAGATCGCCACCGCCAGCAAGGCCATCACTGCAGACTCGCATCCCGCGCTGGTCGCCTATCTTGACCGGCTCCGGCAGCGCGAGGCCTACCGCAGGGCCAACGACCTGATCGTCGAGCTCGAGGGCAGCTGTGACTTTGTTCCTCGTTAGTAGCATGTGCACTTTATATACATAATACCCGTAATATGCATTTAGATAGGTAAAAGTAATAGTCCTTGAGTTGATAATAATAATAATAAAGCCTTTGTTGATGTGTTGTTATTTTAACTATTTTCAGCCTCAGCTTGAGCCGCAACATCGCCAACTTCAACTTCAATTCTGACTTCAATTCATCTTCGCCCTCGACAACTCAACGCTACAGCTTCTGCTTCCACTGCGACAACCACGGCCACAAGACCTGCAGACGATGAGCTAGACCGCCTCCATGTCGACCGGCGTGCCGCTGTCTGAGCCGCCCAAGGGAGACGCCGCCATCCTGCCGCACGAAAAGGTGTTTCCCATCCAGATCGGCTCGCAGCTCTTTCGTCTCTCCGGCGCTTCCATCGCCTCGGATGGTATCTTCCCCTGTTCTCCTCGCTTCTATTCTTCCAGTCTTTCCCCTGCTGACATGATAGAGCACCGTCATATTTTTCGCGCTTCTTCGAGGAGCAGCTGGAGAGCAACCCAGACGGCAACGTGAGGACGCTCTACATCGACCGCGACCCAGAGACCTTTCATGAGATCCTCCGTCATCTCCAAGGTTGTTTTCCCTGCCTAGCAATCGTCAAGACACAGCTGTTGATGGGATTGTGCTTGTAGGATACTATGTGCGCCCAAAGGACGGGGCTCACTTCGTCAAGCTCTTTGCAGACGCCCAGTTCTACAGCCGTGAGTCTACCCCTTTTTAAGCTCGAAGATAAAAAACCAAGAAAGAAAGAAAGAAAATAGTTAGGTGCTAACAGGCCATGAAACAGTGCCCCGTTTGATAGCTCAGCTGTTCGAGTGCGAAATTTTCATCCAGATTGGAGACCGTCACTTCCAGATTCCCCGAGATATCTTCTCCAGCCCGGGGGACTCGCCCAACTTCTTCTCCCTCGGCTTTGCCGTATTCTTTGCCTCTCCCACCGCTGTCTTCCCGGGCCTCGAGCGCGAAGGCCTCCTGCGCCCGCCTTCCATCACTCCTCCCATCGTCAGCAGCCGGTCTGGAGACGTCTTTGCCGAACTACTGCATTTGTTGCGTGGCTACCCGGTACACATCCGCGACGAAGAGCATCGGGCATGTCTGCTGCGAGACTGCCGTTACTACCATCTGCGTGGCCTCGAGCAGAAGTTGATCCCCCATGACATCAGCTATAACCTGGAGAGACGCCAGTTCGAGATCACCGTCCGCCTCGAAGACGTCCGGCCGTCCGGCATCACCTTTGTCCCTGACGGAGAGGGCAGCAGCAACCCCAATGCCAACAGCACTATTACAGGAGGATGGGTACATTATGCCCGGCCGTTTGTGGATGAAGATCATCGTGAGTTGATCATTGAAATTGGCGGCGGCAACACCCTTGTCGACTTGGCCACCATGCGAGCCGAATTGCACGGCCTGGCCAAAGCCCGTGTCACCAGCCTGTGCCAGGTCATTGCCAACAAGATGAATTTACCCGCCAACACTCCCCTGAGCCTGATGGTGACACCCGGAAACAGCAGCAGCAGCAGCAGCAGCAGCAATAACAACACTGCCTTGACCGGAGATAGGATCAAGATACACATTGACTCAAGTACAGACATCACCCTCGACGGCGAGCCCTTTAGCCCCAGCCACAACTACGATACCACCTCCAACGGCTCCAACAACGGCACATTCCAACCGGCAGACGTTCCCGCTGGGTACTCGCCCTTGGAAGGCAATGCACCACCCCCCTTAACTCCATCTGGCCTCTATCCCCGCCTCCAGACACCGTCTGCCGCCGCTGTCCAGCCCAACCAGCAGCTGCCCCGCAAGCGCCGCAGGGTCGACGGCAGCGAGAGGAGCCGCCAGTGGGTGGTCGATCGTGGCCAGTGGCGACTGCGAGTCCATCCCAGCGCCAATGCCAGCACCGGCACGAGCCAGATGGAGGTTGTCTTCGTCGCCGTCAAGCTCGAGGCTCACTCCAGCCAGCGAGCCCGCAACGCCCGCCGGTCCTTCGTCTCTTGACCGTCTTTTTCCTTCCTATTAACTATCTATACAAACGATAAAATATACTATGATGTAATCTGATATTGCTTTTTGCCGTCCCCAGGATCGTATGATTCTTACACTGTATTGTAATTACGACAATTATCCCATATAGCTGTTGGTATAATGACCGGTAATTTATCGTAATATACCGTCCTGTACCAAAAGTCCGGGGAAAAATACGCCTTTTGTTTCTTTTTCTGTTTCGCCCACAAGTCGAAAGAAACCAAATCGACAAACCAAACCAGCACAAGCGACGGCGAGGCCAAACAACAACCAGACGAGGAGAAGCGGCCAACCCAAGAAGAAGAAGAGAAGGACATCACACAACATCCAGACAGCAAGCAGATGTCGAGGGAACAGCCGTCGATGCAAGTGTCCGCCGCCAACGCTTCCGCCTCGCGGCATGCCCCCGATGGCCAGCCATCCCCAGCCAACTCGGCCTCTGCAACGCCCACGAACAACTCGCCCTCCTCGCCGGGGCCGATGAACGCGCCGCCTCAGCTCCCCCATCAGCTCCCTCATCAGCCTCTCCAGGGCCAGTCGCGCCAGCTGCGGCCGCTCAAGACCCCGCTCTACGTCCCCGCGGCGCTGCGTCGAACTGAGCGGCCTCCAAAGCCGTCGCCTCTCACGCCGCCGCGCAGCGTCCACGGCTCAGTCGACGGGCAGGACGGGCAGGACGGCAGCATCACGCCCACAGAAAACTTATCTCGCCGGTCGACGGTCGACAGCACTCGCAGCAGCGTCAGCAGGCTCGCCCAGGACGAGTGGCTGCGGGACCAGAATCTTGGAGAGGTCACTGGCTCGCCTACCAGGGAGCACTGGAAGGTACATTGCCCCTTATCTCAACATACAAAGAGTACGAGAGACAGCTAACAGGCAGTAGGCTGACTCGGCTTCTCCGTCCTGCGACTCGCCCGTGTGCAAATCCTTCTTTGGCATCTTTGTACGCCGCCATCACTGCCGGCACTGCGGCCATGTCTTTTGCTCCTCCCACACCCCCTACACCATCCCACTCGACCAAAATGCCAGATTTCACCCGGATGGCATCCCCTCACGCAGCTGCGACCTTTGCTGGGCTGCCTACCGCCGCTGGGAGCAGGCTCGCGCCGACCAGCTCAACCAGATTCAGCACAATTTGCTCGCCAACCTCAATGCTCCCGAACGCAGCCGGGGATGGGCCATAGAGGCTGACCGGCTAAGCATTGCCGACCCAGGCGCAGATTCAGATGAGAATCAGGACGGCATGATTGCCACCAGTGTACCCAGGGACTGGAGCTGGAGCACCTTCTAGCAGACTCACCGATCTTACTCACTTTTTTTTTTTCTGTTACAATTGATACCCCATTTGCCGTGGTCTCGAGCCCGCAATCCTGCTGACTTGACTTGGGCTCTCCCGGCTAGTTGTTCTCTTTTCTTTACTTTCGTCTTACTCTCATGGCTCACATGCTTCCATCCAGGATATGACTGCGTGTCTGTTTAGCTCATTCTGTTCGTCTTTTGATTACGGCTGTCTGAACGAGGTTTCCCGGTCCTCCATGCATATAGATTTCATTTTCTCCTTGTTTATTTCTTCTCCTTCTTCTCTATCTTCTTATTTTTCCTTCTGTTTGTTTACCATTTCGTTACTGAGCACACGGCCGTTCTGTCTGTCCAAATCGACGAATCTATGTTCAACTTCAATGTCCCCCAACGTAGACCGCGTAGATTCATAACTCCAGCATTTTCCACATCCCAACATGCAGGATGCCTTCTTCATCCCACTGGCCCAGACTCTTGTCAGTCTCGAAACCCAGTCGAGCATACATTGCCTCCACATCCGTCTGGGCATGTATCAACACCAAGCCCTCCCATCCACCCCCCACGTCCAACTTATGCTCAGCCGCCCATTCCAGCGCCATCTCGACCAATCTTCGAGCAAGCCCCTTCCCTCGATACGCAGGCAGAACGGCCAGTCGACCAATCTTGACAAACGGCTTTCCGCTCTCATGTTGGTGCTGATGCCCTCCGTGCGGTGGCGGGACGAGGCGAACCACGCCTACAGCCTTGCAGCCGCCATCTGCGTCACCGGCATATACAACCCAATGCCAGCTTCGATCGTCGTCTGCGTCGACCTCATTCTCCGGGGCACAGTTCTGCTCATCGACGAACACAGTCATGCGTACTTGTAGGCCGTCATCAAAGAGGGGATATTGTGGCTGTTTATTGGAGCCGAGCCCAGTTATTCCCTGTGCTGGCGGCTGCATGGAGAAAGTAAACGAGTCCATCTCAGCAGTCGTAGAAGTAGAATACAATAAAAGTGTATGGAGTAGCCGTCTGGTGGTACATTCGTTAAGCAGTACAGCCTATTTAGTTATATCTCTGTGCCTCAAACCAGATTATGATAGCCGCTCGTATCAAAGCTTGTCCTGAGATCAGTATGAGTCGAGACGCTAGATTAAGCGTCATACCTGGTATTATTTGAGTGCTACGACCCTAACTAGAACTGAAGCCCTCCCAGACATCATCATATTCTTCGTCGTTGTCTTCATCACCTCCTACTTTGCCCTCAATTTCTTCCCGCACAAAGATCGCTACAAAAAAACCCCCAGTGCCTTCATCCCCTGCAGGCCAACATCGAATGCAAGCCTCTACCTGTTCGGGAGACAACTGGGGTGGGCTTTCTGAGGTACCGTCAGGTAAAATCCCGCGGTGATGCCAGTTCCGAAGGCCCCTTGCCTGCTCTGACCGTAACTCAAGTCTCCAGCCACGGCTTTTTGCGATAGATGAGGCTAGCACACGAGCGACGACATCCTCGTTCTCCTCGTGGTGTATGGAGCAGGTGCTGTAAGTAACCCGGGTAGCCGCTGGGAAGACAAATGCATGCTCCACGATCTGGCTCTGCAGATTGGCAAGCTTAGCTAGCCGTTCACTCTCATCTTCTTTTGCTTCTGTTGTAGGAGAACCTGGTGAAGATGAATCCGCTGGGTTCTCTCGTTTTCTTTTTCGATTCTTCGACCCCTTGCCGCCGGCCGTAGTAGCAAGCGTGAGTTCAGACTTTGACTTAGGCAGGTCGAGTTGCGGGACGTCTTCACGCTTCGTAATCCCACTACCTGAACAGCTTGGATCAAGCAGGAGAGCAGTGACATGCTGAAATCGCGTGTCAGTCGGGTCAAGGGCCAGAAAGTCCTGCCCAGGTAAAACTGTCACTATGTTACTTGCCCCGGCCTTTTTCACCATTGTCTGCAGGATCTTTGATCGCGAGTGGGACGCATCTAGAGAAAATACCCTACTCTTTTGCTTCTCTGGCGCAGAAGAGAGTAACGAAGCGAGATGGGTTGTCTTGTTTCCCGGAGCGGCACAGCCATCAATAAGATCTCCCTTCCACCGCCCCGGATGGTCCCCAAGTAGCAAGTAGGCGGGGAAACAAGAAGCTTTGTCCTGTAATATAAGTCTTCCTTCTTTATATGCATATGAAGAAGTGATGTCGATGTCACGACTGATGGCCATAAGGTCTGGTATGTGTTCGTCCAAGCAGTACTTCTTCTCATCTGCTATAGCTTCCGCAAGCTCAGATAAGGAACTCACAGACTCATAGCCAGCGAAAGTACTTTTCATCTCACGATCCAATGTCGTCAACACGTTATTTATTCGTATCCATCTAGGCGAGAATGTCTTCATCACCTGCTGGTCCTGCACCAGCTTATGCTTCAATTCCTCCTTTGAGGCGCATCCTCGACGAACTCGCAACTTCGTAAGTTCAGAGTTGAGGCGAGACTTGTGGCGTTCTACAGCCAGGCGAAGGGGATGATTCGAGGGGGCTGCAATGCCTCTCTTGGACAGTAGAAAGTCATGGACGAGTAGAAGCGATAGAACGGGAGTTAACTGCTCACATCACTTGTTCTCGTCAGCTGCGTATCCAATTAATATTGTGAATGCAAAGGAATAGGCCTAACTGACCTTTGATTCATGCGCCAGGATGCCTGCATTGTCTATGACCTCCTTGATGCACTCGTTGTACTTTGCGACCTCGACTATCAGAGCGTAAATCTGGGCTGGAGGAGACTTCCACTTTCCTGTGTAGACTCTCGACTTGAGCGAGCCCGCGTGCAACGGCCCACTGAGAACAGCCGCAGCCTCAAAGTAAAGCGACATCCTCTTCCACTCCTTTTCGTATAATCCTCGTCCTTATGTTCAACATCGTCGTCGTTCTTGAGAGTTTTTGTCACTTTTTTTTTAAGTTTTAACTAGCCGCTAGCGCGCCTAACGCGGCAAATAACGCCAAGAAAACAAGCCGACCTTCAACGTCAAAGGAAAAAAGGCGAAGGCGAAGACGAACGAGAGAAGCGACAGCAAAGAAAACAGCAAGCATGGCGGGACCGTCGAGTAAGTTCATGCCGGAGAGGAAGGCAGAAATGTTTGATGCTTCGTGGGACCGTTTTACTGACCCAATTGATAGATCTTCACCTTGACCCTGCGCTGCAGAAATACTACGGTCAGCACCCTTCGGCCTATTCCTTCGACCGATCCGTGGCATTCGATGCTATTAACAGCTGTATATCCCGCATCACACATGCTAACCTCTGCATAGACACGCACAAGAACCGCTACAAGTATTTCAGATGGACCCCCCGTACCGCATGGCTGTCGTTCTGCTACATGGCCGTCATCCCCGGCATCATCGGCTACATCTCCTACAAAACAGATGTGGGTGCAACATCCTACCATATCCATGCTTGATTACAGCGCGATTCTAACTTCAGTTAACCCGTCTAGGGCAAATACAATTTCCGAGGGAAGAGGAGAGGGGACACTATTGCCGAGTTTTGAAGTGGGATGACTTGGAAGTGAGCGTACACGATGACGCAGCATTACGGACTTTCGATCAGAGGCAACCAGTGTATATGTCGGACTGAATAACAAGCAGTCTTGAATGTGCTGGTGAAGCTGCGTCTTTTTTGTCTTTGTCTGTATTATAACGACACTGTTGAGCATCAATCAGACTAGTGCCAGATAATGTGCTTTTACTATTGCATTAGGCCTCCTATCGAACTATACAGGCATCATATGTGTGTCATATTGATTACACTTGTCCATTGATGTACTGAGGGCAATACATATTTTGTTGTATGCCTCTATAAGCTTTGGTAGAACCATGAATGCTACATTGTTATCTCTTACAAGCCTCAGAGGTAGAGAAGCACATCCAGCCGTCTAATAAGGCCGCCCCCCATCTCTTAATCCCCTACCGTATGAGCGTCCACTGCCGTCTGGTATCCTTTCTCCTCTCCTCCACTCTCCGCTGGGGACGCTGGCTTGATTAGACCCAGACATTATTCCAGTCCTCCCGGGCCCATATCTCGACCGCGATAATGTAGAGTCCCGCGAGAACGGGCCCCCTCCAAATGCGCGCATGCCTCCTCCCACTGAAGAGGTAGGCGGTCCGCGAGAGGGTAACGGGGGAGCCACAGACCCGTCAGCGAGGGGCGGTAATATAGCACAGTCAATGTAGTCCCCTATCACGAACCGCACATCATGCAGCACCTTGTCTGCCTCATCACCTTCAAGCGTTATTCCTTCACCTGCATCTTCAACCTTTTTCGGTCTTATGATGACACTTCCTATATCTTTGCTAATGTATTTCCCGCGCCCATCCCCCATGTCACCCGGTCGACCGCTAGGCTGGCTCCTTGTGTCAGGGTAAACTAGCCGGAAGCTCAATCGCGTGCCTACTGCAGGGTCGGGGAGCAACGCAGGTAGTGTTGATGTGAGCAGATGCGCCAGCTCGCGAAGAGAACACGACTGCCAGGTGTATATCTGTAGATGTGGAGGAAGCGGAGGGTTTGCGACTGTTCCATTCTCACCTGTAGACGGTGCAGATAGGATAGGGAAGTCCGACAGTGAGTGAAAGGAGTTCTGGCGGTAGAATAGCTTCAGGTGGAAGGGCGTTGTCTTTTCGCGATCAATCTTGAGAGCCTCCTCTCCCGAAGCCATGACAGGTACACGCCTCTCAAGGAATTCTCGGTGGAAAAATGAGTGTATACGCCCTCCAGGGCCCTTATAGTATCGAGAGATCCAAGGGAGGTAGATAGGTGTTGAACGGCGTGTCAAAGCTGCTGTTGTGGTTATTTACCACGGGCAAAGTTCGCGGCAACAGGTCGCGAGAATTGTCCAACCGTAAGCTGTCTGTATGATAGCAATGTCCAAGCACGTACAAGCCAGTGAAAAAGGGGTAACGAGCGTAGCTTGTATGAAGATCTAGGTAAATCTGTGTTTGGAGTGAATAATAGTAGTTATGTAGGTTAAGATAGAAGTTCTCATGACCAAGAAAGGAGAGAAAAAGAAAAAGCTGGCGACAAACGACCAAGCGAACGAACAACCAACGGCGACCAACCTGAGATTCATACCAGACAGACGATTGACCACGCAGGCCGAGAGGGCTACGCAGACTACACGATGGACTTTGCCTCTCTTATGTCCAAGGAGATATCCAAGGCCAAGTCAGACGCCTCGGAGAAGAAATACACCAAACGGTCTGACATCGAGGCAGCTCGCGTGGCGGCGTACAACGCCGAGCAGGAGAAGCTCCAGCGAGAACGAGAAGAACGAGCCGAACTCAAGCGGAGGCGAGACGAAGAAGAAGCGGAACAGAACCGCCGGCGAGAGGAGAAACGCAGACGGCTTGCCGAAGAGTCAAGGGCACGACGAGAGGCGGAGGAAGAGGCGCGAGAAAAAGAGCGCCGCAAGCGCCTAGGACTGGCTGAAGAGGAAGCCAACAGCGAGAAGGATGGGACAACTATCCAGGCCGGCGAGGATCTTGATGATGACGAGCTGGTTGGGAAGCTGCGGGAGCTCGGGGAGCCAGCACGGCTCTTTGGAGAGAGCCACAAAGGGAGGCTGAGGAGATACCGAAATCTCATCAACCCGGAGCAGAACAGGAAGAAGCTTACGGATGGGCCAATTCCTACGACCCTAGAGCTGGTACCAGAGGCCGATATGAAAGTTCCTGATAAGCTGCCTGCAGACGAGGAAGGGAAACGGTACCTGTTCAGACAGCTGGCCTCATACTTCACGCTCGTCTTCAAGGAGTGGGAGATCGCCCTAGCCCAGCGAGATGATTCTGTCAAGCAAACCTTTCAGGGAAAGCAGGCTTACAACGCCATGGTGCAGTCGCGGGAGAATATGCGGCCACTGTTCAAGAAGTTCGAGAATGGAGATATTGAGGACGGCATCCTGGAACCCGTTGTTGAGATTGTCAGAAACGCCCAGAACCGTCGATATGTTGATGCAAACGACGGATACCTTACATTAAGTATTGGAAAAGCGTAAGTAGAGCTCGTATGCACCTATCCGTAGATGGAGAGTCAAGTGCTAACTACATTGTCCAGAGCCTGGCCTATTGGTGTCACCATGGTTGGCATTCATGAGCGTTCTGCTCGAGAAAAACTACATGAAGGAGGCAAGGGACAGGCCCATATCATGAGTGATGAGATTACTCGCAAATTTCTCCAGAGCATTAAACGATGCCTGACCTTTGCCCAAGTCCGATGGCCACCGGATGATCAGCTCCAGCTCATGGGATGAGGTCACCTTTCTACGGCTACTGTCAATATTACTTATTACCGTACGGTGGTATCTATATGTTCGAGGACAACACCAGTTCAATTAAGGGGCTGCTTTAACTGGACTATCTTTGCCCACCCCTTTCCGGAAGCCCGCGACCTCAGCCTCCAATTGCTTCAATGCCCTGGCGTATCTCTCCCGCAAGTCAGCTATGTCTCCACCGTCCAGCTTGACGGACACCCGCTTTACCATCTTTCCAGCAGCTCTGGCTACACTTCCTCTGGCTATATCATTTGTAAACCATCTGCCCTCGCTATGGGTTACTAAAGTCCAAGCAGAGCCAGGCCGGCCAGCTCTGGCAGTACGGCCAACTCGATGAACATAGGTAGTCAAGCTGTTAGGAACGTCATAGTTAACGACATTATCCAGCAGAGGCAAATCCAAGCCACGCGAGGCACGGTCTGTTGCGATTATTATTTGTATCTTCCCCTTTCGATAGCCTGAGATTGCCCTCCGCGAGGTGCTGGATTTGTTGGATTTGATAAGTGTCCCGACTTTGCCATCAAGATACGGGTACATGAGAGTAAGCAGACGTGAGAGCCGTGATGCTGCCTCTGATGATTTTGTGAATATCAAAACCGAGCCAGATGTGTTGTTTCGTTCGCCTGAGGTCGATGAGTCGTTACTCACAGACGAATCTGACTCTGAGCTAGAATCGGAGTCGTATTCTGATGTAGATGTGGATGACGAAGCAGATGAGGAGGATAGAGAATCGTCTGACGAATCACTGGAGTCACTCGAAGAGACGCTCGAGTCGGAGGATACGGATATCCGTCTGCTTTTTGTCCTGGTTTTCTCCTCAACGACCATACCGATATATGACTGTAGTAGTTTCAGCAAGTAGAGAGGTTTTTCAGATCCATCGCCTACAGGTATCGAGTTTTCGTTCAAAAGGGACGGCAAGGCAATGTTACTGTCTGGCCCTGCCTCTCCGACTCCAGCTTCGTCCCCCTCTGTACCATCAACAACCACGAGTTTAGGATTATGTAGTCTCAAAGAATTGAGCTTCGATATATCTCGAGTCATAGTAGCGCTAAGTATAACTTTTTGGAGTTTCCGAGACTCCACTGGGAAACTAAACGCCTTTATCAGCTGTTGTAGAGAGCCAGGAGCGGCTGGTTTCTCCGTAGTCTCCAAAGCAGGTAAAACAGTCCCTACCCACTCTTGAAAGCTTTCATTGAGTAGCCGGTCAGCTTCGTCTATGACTAGCCATTCAAGAGAGTCAAGTGTAAAGCCTTTAGTCGATCGGATATGGTCGACAAGTCTGCCAGGAGTGCATATCAATATATCGACACATGGAGACGATTCTATACAATGGTCTGGTAATGTCCTGCTATACTCCTCAGCTTCGGCAATGTAGTCTACCAGACTGAAAGAAGCCCATTCATCCGCCGTCATCGTTGTGTCATCCTGGCGTCTGGTGCTCTCCGGTCTGTATACACTTGTTTGTTCCATGATCTGCGCCTGCTCGTCCTTCAGAGCAGTTGAGCCAACGGCGGTGCCAATTCGAAGCCCAGAGCCACTGGAACAGAGTTCACATGCGTCGCGAACTTGTTTGACGAGCTCTCTCGTAGGAACAATAATCAAAGCACGTAGCTTTGCAATTGGCAGGCGTTTGAGGCCAGCGAAGATAGGGAGAACGTATGCCAGCGTCTTGCCGGACCCAGTAGCGGCCGAAACACAGACATCTCCGGTGTATCTCGTAGGTCCTTTTGCGAGCAAGGGTATCACCGCCGACTGAACAGGCAAAGCTTCTGTGTATCCCTTGTTCTTGAGAACATCAATCAGGCCTGTTCCAACCCCCAAACTTGAAAAATTTGACCGAAGTCCAGGCGAAGTCTTTGACGGAGCTGCCAGCCATGCAGGGAGAGTGGAATAAGATGGTGTTGCGGATTCGATGGGTGCGGGGGCAGGCTGTGGCAAAGGCACCAGTCCATGAGCTTCTTTCTCGTCATCTTCTACCGGCGGTTTACTCTCTTTTAGATCAGGCAAAATCTGATCCGCAGCGATTTTCTTCGCCCTCTCGTACTTGGACATGATTTTCTTGTGCCTTTTCGTCGTTGAATCATCCCCGTTGGCCGCTGTTATCATTTTTCGTCCGGTGTCATTCTCCTTTGATGGCATCCCTCGAGCTTCATATTTTCGAGCCTGCTTATCAGATCTGTCTGCCATGCTTCCACCGCTTTCCTTCTTCTTTCTCCCATCAAATTTGTTCTCCACTGCAAAGGCCGTCGACTTCTCTGCATCCTTCTCAGAGTTCGAATGCTGGCTGAACCCATTGCCCACCGCCTGTACTTCTGAATATGTCTTCGAGCTGGCACGCATTCCTCCGACATCTTTCTGGGGCGCACCGGTAGTAGCACTCTTCTTCTTCCTGCCGCCCTTCTCGACACTATGCGGCCTATCCGAGTTATCTTCATGGCGCTTCCGTTTGCGAGTAGCGGGCGATGAATGGTCTGTTCTGAGTGCTGTGTCTGCCATCACTAGTACTGTCAGGTCACGCCCGTTGGTCTATGGGCTATCTGCGAATTGCTGCTCTTTTTCTCATACTTCTTCCCAGGCTTAATTCTTCCTTTTAACTCGTTCTTTTCTCTGTTGAAGTTTTGGTGTTTTTTTTTTTCTTTTCTTTTCTTTTTTAACCTTTTTAAGCCTCAATTCAAGATTACATAATATCATACACGTGATAGTAAACCTTCCATATCGACATCGAAAGCCCAAAAAGACGAGAAAAAACATCCGTGATATTTTGAGCGTTTCAATTGAAATGCGCGAGGAAGAGCAGGAGGAGGCGCTGTCGAGCTTGATGTGACCATCTTCACGCAAGGATAGAGCCTTGTCCATGGGGCACGCTCTCCGTGAGCTTTCCATACGCCCACCATGCCTTACAATATTGCGTAAGTAAAGGCCTGTACACCTTCTAGCTGGCAGCCGTCACTAATTACTTGGATACGACATGTAGCATGATAAGTGACTTTTTCTTCCCACAGCCGGGTATGGGCATTGTCTTTTGAATACCTCCTGTTCTGGCTTCTCCCATTAATGAAAAGTTGTAGGTGGAGTGGAAAGTCACATCTATCAAGTCTCTTCGGTTAGTTAAGAGCTGGCTCAACCTTGGAAGCAATTGCTGTCAGAGGCTAATCTAGTAGATATAGAAGCTCATTGACCGCGGACACAAAGTGATCATCGTTACCCATGCATACAAAGGCCGGACCGGGGTACGGTACTTGACCAACGGCCTCAAAGTCTACCATGTCCCTTTCTTCGTCATCTACCGCGAATCAGCAATGCCTACTGTCTTCTCCTTCTTCCCCATATTCAGGAATATTATAATCCGAGAACAGATTGAGGTAGTGCACGGACACGGTAGCTTGAGCTGTTTCTGTCACGAAGCCATCCTTCATGCGCGGACAATGGGGTTGCGCACTGTCTTCACCGATCACTCCCTCTTTGGATTTGCGGACGCCAGCTCCATCCTCACAAACAAACTACTCAAGTTCACACTTAGCGATGTGGATCACGTTATATGCGTCAGCCATACGTGGTACGATTGATTGTCTTGCGCCCTTCCCACGCCCATCTCGCTAATACCTGTTACAGCAAGGAGAACACTGTTCTGAGAGCATCTCTTGACCCTATGATGGTCTCTGTGATCCCGAACGCTCTAGTAGCGGAGAACTTTCGCCCACCGTCATACACCGAATCTGTCAGCGGCTCGTTAAACAATCGCCCATTAACTCATAGAATGCCCGGACCCCGTCTCCTAGGGCCGGACGATACAATAACGATAGTGGTGATATCACGGCTCTTCTACAACAAAGGGACGGATCTACTAATAGCAGCAATACCCCGGATACTTGCGCTTAATAAAAACGTGCGATTTATTATTGGTGGATCTGGCCCAAAGGCCATCGACTTGGAACAAATGCTGGAGAGAAAAGTGCTTCAGGACAAGGTAGAGCTATTGGGCCCGATCAAGCACGAAGATGTGCGTGATGTGATGATCAAAGGCCACATATATCTTCATCCCAGTCTGACAGAAGCCTTTGGCACCGTGATCGTCGAGGCCGCCAGCTGCGGGCTGTACATTGTCTGTACCCGTGTTGGTGGCATCCCGGAAGTTCTCCCGCAACATATGACAACATTTGCAAAACCGGAAGAAGACGACCTAGTGCAGGCAACAGGAAAAGCAATTGCTGCGTTGCGGTCGAACAAGGTGCGAACTGAGAAGTTCCACGACCAGGTCCGAATGATGTACTCATGGACTGACGTCGCGCGACGCACCGAACGTGTCTACGATGGGATCTGCGGTGCCATTAGCGAGGAAGAGTTCTACGGCAATTTCCCCAAGGAGAGCTGGACGGGCTCGCGCAGGCGAGAACATAGTTTTGCGTTGATTGACCGGCTGAAGCGATACTATGGCTGTGGGATCTGGGCAGGGAAGCTGTTCTGCCTCTGCGTGGTGATCGACTTTCTGCTTTACGTCTTCCTCGAGCTATGGATGCCTCGCAGTAGCATCGACATTGCCCGAGACTGGCCAAAGAAACCGGTTGGAAGAGAAGGCAGCCAGCTGCTAGACGTTCGTCAGCCGATGGACAACGCTCGGCACCATCCTGGCAACGAAACCTGGCAGGAAATGATCTGAGTGAATAGTCGATGTTCATTACTGACGATGTTCTGATTTTTATTATTGATGATACCCTTTTATACAGATAGTGAGCAGAGCAAAATGGAACTGCGTTGTTGACATTGAAATAATCTAGCAATTATTGGAGATGCGCATTCTATGAAGCCTATAGTTAATGATTAATGACGAAAATAGTAAATCAAGATAAATCAACAAAACGCCGGGTTTATGCAGTCAGCCGTATATTCACATCAGATGCAAGAAGACTCCCAACCAAAATCGGCTACAGCTACCTCATGACAGGCGGCCGGCCTTCCTTATTCCACTTCACGCGACTCCTGACCCAGTCGACAGCCTCTTGGACACCGGTGCCTGTTAATGCGCTGACAGGGAGCACTCTGCTATCTCGCACGCCGCCTCCTTCCTGGCCCTCGAAGACCTTACGGACAAAGCCTTCCTTGATACAGACGACCTCGACGCAGTCTTCTCTGTCTTGCTTGTTGGCCAGCACAAGAATAGGTACGCCGGCGGTATCTGCATGTCGGAGAACAGACTCAAGGACCTGGCGGCACTCATCCAGCCTGCCAAACCGTCCGGCACGATCGATCGACTCGATCTTCTGTATCTCAAGCCCGCCGTCGGCCAGCGATGCGCCATCGCCACCGTCACCTGTGCCATCAAATTCTGTGCCAACTTCTCCATCATCCCTAGGTGTAGTCAACGGGCCGAGGTCAGAGACATCTGGGTCATCCCCAACATCCGCGCTGTCAACCACGAAAATAATGGCGTGACAGCTCGAGTAGTAGCTCTGCCAGAGACCGCGCATGGAGATTTGCCCCCCAATGTCCCATATCTTCAAATACATGTCCGGTAACGAGATGGTAGAGACATTTTGACCTACTGTCGGCACCGTCTTTGCAGAGACCTGCTGTGTCTGTCCGTCAGCAGGTGGGATGTAGAGCGCCTTGATCTGCGAGAGCAGCGTCGTCTTGCCCGCGTTATCGAGGCCGAGCAGTAAGATAGAGTATTCTGTATACGCGTAACTTGTCAGCATGCTTTTTTTCCCTCGCAGTAACTAGAGGGTTTGCTTGAATTCTGGACGCCGACCTTCTTTGCTTGTAACGTACTGGTACAGCGACTTCGCGAGGTGGAACATGCTTGCAGAGGGCAGCGACCTCCAGGAACATGCCGCAAGACGTCAAGGGAGCTTTAAAGACAGGTCAAGACAGCCGATAGGGCACGAACTGTCCTCCAGCGATGCGCTGTTGCTGGTTATCAACGCCTGCCAAAAAATTAATAGCCTTAACTTCTTATTTGTAGATAAATACTCCGTACGGTCGAACACTTAAAATTACTATGTAAGCAACCTTTAACTATCCCAGTGGTGATTATGTAATCAATATACAATTCAGAGCGCCGTTGAGTTGGAAGTAATGGAAGGCATTTCTCTTGTCCAATAACATTGCCTTATTCTATGTTATATAGTCAAAGTTGTTTATAGTTGTAAATATGCTTAGTAATTATCTACAAGGAACCTAAGCATTGTTTGCAGGCTGGCACTGTGATGAGGACAAGCAACCTTTGTGGAACGGTCCCTAGGCTTGTTCTTGAGTACCTGAGAACAATTTTCGATATCAAATAAGCTGGAACTGCTTCTTCAAGGTGTTGGAATGTTGTATTCTGATGAAATTGGTGGTGGGTGTTATACCTAAGAATATTTGGCTAAGAACTAACTAACTACACGAACGTGACATAGGCGATGCTGCTCAAAACATCAACAACTTCCGGCCTGATATTATATTGTCACTTCCTCGGCTTTTACATCGGCACTCGGACATTGACGGATCGACATTCTAGTAATACTGTGTTTTCGGTGGAAGATTTTGCTTCTGATTATGTTCCAGTGATCTTGTTAGTAACTTAGTGTGCCTAGTGGCTAGTTATAGGCCACTAGCGGCACTTCGACCAGCTGGTCCTGAGGCGGCCAAACCGCCTTTCCTAAAAATTTCTTCCAGGAGTCTATTTTCTCCCCAGCGTGGGTGGCTCCTATAAACTGTAGGTCGAATTTACCCTTTACATAACCGTGTGATGTTACGTGGGTATTCTTAGCACACTGCTCGCTGTCCTTTGAGCTCATCGTGATATTCCATCCCAAAGGATCGACTCGGGCCTTTCTCCTGCTGCCGGTAGTCTTATGTAGCCCCGACCTAACCAATCATAGTAGAATAAGCCAGTTAGTTATCTTCTCCAAGAGAGCTCACTTCATAACTCCCGTACCTTATTAAGATGGCCTTGGGGTATAGGCCCTTATCTCGGGCCGTCTGGTAAGCCAGGGCGATAAGGCCCTGGCGCTCGGCTGCATTTTTGGGGAGAACTCCCCGTTGAAAGAAGTATCTTACTATATTGATTGTTGACATGATTCTTATGTAGCTGGTAACCCTACTCAAACTGGTCGTGTTATGTACTATAGACCTGATAAGTCACTGTAGAACACGAGTCAGTTGTATGCTCGAAAAGACTTCGTTGATAGCCCCATCGCTATACAGGATGCTATCGGTACCTCATAACAATGGCTTTAGGGTATGGCCCCAAATCCCTTACCGTTTGGTAAGCAAGGGTGATCATGACTTGGACGGCTGCAGGTGTGCCAGAGTAATAACCCTTGTAAAAATAATAGCGGACCAGGTTCAAGGTCGACATTCTTCTGTCTCATGTATTCCATGAGCAAGTCAAGGTGATTATAATGATTAGATAGCTGGAGTCGACCATATCAGGTGATCAGTGTTATTTGTGTATTTGTGTATGTCTGTAGATACCGCCCCGCATGCAAAGAAAAGCGCCGCTCTATCGAGATATACTCGAAACAGTAAACCACTTCAGCTAGTCATCCTGAGGGAAGTGCCCATATCCGATTTCTGGAGCTTCTTCGAGATCCTCTGCTGGAGGCCATACGATGCCGCCAGTTCGTTTCTCCCAGGTGTCTACCTTTTCTCCAGCATGGGCTGCTTTCTTGAAATTCAGGTCGAACTGCCCCATCACGTAACCATGGGATGCAACATGTGTCCCTTTACTCGCTTGCACTTCGTCTTTATAGCAAATGGTAACGTGCCAGCCCAAAGGATCGATCTGACGTTTGCCCGCAATGGTGGTCGAGTTGTGGAAATTGGACCCGATAGATGATAACAGGCAAGTTGCCTTAGTTGGTCATGCCCTCATAAAAAAAGGTGAAATTTTGTTTTTGATAGCAAATGTTACCTTATCAAAATGGCCTTAGGGTAGATTTTCCTGTCTCGTGCTGTCTGATAGGCCACTTTAACGAGTGATCGGGTGAGCTCCTCATTCTAGGGTAAGTGTCCTCGATAGAAGAAGTACTTCACCATATTGATGGTCGACATGGCTTGGCTCGGGAGGTACAGCGTCTGTTGGTTTCACTCAAGGTAAAGGGATTCAGGATAGATAGGAGGTTGGATGAGCATGTCCGAGAGTTTTCTCTGCACGGGTGGGACGGCTGTGTTGACGTGCTTTATAGGTAACTCTTCGCTTGGGCCCTGGCAGCGCAGGTGCCATTCAGAACGTGGAAACTGCATGCAACAAGCTGCGGCAGGAGCTTTCGCATCAACGCGGCCTGCAGTTTTGGCCCCCAAATACCAAGGCCCCAGCCAGCCAGTATCTAGCTAGACACATAGCCCCTGTATACGTAGTGTATAGGCCGTAAAAATGAGGAGTTGGAGCAAACGTATCAAACGGCTGGCGGCCATGCGTGCAAGGTGGTTATGCATGCTGTAGCCAGCCCTGTGCAAGTCTATGTTGTATTGCTTGATATGTAGCAGCTGGGTATCCAGATGCCAGGCGAGATGAGGTTGCATCTCTGAAAAGTAAGGGTAGTATGGAGCCGTCGGTGGGAAAAGGAATTTGGGGACTGCAGTCGACCCGGCGCACGAAAGCAGGGATTTTATACCCCCCGCTGGCTGGGTCAGAGCTAACTGACGCATTCACTTCTTAACTGTTGGTTAGTGACTTGGGCGGCCTTCACTGGTGCCCCGAGGCCTGCCAGGATCACTGACAGGGGTGAATGAACAGCAGTCAATGCGAGCTCTCTAGTTAGGCAACTCGTTGACGGTACGTGTTAAGTTGTAGCCATTATTTTAGGCAAGGAGAAGAGAAGAGAAGCCATGGGTGTCTGCTTAGGTAAGAGAAAAGTGCTTAGGTAAGTATATAAATAAGAGAGGCTTAGTAAGTAATACTGTGGTTTGATTGCATGGTTAATTGTCCAATAATATCTTGCTATTTCACTTAGTAATAAAAATTACATAATGAGACGACCCACTCTCTTTGTAGGGATTTTTAACCTAAGTTGTCCTTTTAGTCCGCCGTATCAGTCAACCACTAGTTAATATAATGGAGTGAGTTGGTTCCTCTTGGGTTTCCTGGCAAGCAGAGGCTGGCCTTGTAGCTTCATCCCGATCAGGCTGGCGTGGGTTCATTCTCCTGGCCCGGTCGTTTTGACAACTAAGGTCATCTGCAACAGCCTTGTCACGAGTATCATGAGGCCACCTTTTCTACTGTCATCGGCCCTTTTCACTTTTGTAAGAAATACCCCAAAGTTCCAGCGTGTGCTCCAACGTCTTCCCCGGCAGTTTTCAACATTGCCAAAGCATGCCATGTCCACCCCTCGCGAGGCTCCAGGTTCCCAGTACGAGTATATTGACGACAGTGTGGAATTATTAGAACGATACCTGCCAGGGGGGTATCATCCGATATCAATTGGAGACCTACTGAACAACCGCTATCGCGTTGTTCACAAGCTCGGCCATGGAACATTCTCTACGATCTGGCTTGCTCACGACAAACAGAAAGCTGCATATGTAGCTGTCAAAGTGAGCACAGCAGATTCAACCCCTAGGGAGGCTGATGTTTTGTGTACCATTGCCAGCTCGTCTTCCCACCCTGACCACCCAGGCCGGGCCATGATCCCTAGGATCCAGGACCAGTTCGAGCTCCAGGGCCCAAACGGACGTCATCTATGCTATGTTACAGCTCCAGCACGGTGCAGTGTAGCCGCTGCGAATTTCTGCCGTCTCTTTGCTGTTGAGACTGCGCGGTCGCTCGCTACCCAATTGGTGTTGGCTGTTGCATATATCCATGGCCAGGGGTTTGTTCACGGAGGTTAGCAAACCACAAAAAGCTATCTAAGACCCTGGTATAATCCAAACTAATTTCTTAATGCAGACATTCACCTGGGAAACGTTCTGATTCGGCTGCCATCTAGTCTTGATCAGCTCTCTGTTGACCAACTGTACGAGAAGTTCAAGACGCCTCTCGTAGAGCCGGTTGTGCGGCACGATAAGCAACCGCTTCCCGCTGGAGTCCCGTCTCACGCAACCCTCCCTGTCTGGTTAGGAAAAAGGGCAAACGAAATTTTGCCCACTGAAGCTCATCTAATCCTAAGCGACTTTGGTGAGGCCTTCTCACCATCTGATCCCCACCAACGGAAGCTGGGTGAGCAATGTCGATCACCTGCTGCCTTCTTACCACCGGAAGCGCACTTTGAACCAGAGAAACCGATCTCCTTTCCTTGCGATATCTGGACGCTTGCATGCGCCATATGGTCTATTCTGGGTTCCCGCGATCTTTTTGAAAGTATGCTGGCTACAAGCGATGATATCTCCAAGCAGCAGATGGACATTCTTGGACCGTTGCCACTCGAGTGGTGGACTGCATGGGAGGCCCGTCCTAGATATTTTGACGAAGGAGGCCAACCAAATGAAGGCCGGTTTGTCTACCCTTCTATAGAGCATCAGTTTGAGCGGTTCATACAAAAACGTCGGCAGGGGGATAGGATGGGTGAATTCGATGCCGAGGAGGCACGGGCATTGCTTGACATGATCCGTCCCATGCTAGCATTTAAACCAGAGCAGCGGGCAACGATAGAGATGGTCCTCGCTTCAGACTGGATGATCAAATGGGGGTTGCCAGAGTTTCAGAAGCTACAACCTGTTAACTAGCGATTTATTCCTGTGAATACCCTGTACCATATTGGAGTCGCTAGACTTATCGGGAGAAAGAGCAGAGAGACTCGATTAGAGAGACGCATGCTGGTTATTCCAATTCAACTCATTCATATTCCTGTCAAAAGTCGTTGATTCTTTGATAGAAATAGGTGCAGTCGTAGGCGTAGGCATATCATCCCATTGGGCAGAATCCAATTAGATATATTATATTATTTGAAGAGTCCGTTGACTTGCAAACAAGCATTATAACTATGTAGCCTTCGAGGAGGTGATTCACTGGGCTAGCTACCTGCTATATCCACAATGATATACAGAGGGCTTCTTGTCAGAAAAAGGTCCTACCTTTGCCGGGTCAGCCAGGACAGCACTCTAGAAATAGCTAGACATCAGACGACTGAGCTAGAAGGCGAAGCCTGTGAGGCTTGCCTCGTGTTGGAAGATACCGAGAGAGTAAATTTATTATTGATATCCATACCCACTCTGTAGGTCCCGGTTTGCAAAGGATTCCTACTAGCCTCTACCTAGATTGGATGGCGGGCACATTGCCCAGAATGCTATCCCGGAGTTTAGTTATTCCATTTATGCGCCCGGACCAATCAGATGCATGAATACCAACCTTGTTACATAAGCAATGTGAATTTGTCAGCACTTCGGGATTTTGCCGCTCGGCGCATGGAAACTTTAGCTAAAAAAAAAAAAAAAAAAAAAAAATAACTAGCGAAAGCCGGATTCTCGTCCACCTCCGGCTCTGCTCTCTGTGGATTTATAATCAGACGGACGGGACGGCGATGGCAGGATCCTTCAGTTGAGTGCATTATTAGCATGTACATATTGCAGCGGGTGCCCGAGTTTGTTATCCTCGTCCGCTAGCATGCAGCCGTGGCCCAGGGCGGGCGGCACCACCGGTTATTTAGTTATAGATCTATAACTACCTCCACCACAGCCGCAATTATCACAGCTTCGAGTCAGCATCAAACCACTGGCGAACAGACGGGCCAGACACTCGTTTCTCTCTCGGTTATAGAGGTAGAGGCAGCCATATCTTGTCTTTCTCTCTCTCTCTCTCTCTTCGTGTCTCTTCACTGCTCTAGACATAGAGAAATGCGGGTGGCTCTACAGCCGCAGGATATACCACTCTCCTGCCATCCTATTTTCCCCTCGCTGACAACCTGAATTCCCCTCCTATATATTTACCATGGACGGGCAACGGTCTGACTCGTCATTCACTGACGCAGTTATCGTCGGTAAGTGGTGGGCTTTGTATTGTTGTGTTAGTTGTATAGAATATAGACTAGCAACGCTAACACTGCTGTCTAGGAAATGGCCCCTCTGCTCTGATTCTATCCTATATTCTACATGGAAACATCCCCTACTACAACCTCGACTCACCTCATCCTGATCCCATATTGCATGCAAAGCTGAGGGATGCCACGGAGCTTCTCCGGCTCGATGTTGCCCGCCTGACCAACCATTTCGAAGCCTCCCGATTCTCCTACTCGACGCAGTCCTTGCCCATCAACTCCCTGGTTGACTCGCTCGTCCGGCCGTTTGGCGAGACCGATGATCGCGAGTCAGCATCCTGCGTCTCCTGGCATCACGATCCCCAGCGTGCGGTTCCCCATCTCTGTCTTGGTGATGCGTTGCAGCCCGGTGGCCAGTGGACCGAGTGTCCTCCCGGCACCACATGGGATATCCAGTCTCTCAGTTACGCGGGGATGCTCTCTTTGCCAGGGTACAGCTTCTACGATCACTACTACGCTACTCATGGTGTCCACATGCCTTCATATACCCGACCATCCAGACTGGCAATAGCAGAGTACCTGGCCGCATATCCGGCCGCTGTTGGTATCGGCAACTCCATACAAAACGGACGGCTGGTTTCTGGTGTCTCTCGAACAGATGATGGCTTCTACATTTCCTCACACCGCATTCATTGCAAACACCTTGTCCTCGCATCTGGCATATTCACCGAAGTCAAACCTGCAAGACCTCTCCTCCAGCCACTACTCTCTCTTCCAGCTCATCCAGATGTATCCACGACAGAAAAGGCACCTCTTCTTGTCATCGGTTCTGGCTTTTCAGCGGCTGACATCATTATCTCTGCTCCCCGAGACCAGAAGATCATTCACATCTTCAAATGGGAGCCGGAAACAAACCCTTCTCCGCTTAGAAGCTGCCACCAGCAAGCGTATCCTGAATACGCCGGAATATACAAGCTCATGAAACGCAGCACGCTGGCCAAATTCACTAGCTCCAAACCAAACAAACGAAACCAAACTTCTCTCTCTCCCTTTCTCACCACTCGCGACTGGGATGATATCTATGAAGCCCTGCCCAACACGCTCGTTGTGGATGTGGAGATCGATGGCACCGAAGGTATTGTCACTTTTCGATGTAGTGACGGCTCCACAATCACTCGCCGTGTGTCCGGCTTATCCTACGCCGTGGGCCGAAAGGGCTCACTAGCCTATCTTGACCACATGCTTCAGCGTGAAATACTCGGCGCCGGCTTTGACCAATCCCAAGATGCATCCATTGCCAAAGATACTCTCAAATCTGCCGCCGTGAACGATCTCGAGGTAGCCAATGACGTGTTTATTATTGGCAGTCTCACAAGTGACTCCCTTATTCGTTATGCTTACGGTGGCTGTATATACGCAGCAGGGAAGCTCATGGAGCGGTATGCTCAACGTCAGGTTCACTGCCAACTTTGCGATGGTCCTGTTGATCACACGGTACCCAGCCAGCCGCAGTCCGACCTTCCTACCACCCCATCACCTAATATACCAATGAACATATTGAACCATACCAAATATAATAATAATAACAGCAGCAATACAATACCCAGCGAGCTTCACATGCACAAGGTCTCCTCTGACCTTAGACTGGGTTCAAAAAGTGATAGATTTAGCAGCAGGAGGCAGCGACCTTGGTGGGCGTTCATCTTTTCTTCATGAGCAATTCTATATATCTTCAAGCTTACAATGCACACTGCTCTTGGCGTATTTTAATGTCTACACTCTCCATTAACTAATATCGCCCGTGCATGAAATACCAACGTTACTAGGCCTCTTCAACATTCCCCCGATACTAATTGACTACCACGTTTGAGAGATCCTAGGTGAAATTTCTTCACCTAAACTGTCAATGGAAGTTGAGGTGATAGCGGATAAAAAGCCTGCCTACAAACCTGACTCTTGGCTAGTTTGCTTTGCTTGCCTGCATGCATATGATACCTTTTGCTATCATAACCAATCTGCAGATATCAAAGAAATTTCAGGATACACCAGATATGTAACGAGTGCATAGTCGTGATGGCTATATACAGGAACCGTGTCAGTATGCATTCATGCACACTAACCTCATGATATTGAGACGCTTCAACTTAGTTGGCGTGGTGAGTATTTCAAGGCTGATTGTGAAATCTACACCAACGTATACCCCTGTATAATGCTCGACTGCTCAAGTACCATATCCCTACTTCGAAGAGCTATTAAGATGACCGCAACACTTGAGGGATATCCTATAGTGCATGCCAAGATACTTTTACTGTCCAGTTCTTAGGTGGGACCGCAAGGCGGCTATTTGCAGGCTGTTTGTTATGCAGCCTTCGGTTCGCTACGCCGGAGGCGTAACTTATAATGCCAAACAGCGGATTTTGGTATATAATCCCGCCTCACAATAGACCTCGTAGCTAGTTAATGCAACTAGCTCCCCGAGTATATATTGTATAGAGGATCTATGGTATAAAAGAAGCCCCCTCATCGTCTCATCACAAGATATGAAGGGCGTATCCAGCCTCTGAATCACCGCTTTTCTCATATCTACCTCTAGAACAGTAATTTATCCTCTCTCAAGATGCATATTCCAGTCTTCCTACTGTTCCCAATCCTGGTTCTCGCCAACCCTGCTCCCATCAGCCCTGCTCCCAAAAACCCTCTTGGATCTCTGCAGGCCAGAAGTGCGAATTATTGCTGCCACCCCTTTCCTCCAGGTAGCAATGTAAGTCTCCTGGAGAGTGAACTTACCAGCTAACCAGCCGGTTCCGCAACTGACATACTAAATCAATACAACTAACTATTCCGCTTAATCATAGAGCTGGCGCCTCTGTGGAGATGGCACGTTTGGAACACCATGCTGCGGATATGGGAGTAAGCATCCGCCTTTACATCACCCGTATCTGCTGTTTCTTGATAGCCTATGATCCGATGTCTAACTTCGTGTCCCGTTATAGAGTGTAATATCTTTTGTTGCGCCTGCAAAGGTGGATGCCGTGTGGTGTAGAGGTGCTTTCTAAAACATGGCTTATTATCATGGATATTTAACGAGTTATCTTGGTTAATAATAGTATTCATCAAATGTTGCCAACATTAAATGATACTTACGCCACTATAAGCCAATTTCCGTATCACCGCAAACGGCATTAATCATTCTAGCAAGTTACTCTGCTCCGTCTCATTTGCTTTTCCTTGCTTTGATGTGGATTGCTGCTCCTGAATACGATATAACTAGTTACCAGTTCTCTGCGAAGTGATCAACAATATGCATGAGTTGAACCAACATCATTCTTTGTATACGCCGTCTGGCTACACTTGTTCGCAGATGATCTATAACCAACCGAAATACCCCAAAGCCGCACATGGTAATATCTGGAACATTGCGGGATATTTCCTTTCCATGATTCCGGGCCCGTATCTCATCAACGGATGTCATAGTTATAACATTCCGTGCATACAACTATACCATGACTAACGGTTATCGTGAATGAGAACTGCTAGGTCGCGCGATGGCCGCTTGATATCCGCCGTACGGCGCAATTATATCTGCGAGGGGTTCATTCACTGTCCACTCCCTTTCAAGTTTACTGTTACGGCCCCTCAAACATTGAGGCCGACATGAACCTGCGAGTGAATGAGTTCTTCCATGATACGATGTCGTTCTTATCACAGATCCACGACAATAACATGCTCCTCTGGTATAAAGCTGCACCGTTCCCTCCCCTGTAGCTATCCTTAGCTCCAAGGCCTAGAAACATATGATCTTGACAATATCTGACCCCTATACAGATCAGAGACGATCCTCCTTTTCCTTTACGACAATGAAGCTCTCGGCCTTGTTCGTCCTCCCGGTATTGGCCCTCGCCAACCCATTCAGCCTCGCTACCACCCCCGACACGGCAATTACATCAAGAGGAGATCAAGCCTGTTGCAAGCCCTGGGCGTTCGCAGGACCAGTAAGTGGCCAGGCTCTGTGCTGGTAGTCTCATTAGGTGAAGAACTAACTTACCGTCTTTTGTATAGAAGTACAATAAGTGTGAGGATGGGACAACTGGAACTCCTTGCTGTGGATATGGAAGTAAGTATATATATCAATACTTATGATGCTAGACACCCATTAAGTAGAAGAATGACTAATTTATTCCTAGAGTGCAATGGTTTCTGCTGTGCTTGCAAGGGAGGATGTCGTAGAGCGAAAGCCTAGGGTTCATATCTTGACGCATGATGTTTACCATCGGATCTTGCTACAGTTATCTAGCCAACCGGATTTAGATACAACTGTAGCAAGGAATAACCTGATCGATCTTCTTTTACTACTCCGGTATGCAACATATAGAGAATCACCATTATCAAAATATGCCAATCACGTAATTTAGTTAGTTCAACAGCTGGATGTAAGTTACGTTAGCCCTCGTAAAAGGTTCATGGTACACAAGAGATCATGTTCATTTATATAAAGGACTTCAATTCATTAGTTTATAGATCACGGGGGATAATCAAGTATAGTGGTGTATGGTGACCACAGCTCCCATCCGTTTTGGGGCATCCAACCATTTAAAACATCATTGATCCATTCCAATCCGTACAAAGAAAAGAATTTAAAAGCAACTCGTGACAATGACTATATTAGGCGCGAGTCATGACCTGGATTTACCAGCGGTGATTATATAGGGGGCAGTGGTATTAGAGAATCATAGGCCTCTTGTCGGATTATATAAATGCAACGAGTAATGCCATGCCGGAGATACAAGTCACAACCTTGCCCCAAGTTGAAGGGGAGAGGGATCCTGCACCTCCAGGGAATGGAACAGGGTCTGTGGAAGACGAAGGTGGGATGCCAGTCCCTGAGCCAGGGATGGAGCCGCCCCCGGTAGTAGTGTGTGTGCCCATGCTAGTGGGGACAGGGCCCTCAGAGGAAGAGGAGCCATGTCCACCCCCACCGCCACGAGTGGTAGTCGAACCGCTGGCCGTGGACGATGGATGGCGCGTATTGGTTGACTCTGGATCGCTTCCAGTACTTGAATGTGTGGCGGTAGATGTTAACTCCGTCGATGCATCCGTCGAAGTAGGCTCCGTTGTCTCCGTGGACTCAGCTGTAGAAGTGGTCCTAGTCCTTTCTGTAGTTGATGGATCTGTCGGCGACTCAGTTGATGATTCACTAGAAGTCCTGCTTGATTCAGTAGAGGAAGTTTCACTCGTTGTCGCAGTTGAAGAAGATCGCGTTGGGGTAGAAGACTTTGACATTGTCATGGAAGTCATAGAGGTAATAACTGTCGAATGAGTAGGCGACGATGTGGTAGAAGAGGTCATTCCAGGCTCAGGCCTAGTCGTAGGGCCACTGGGGATAGGAAGGGTGTCACAGTAATCAAGCCATTTCTGGAATTCTGGGAAGAGAACAGTGTCAAAGTCTGAGTATGTGCCGTTGGATCTATCATTAGTGCATTTCTTGCACTGCCCAACAAGCTTCATAAACAGAGAGTCCGGCTTGCACAGCGCGGGATCTGCTCCAATGGCTTCTGCTTCAGTCGCGGCAGAATTACACTCATCGTAACATTCGCCGGCCACAATCTCAGGACCGCGTTTGAAAAGAGCGGACAAGGAGCGACGGAAATAACCTTGAGAGGTTGCCGTCACATTCTCAAACGAGAAGATATCAAACGTAAGGCCGAATTTTCTTGGGTCAATGTTGAAGTAGCCGGGAGAAACAACCCACTTCTCAACCTTACCAGGCGTCCATTTCTGTGGGGGGTGTCTTGGAGGGCTAGGAATACACTCATCGGGGCTACAAACAAAGTTCTGACTTGGAAGTCCAACCTCGAAGTTACACTGTCCGTCCGCGGGAGTACGCTTTGGTCTGCAAAGTTGTCCAGGAGGACATCCCCAAATGTAGTTCGATGGAAGCGGCGCCAATGGAGTATATGTTGGGTTGGCAGTGCGGGTTGGGCAGAGAGATATGGAGAGACTCGTTGTTGTTGTAGTTACTGTATTGGTCTTGGTGACAGTAATTTCCTTTCCTGGCTCTGTCAGTGTCTGGGTTATGGTCGATGCTGGCAAAGTGGTTGTAATCACTGTTGTGCTGGCAGGGATTGTCACTGTAGTTCCAGATTGGGTTACGGTACTGGCAGGCAACGTTTGAGTCACTGTCATGATGGTTCCAGGAAGGGTGGTAACCTTGGTGATTGTCGAACCCGGCAGGGTAATTACATGAGTCTCCGGAGGTAGAGTGCTAGTGACCGTGCTCACTGTTCCAGGCTCAGTGTAGGTCTGGGTAATCGTCGAGGCGGGAATTGTCGAAGTTATCACCGTAGTGCTTCCAGGAAGGGTGACTGTGGTTCCGGATTGGGTAATCGTGCTAGCAGGCAATGTGCTGGTCACCGTCATGGTGCTTGCTGGAAGCGTAGTCACCTTTGTAACAGTAGATGCAGGCAGAGTGATGATTTCAGTCTCCGGTGGCAGTGTAACAGGAGGAGGAGTCACGGTAGGCCCTGGTACCGTAACTGAAGTGGTGAGAGTTGTACCTGGTAGGGTAGTGTACATCGTAGAAACGTAGGTTGAAGTGACGGTAGTAGGTACCATAACAGTTACCACTGACGTGACAGTTCCAAACGTGGTTGTCGTTATGTAAGTGGGCACGACGGTTGTGAATGTGGTTGTAAGCGTGGTCGTGGCCGAGATTGTCGTAGGCTGAATAACAGTTGTGGAGATGGTAGTTGAATCATGGATAGTGGTCTCATTGTAAACGGTGGTAGGAATAGTCGTCGGCACCGTAGTGGGCACTGTTGTGGGATCAACGATGGTAGTTGGCTCGAGGACCGTTGTGGGGATCAGCACCGTCTTGGTGACATAGTCAGTAATAATCTTGGTGATACTGGCGGTCTCCGTTTTTGTTTCGGTCTTGGTTTTGGTAACAGTAACTGTATGCTTGCCACCTCCAGGCTCACAGCAACAGCAGCAGGTCGTTTCCGGGTTGTAATTGTATCCTTCAACACTCCCAGTGCTACGAGCAAAGATATTTTTCACATCTTCACGGCGTTTATAGATACCACCTTGCTTAGGACAGGTATCATTTTTGCATAGCGAACACCCCTTTGCCCAGCAATATATCTATTTTTATTTGATCAGACTTGTGTCAACTCGTGGTGGGGGCATAGCCAGGAGAGGTTCGAATGTTTAGAAGATGATCTTACATCACAGTGCACATCATTGCCGGGTTTCGGCGGCTTGTTGGGGCAGCCAGGAAACTTGCATCCATCATCAGGAGGCGGAGAGGAAGTGAAGAGGGTTGTTGTTCGAGGCGGGCAGCTATGAATAGTGCTTGTTGAGGTGATAGTGGTGTACGAAACGGTGTACCTTGGAGGGTATGCTCCGTAACCTTCGGGTCCGGTTGGGCTGCGATAAGTCTGAGTAGCATCAGCCTGGAGCACTGATGTAGCCGCCCACAGAAGAACAGATGTAGTCAACCTCATTGTGGTGGGTATTCAGTCATAGACGGTAGAAATGACCACACGGCGAAGCAATTGGAAGCTTAGAGATCACTACTCATGTGCTCAAATAGCTAAAGAAGAGAGTGAAAGCCAATGCTGCGCGAGGTAGGAAAATAGAGAGAGAGAGAGAGATGCGACGACAAGAGTAGATAAGAAGGGCAGAAACTGTTACCTAGGCAGAGCTCAAGGAGGTAGGGGTTCCCTAGTCAATAAAATAATGTCTAGCGAATATCAAGAGAAAGCCAGTGGGAGAAAAAGAAACGAGCAAGGTCAACAAGTGCCTGCGTATGAGAGGTCCAGGTATGCTCCATACCTGCGCCAGAGAACCAGAGCAGTGGGAAGAGCATCAGGTAGTCCTTTCCGAATGAGAGAGGGTAAATTATACGGGAGAACCTGAAGGATCTTGGGCTAAACACAAGCCTACAGCCTGTCTCGACCAGCTCCGCCGCCACCATTTTTGCTTTGATCTTTGGCGTGGAAGAAGAGTCAAGGCCTCCCCAATCAAAAGCTGAAAGAAACGGCTGAATGCAACGTCACTCCCGCTCGCAGGCTGCATGGTATAACTTTTTTTTTTTTTTTTTCGTTTCCTTCTCCCTCTACGGAATGGGCTTTCGCGCAGTCTTTTTTCAGACGGAAAGAAAAAAGATCGTGAGCAAAAGGCGAAAAAGAAACGAAAGAAAGCAAGTGGTGAAGAAAGAAAACTGACAAGGCTCTTGCAGGCTTGCGTCCGCTGCAGGCCCTCCACACTCGAGGCCCCAGTCATCGACCAGACTGGTTGATGCCAGTAGTCTGAGCTTTTCTTCCCTCTTTTAGAATGGGGATGCAGGATTGATTGACGCAGGATGCAGATATCTCGCCTAGTCTCAAAATGGTTAACCGTGGAGACAAGGATATGTTGTCTGCGGGTTCTATGGACGGGGATGACATGTACAACTAGCTGACAAGTTGACAGCATGCAGAGATGATCGTAGGTGCCGCTCTGCTCCGGCAGTGGTAACTTGTACTTCTCTGCAGCTTATAATACGGCCTTGAATCTTTATTAATAGCAGCGGTACGTATAGCTTAGTGACAGTGTAGGATAGCGGAACGCGCCCGACAGTCTCACGCAACATATTGTCCCACCAGGGGTTCGAGACCTTGAGGAGATGACGAAGCGTTGTAGTATAGTAATTTTTTTGCTGGTTCACTGGGTGTTTGACGGAGGTTGAAGTCGAAGTCGAAGTCGAAGTCGAAGTCGAGGCCGTTTTGAGCCGCATAGATGGCACATGACCACGGCCCGCGCCTCCGCTTTGGCCGTCGTCGTCGACTTCGAACGACTTCATCTCTTCAACCTCCAGGCAAGACGGCGACGAGCTGGTCACTCTGCTTGCTACTTCGAGGTTTACGGAGTACACCCAACAAGCCACGCAGGGAGGCTGGATAACAGCTCCCGCCCTGTCTCAGATTCGCCTGGAAGCACTTCTCGCGGGTGTCTGCATGCATGGCCTGCTCTTTGTGCTCCAGTTCTCGCAAAAGCATGGCTCCCCTGCGCGCCCATCAGTCATAACACGCGGTGATAACTATGAGTTAAGAACTGGGCACTCCCATGCACGAGCGAGTTCGACACGCCCGGAAGTGATATCTTCACGCAGGCTAAGAAAGGCGCATGTCTCGCAGGGGAAATTCAACCAGTTAACTAGTTGGCTAACTAACGACCGATAGTCTTGTTGTACCTGCTTCTGCACCCTGCTTGAACCACAGAATCCATAACAACGGAGTACAAAGAGTGGAAGAAGCCAGAGTTGAAGCCTTGGGTGAAACACCCATTCGTCCAAGCCTTTGACCAGCCCTCTCACGCCACACCACCCTCGCCAGTGGAAAGTCAAGCTCAGCCTGGCTTGACGAGAAAACAAAGCAGAGGCAGAGTCGCCGTTGTTGTTTTACTGTGGGTTTATTCGACGCAGAGAGAGGCGTGAGGTCTGAGATGGCGGTGCTCAGCCTTAGCTTGTCCTCTCAGTCTCCCCACTCGTTAACTCGAACGTCAACAACTTCCTAACTAACTAGTTAGTTTCCCACAACCCGCCGGTCCATCAACCATCAACCGCCACCCACCAAATTTTTTACCATAAAGCTGCCAAAAACTCCACTAGGTCGTGACGCAATAAATATTTCCAGAAATTATACGTACATCATTACTGAGATATTCGACTCGCCAGTGGAGTTAAGTGGAAGTTTTGCCGCTACGAGTGCTTCAACAAGCTAGTAGTTGCTTCCCAACTATATAATAAAGAATTGCAGCTCGGGAATTCCTCCGCAGATACTCTGTATCCCGAAACAGTTACCCTTTGCTCATTAACTCATACTTGATTTCTAGGCTGACTTTTCTTAAAATCTTTCGAATCTTTGAGCAATGCGCCATGAGGCTCCCTCCGTTAAGTTCTATTTACTCTGTATCGTTATCTCAGGTCGGAGGATAGCAGCGCTATCCACTCCTACTGGATGAAGCCGCCCACAAATACGGAGTAGCAAAAGTATCTCTATTAATATAACTAGGAAGCAAGTTATCGAAGGGGGATCAAAAGATTTTGACTTCGGAGGCCGTGCATTATGGTTAACTCCTGAGTTTGTTCGTCCGCCCGTCACTCCGTATCTACCAGTCAACAGCTGATCCCAACAAAAAGACTTTGAAAAAATCGCTTAGGCCAGTGATCACTCTTGATGCGCTTTGGGCCGGGTCTTAGCTCCATGGACAGGGATAGACGTTTTCTTGCAGATATCGACTCGCGCTATTCGACTTGGCGTGCATCGGAGGAAGAAGGCAGAAGGCAGGCATCCATGGAGCTGACAACCTGTCAAGGGAGGTGAACCAGAGTGTCCCTGGACCTGCGCAGGCACAAGACGACGATGATACGGAGTAGATGTCGAGGAACAGTTGAACTGGGGATGCTGAAGATAATGCACTCTCGCAAGCCAGCCATGCAGCTAAGAGAAATAGTTACCCTTCAAGGTTAGCCAGGATCCAGGGTTGGAGGGCATTTAATGTGTGTCGTATCCAAGGCAACGTACAAGCCTCTCTTCCCGAGGTTCCAGATGGGAACATATGCTCAGCGGCTGTTATTGGCCATTACAACGAGGCTGAAATACTCTGTTGGCACCAGCAAAAAGTTGGGCCGTCGCAACGCAGCCATTGAACGTAACTCTGTCGATATTACGGAGTATGTTGTCAAGTCTAAACTGAGGGTTGCCGGGAATTATGGGAGACTTACGGCATCTTCCGCTTAATCTGTGCCAGAGGCCTTCGCACTCAGATGCTGGCATTCTGAGCTTTTCGCCCAACCCTTGTTTGCCCCTCCTTTCGTACATATTCCCGAACGAGGAGTATCTCCCTGACAACTCACCCACCTGGGGAAGAGAGTCTACTGGTTTGCTCGGTTGGGTGATATCTCCACTCCAGCATTGTCCAGAAATTGGGACGTGTGCATGCCCTGTCATAGTACCAAAGTATGGAGTAAGACTGAGTGTTGATGGCATATTGCTCGTCTCTCCAGCAAAACCAGGGTAGAAGATGACGACTGTGATATGGATATCACTTACGGAGTACTCCATACTGCTCATTGAAGTCCAAATCACTCCACCCGAAGGACGCGCTATGCTGGCTACTGACGTAAAGCCATCAAGGAGGATAGGCGCTTTTAGTGCACCGAGATAAGCTCGCAATTGATGGAATAGATGGGCAGCATTTGCTTTCTACGTCTTGCGAGGTGAGCTGTATATTGGCAGCAGAGAAACTCTCTAACTACAATCGTGAAAATCCCTGCATACTTGGTTCGCCTTGCGCATAAGCTCTTCCTATGGGCTTTATCATCCATGGCTACATCCGAAGCGGGAAACCCATACAACGAGCGATGATCAGGTGCCCGGCGTACAGTCCTCAAGATGCAGACTACCCTGGGCGCCCTCCCCTGCGACGAGAGAACATCTTATGCATGGAATAATATCGACCCCGAGTAAAGAACCGCCTAGTTAGTTGTCCCTTGTCCGCATTCACCCTAGCCATGTATCTGAAGACATACATGATACTAATAATACGATGTCGCTGCTGGATGTTGCATCACCTGCCAGACCCCCATTATTTTCCTTATTGGACGGAGGACGCTGTACTCCGTACGCCGTACAGGTAACAACAAGTTATCATTTTCAGGAGAGTTGGGACTTGCCCTTGCCAGGTTCATTTGCTTCGCGAGACCCCACGAGCTAATCACCCACTTGGTAATAACCCCCTGAAACTGGAGTTGATCATCACTTCCTCGCCATAGCCGCATCCGGATGTCATCGCACGATAATAACAATGTCTGACCAACAAAGAAGGTAGAGAGAGGAGAGGCGAGCAACAGAAGAAAAGAGAAGAGAAAACTATTCATTGGGTGACAAGGATAAAACTTCCCTGCACAACAATCTTGGCTGTCCAACCATCGTGAAATATATGGCGCGCTAAAGCGACGGCGCCAGGGACTCCCCTGCAATGTCCCAAGAGGACAACAACCTAACTTGGGGATGGATGTGCCATGGGAACAAACAAGTGGCATGGTCAAAAATGGAAAAGTGAGCGCGCCGGCTATCATTTTCCACGCCCAGGATGGGGTGGCATCGGCCAGCGAGGAATCATGCAAGAAGTCAACAGAGGATCTATTCGTACGGAGTCTCCGTCCTCTCAATACGGCAGTTATTCCCTCCCTGGCCAGATGGAGAGAACATGTTGGATTTTGGAGAAGCCCCAAGGATGCAGAGGCCCGCAAAAGACATCCCCATTTTGCGGAGCTGCCCACCATCCTATAGTTATCATATCCTTTTATGAAGGGGACGGTGAAGGATTTGCTTCCAGCAGTTCTCATGGACCGATACTCCGTAGACACTAGCTGCACAGCTAAAGGAGTTTACAAGTGAGTTCATTGCTGGCGTTCCAGCCTGAGCATACGGAGCATGTACACCGTACAAGCGGAATGATACTCGTTACGGACTACTCGGCCATGGTCTTAACGCATCCTGCGGGCTCTGGGTGCATGCCTCTAGATGCACTTACCTATGGATACGGCCTATCGCTAGCTTTCTTCTTGACCAACGACCAACGCCCCGGCCCCTGTGGCTTCTCCCTTGCAAGCACTTGCGGCTTTTTTGGGTTTTTGGCCTTTTTTTTTTTTTTTTTCTCAAATTCCCATTTCTTTCTTCTGATCCCAGTATTCTCAACCTTTCAGCCGGTATGGTCGTGGGAGTGCTACTCCAGCCTCAGTCCCGCTTAACGGTCACTGCCACCGATCCATCACTCTTTATCAACACTCCTGACAAGCTGATGGTTCTCTTGTTTGACTCTACTTTTTGGCCCTTCACGATTCTGCGACCTGGGAGGGTAATTAGAGTCGTGTTTTTCACTGTAAAATATTGAAATTAACCCTAATCCGGCACAAACCTACTTACCATGCGCAGTAACTTCTTCAACGAATAAGTTACGGAGTAGATATATTTCCAACTCGACCCAGCCAGGTGTCGCCCTACTTGATACGCTCCAGTCACCGGGGATTTCCTCTATCCTCCAGGGGAACAAGGGGCAGTCGATTCAACTTCAAGCCCTCGTCTGCAGCGGCATTATCGTTTAACAAGCGCAGACATCACCACTTCAAGCGCAGACTAGAAACTAGCCATGAGAGTGACCTTCTGCCGGGCAGATAAAGTGTTTTGACCTGCATACCGCACTACAGCCTAAGCGCTCGACTCTCGAGTGAAGAGCCACGCGCAAGTTCACATCCTCGACTGGGCTTCAATCCATTTGGTCGCCTATTTCATCCTTGGTGGCCACCAAGATGAAGTCGTCCAGCGCCATTGCGGGCTTAGGACTAGCCTTTATCTCCATGGTTAACGGTCAGGGAGATAAAGTCCAGACTAACGTCGACTTTTGTAACTGGTATAGGTTCAGAGGTATGTACTGACTGATGGTAATCTACTTGGGTCTACTGGAGTGCTGACGCCTGTTATCTCCAGCTGGAGTTATTCGCGACACTGTTTACCTTGATGGAGGCTCTTTATTATGGCAACGGTGAGTTTCCCATAATGATACTTTCTGATCGTTATTATTCCTGACAATATGTAGCAATTTTCAAGATGGCAGACCGATCCTGGAGAAGGCTGGTAGGGACTTCTAATAAATAAAAAAACGTCACAGACTAGCTAATTCAGGACGTAGGTCCCGATTTGGACAATATGTTTACTCTTTCATTCAACTCCTCCTTTGATATGAAAACCAATTTCACAGACCTGCTTGGAAGGATACCAAGGCTCGCTGGCGGAGATGCATCGCTTCTTGCGCCTACCTATATCGATGGAACAATGTTCTACAGCGACTATACCCTTCTTACTTATGGGTACTTACTCCTTCTGCCTATAACACCCTGTTCCATGTTCTAACTAGGAGGCTTTGATAGCGGTATTACTCGAAGGCCACTCCAAACCCCCACAAACTCGTCCCTCTATGGATATGATGCCTATCAATACGGCCCTTTTAAACCGCCTTTCAAACCAGGCTCGATCCTACCTCAAATCCATGAAGATGTCACCCGCTACATTACCCATGGAGCAGGCGTATCCGTTCCAAGCGAAAATAAGGGATACTACTTCAGTGGACGTCAGCGAGAAAATGGGGACGTCATAGACGTGGCAACTCAGCCGAATATAACAGCTAATACTCTTATATCTGTTGACCTGTCCAGATTTGACGAACCAAAATTTGCCCGTGACAATCTAACGGGGGTTACTGGACGATCAAATGCAGAGTTGGTCTGGCTGCCCGTTTCAGACGGCGTCATGGTCGTAATAGGTGGCGTTACAAACCCGGAATCCATATATCCTTCACCCATATCTTCCCAAGAGAAAGAGGAAAACGTAAGCCTTTGACTGCACTTGCATATTGTTCCCCAATTACCGTTCACTCTATCATTAACACATTCTGCCAGACCAAGAAGGATTCCGCGTTTATGGAGACGGTTAGCTTGTATGATATTGGGACTGGAGAATGGTAACTTATGCAAAATTTTTCCTTGTAACAGCTTGAATAGTCACTGACTTCTAAAAAGGTATTCACAGAAGACTACAGGCGATATACCGCCAGCATCGAATTCATTCTGCTCAGTTGTTGGCGAGGCGGCAGATCGGAGCTCGTTCAATATATACATCTACGGCGGATACAATGGCACTGAACGCACCGTCAGGCCGTACGATGATGTACATGTTCTGTCAATTCCTTCGTTTACCTGGACAAAAGTATATACCGGAGAAAGCAACATGGGCCGCCGCGCTCACAAGTGTGTCAAACCATACCCGGATCAAATGTTCGTTATTGGCGGTCAATATACATCACAAACATCATGTCTAGTGGGACCTTTAGTCCGGGTATTTAATTTGAACGAGCTGAAATTCAAGGATAAGTATGACCCAAGGGAGTGGAGCGGGTACGTAGTTCCAGATGTGATCACCAAGAAGATTGGCGGAACGTAAGGAATCCCTCTATTCTTGTTACATTTTTACTGACAACCTTTACTAATATTCCTTACTCCTTGGAAATAGTGGAAAAGGGGGAGCCACCAAAACTCAACCGGACAGCTGGGATAACGACAAACTGGGAGATATTTTTGGCAAGAAATATACCAAAACTATCCAAAAGTGGTATCCATATGAGCCTGCTAAGGCAACCTCATCCGCTCCTGGTACTACCGCTCCCCCCGGAGAAAACAAGGGAGCAGGCGGTGGTCTTCCTAGATGGGTTGGGGCAGTTCTAGGTGTTGTCCTAGGCCTGATATTCATCACTGCTCTGGCAGTGGTGTGGCTTATTTTCCGTCGACGCAAAGAAAGACGATACGCTCCTAGCCTTGGAGGAACAAGCGAAGTTGCTAGGAGACGCATCCTTGGATGGATGTATGGAATGGGACAGCCATCACACAAGCCAGACATGACTACTACCTCCACTGAAATTGGCATTAACGACAAGCATGCATCGACGGGTATATACTCAGACTCAGGAATTGACTCGGTCGCGTCACCCAATAACCACCCTCCCTCAACTATTGTTTATTCTGATATCAACGCCCCGGAGGCTGGCAGCTCTCCAATCCATGAGATGCATGGTAAGTAACTACATCATATGTGTATGATATTAATAGCCATCAAACACTTTTAACTAACAATTGTGTAGCTGGCACTGTGATGAGCCCGTCAGAGCTACCTACCCCTTTCAACGATACTCCCGTGACTGCTCGACACCCAAGCGAGACGCCATCGTTCATCAGCCCCATATCTCCTGCAACCTCACCGTCTCCTGAGAACCAGCGAGAACTGCACCATCCAGCCAGACCAACTCATGGTCGTCACGGATCATCCTTCTCCAGCATAGGTGTACCGGTAACCCTTGACAACATTGTAGTGTCTGAAAACACAGAGTCACGGCCGAGGGAGCGTCGTGTATCCGGTTTCACAGAAGAGTTTTCTGACACCCATTCGCCTAGCTATGAAGATGTGGAAACTGGACACAAGATATAGCATCATGATCGTCTGGTCTCTATTCTACCTTGAACTTCTGCGTGTAATTTGTCTTTTACGCAAAAATAACTGTTATCCCTCGCTTGGTGCCTCCATTATACCTCAGGGAACCTTTGGGTCAGATTCTGCTTTTCTTCTCATACTTCATTTCTTGTTTGTCACAAATTTTTCAGCATATACCTAGGCACTGACGACGCAACGAATAATCGAGATCGTATTTCTTCAACCATTTTCTATTTGAAATCCGTGATTTATGTTTGTTTATTTTGAGGCTTCCGGTGGCAAGTAGTGACTTCTCTATAAGGAGACAAAATGACGTAGAGTACCGAAGTGGAAAATATGGCAAAACCAAAAGGCATGTGCTGCACAACGTGAGGAGATAGGTGTAACATCGTCTACCTCCGCAACTGTTCACCACAGAGTTCCCTATTGCTGACCATATTGGAAAACCACCGTCTACTTGTTGGCAGACTATTTTAATTACTAAGATGACTATGATACTCGGCAAGCCAGTTGGCAAGATTGGATACGGCTTAATGGGTGAGTAAATTGTTTTTCAGGTCAGGTTGGCAGATTAGATGGCTGATGGATGGGGGAATAGGCTTCACATGGACGCCCAACCCGACGAAGTACGAGGATGCATTCAAGGTGATGAAGACGGCTCTCGAGCAGGGAGCCAACTTCTGGAATGGTGGCGAGCACTATGGCCCTCCAGACGCAAACTCACTGCAGCTACTCCGGGCATACTTTAGCAAGTATCCTGAGGATGCAGACAAGGTCGTGCTAAGCATAAAGGGCGGGATGGGTAAAGACCACTCCTTCGACGGGACAGAGAAAGGAGTACGCCCGAGCGTAGAGAACTGTGTGCGGCTCCTGGGAGGAACAAAGAAAATCGACATCTTCGAGTGCTCCCGCGTGGATAGGAATACACCAATCGAAGAGACGATGGCAGCTCTACTGAAGATGCGTGACGAGGGCTTGATCGGGGGTATCGGTCTGTCTGAGGTTCGGGCCGAGACGATTCGACGGGCAGCCAGAGTAGCTCCAATTGCTGCGGTGGAAATAGAGCTAAGCCTCTGGAGCACTGGTCCTACAAACAACGGCATCCTCGAAGCATGCAAAGAGTTCAACATCCCCGTCATCGCCTACTCGCCTCTGGGCCGCGGGTTCTTGACTGGCAAGATCCAGTCTCCTGATGACCTGCCGGATGGGGACAGACGAAAGACCTTCCCAAGGTTTCAACCAGGCAAGATAGAGAATAACATAAAACTCGTAAAGGCCCTAGAGGGCATTGCCGACCGGAAGAATATGACCTTGCCACAGATCGCCATATCTTGGGTGCTTGCTCTGGAGAAGAGGTTCCATGTTACCATAGTTCCTATCCCGGGCTCAACAAAGAGGGAGAGAGTGCTTGAAAACTCCAGTGTGTTGTCTCTAGCTGAAGAGGATTTGGAAGACATAAACCGTATACTCTCTCAACATCCCGTTGAGGGCGACAGGTATGAGGAGCAGGTCATGCTCCTGAGCGATGGCTAGGCCATAAAAAAAGGTGTTCACTTTTTCTTACTGTCATTGCTAGATAAAGTTATAGGGTATTTTGTCTGGCTAGGATTGTTTGGCCCCGTCTTCAGAGCCACTGGCTAATGGCCATGGAGTAGACATTTGCTATGATTCCTTTGCAAGGAGGGCTCATTGGTTTTAGCCTGGATCATAGAACAATTCACTGGGCGGCTTTGACGGCGGATTAGACAGACCAACAGGCCAACATTGGTTTTCAGCTTGTAAGGGAGAATTCCACATACCCAACTGACTAGTTATACTACTCTTACTCCTAGCCTGCTCTCCGTGCTAGTCTTAAAAGCAACTTTCCCCTTTAGCTATCTCCTCTCTAGCTCCGCCTCTCTTATAGCCTCCTTATTAAGGTTGCTTCTCTTTTGCTCCTTACTATCCTGTACTAGAGGTAAGACGGACCTTAAATCAGAGGGGCCTCAGGGGTCGATAGCTAAGGAAGAGCCTAAGAGCCTACAGGTGAACGGAGGGCAGGCCACAGGAGAGAAAAATAAAGCTCTGGACCAAAGGAAAAAAAAGAGGGTGCCTTTAAGGGGGGAAAGAAGTCATCTGTACAGATAACTAACCAGTTGTCTCAAGCACGTATGATAATGATAACTGGCACCTCTACCATTTAAGTAACAGCTAGCAGTCAACAATACCCATCATCGTATGGAATCACCCGACTCATGATTTCTATGTTGAAAATTTCCCCCTTAAAAAAGAATAGAATATAAGCATAAAATAAACTTTTATATCACAATAACACGTGATGTTATTCACGTGATAATCACCTGTTCTGGCCGAAAAAGGAAGGAGTGGAAAAAAAAAAAAAAACATCCGACTTTTCGACATCAACTTCGACTTTCGACGTTCAATTCTTCGAATCTCCGGTTTCTCGAATAAAAAGGCGACGTCCTGTCGTGCCTCGCTCGATTCTCTCCTTCAGCCTTCCGAGCAGCCTCTAACCGCGCACGACTTTCGCTCTTCCTGACCTTGTCTTGTTCGATTTCACCTGCCTGGCCTACCTCTACTCTTCTATCCCATGGGCCCAGCATCCTCTGTCGTCTGATATAGCTTTGATCCTGAGTGACAGGCAAGCTCAAGGAAACATCCTCCCGACAGTGTCCAGCCCTCCTTTTCCGCTATTGTTAACCCGCCTGGCCTGCCCGTCATGCTCAACGCTTCCGCAATTGAGCTTCCGCCGCTCCCGTCCTACACCCTTACTCCCCGCCAACCACTCATCGCCCCTATTCCAGATAATGCCACCATTCTCATTCTCCCAGTAGTTGCCTACTGGGCCCTGTCCATGATTTTCCACTGGATAGACGTGAATGATTACTTCCCGCAATACCGCCTTCACACTCCGGCAGAGATTCTGAAGAGGAACCATGTCACCCGCTGGGAGGTGGTGCGCGACGTCATCCTACAGCAGATCATCCAGACCCTCTTTGGCGTCTTGCTCATATTCTTCGACCAGCCAGAGTTCAATGGCAGAGAGGAGTATGATATTGCCGTCTGGGCCACCCGTATCCGCCTCGCTCAGCGCGCCGTGCCCCAGCTTATGATGCTGCTAGGAGTTGATCCTGTCGGCCTGGCGGCTAAGCTCTCGGGTTATCCTATTCTTGCTGCCGTCGTGTCAGGAGGCCATTACCCGTTTTTGACCCAGGTGGTCACTTCATCAACAGGAGAGACTGCTACAGCACCGGCCTTCGCCGCCTGGGAGTGGGCTGTTGGTTATTCCATATACTACTACCTTATCCCGGCGCTCCAGTTTGTATATGCCATCACCTTTGTCGACACATGGCAGTACTTCCTTCACCGTGCTATGCATATGAACAAGTGGCTATACAGTAGGTTTTTTTTTTTTTTTTTTTTTTTTTTTTTTTTTTTTTTTTTTTTTTTTTTTTTTTTTTTTTATTTTATTTTATTTTTTTTGCATTTTCATATCTCTGCGTTGACTACTATGTTCTTTACTGACATGAAACAGCTACATTCCACTCAAGGCATCATAGGCTATACGTACCATACGCCTTTGGTGCTTTGTATAACCATCCATTTGAGGGCTTCCTTCTCGACACAGCCGGCACCGGTCTTGCATTCCTCACCTGTGGCATGACCACTCGACAGGGAATGTGGTTTTTCACCTGCTCAACGCTCAAGACCGTCGATGACCACTGCGGCTACGCCTTCCCCTGGGACCCCCTTCAGCATGTCACTGGAAACAACGCCGCTTATCATGACATCCACCACCAGAGCTGGGGCATCAAGTCAAACTTCAGCCAACCATTCTTCACTTTCTGGGATCGCCTACTTGACACCCGCTGGAAGGGTGATGTCACACTGAGATACGAACGGTCTCGGAAGGCAGCACAGAGTAAGATGGACGTTGACTTGGCCAGTTGCTCTCAGACCGACGGTGCACAGGAACAAAAACAAATAACACAGTCAGAAACTCACATAGTGGCTTCTAGAGACGACGATGATGCATCCACCCGTTCTTTGCTGAAGCGGAGTGTCCGCAAAACCACTAATTCGTTTTCGCCTCAGTCAGATTCTCTCAAAGGTCTGACCCACCGTCTGAGTGGCAGCATCCAGCATAAATAATCATTCGCTATTCCTCTTGCTTTCCTCTCTAATATATCCCTTTATAATAACGTTTCGCTGATGTCAATCTTTAACCCCCTTTCCTCTCAACCAGCCACTGACTGCATTTCATACTCTTTCTAATTCCAAGCCTGTCAATTCTTCTTTCAGCTACCTATTCATACCCCAGAAGCATAATCCGCCGCCTTTATCCCCTTGATTGGGTATCCCCCGTTTTATTCCACGTATTGCTGTTTATTCTTCTCTTTCCTTTGTATGAATGATACGGTGATGAATTGTGGGTGGAGGCCTATTCTTTGTCTCCTCCTTTTTTGCTTGCTTCCTGCTTCTTTCAGCTCTACCCCTAATTCACCTATACTCCTGTTTCCTCTTACTCGTACATGCCCATGCCCACCTACAAGTTTAATATGTGTACATTCTACCTTTGGAGCCGCCCCTAACTTTGAACACATTCTCCAACCTTGTATTAACAGCTGCGTTGATCGCTCCAGAGAAACTCGCCGTTATAGCTCCTCTGAATAGTTGAGAATCACAACTTCTCTTCTCCTCCCTCCCTTGATCTATCTCCTATTCGCTCACTTCTCTTCCCGTTCTTGCTGTTCTTATTATTCTGGAACATCATTCTCTTCCGATTCTTCTCTTCTCTTTTCGAATTCTTAACGGGGGGATCGGCTTAAGAGGGGGGTATATATCCTCGCCTCCATCGAACGTACTCCAACGGGTCGTTGCCTCGGACACCGGTCTCTTCTCCTCTAGCCGTGTGTTCGGGATGCCAGGGCCTTCAACTAGCGTTGCCCGGCTGTAGTTGGATGGGGAATAACAGGAGAGTCGATGCATTTCTCCAAGCAGAGATCGATACTCTGCTGCTTGCTCCTTACTCGTCTTGATAGTCTGCGAGCGACTCAGCCTGCTGCTGCTATGATCACTACTTTGACAGACCGGCTTGTGGACATTCTGGTTCATTTTGGAATAGCTGCCGCCATAGGAGTACACACTCTGGGTTTGTCTCGACGGGTATTCATATCTAGTTCTAGCCCGTGAGCTGGATATGCTCGATGACAGCGACGGTTGAATTTGTGTGTTACGTCTTGTCTCGGGGCATGTTGCCATAGGTGTCCTCGGCGATTCGCTTCTCTTCATTTGACTAGCGCTAGTTGGACGATGACGCTCGGCCCTGTCGATTCTATGTCTTTGCTCCGACTCTGGCTCTGATTGTAGCCTTTTCTTTGGCTCAGGGATCGTTCCTCTATCCTGCTGCCGTTCTGGTTGTGCTGTGACCGCCGGCTCCGGATTTACATCAGTCAGGGTCCGGTTAAGATAGCAGTCGATAATTTCATTTGCAGTATCAACCTCGGAGTTAGACGACGGGAGGGCACTATCTGGGCGCCGAAGTGTCTCCATCGATCGTGGCCGCCTGTTTGCCTGACGTGTGTTCACCGATGTCCATCTCGTTGGCCGGTGGGTGACGTTGCTCTCTGCTCTCCTCAGCCCGCAGCCCTGGCCGGTACCAGCGTTCTGCCCCTGAGATTGCGTACCCCTGATATCCCTCCTAACAGCCTTCAATTCTAGTGCGTCTTCCGCGCTGAAAACAAACATTTCTAGGCTAGATGGACCGTGGCAGCTCATCAGCTCTTCCACCCACCTCACAAGTTGCGGTGTGTTCCTGTTTTTCCGCCTCCCTATCCGACTGAGAAGAAGCGTGCGCATATCCGTCAATGCAGCCCGGTCTCTCGCAAACCGGCTGACCATGCATGCCTCGCACCCGTCGCTCTGATAATACCATGTGAAAGATGGTCTGATGAGATATTTCCTCTCCACTGTTTCTCGCGTCATCCAGAGTCCGTTCACAGTACGGAGGTTGTGTATCATGCGCCTCTGCTCAATCGACAACCGTGTCTGCCTTGATACCAGCCCACTTAGGCCTTCACCCACTTCTGCCCGTATGAGCCCACAGAGTGCATGAATTATCTCTCTATTCAGCGGCTTATGGATAAAACATGTAGCCTTCGCAGGCTCTCGTATGAGATTTAGCTTGTCCACCATCAACGAGAGGATTCGCGATCGGCGAAGGTACGAAGGTAGCTCAGTGGTCAGTTTGGCAGCAGCCTCTCGTTCCTGAAACTTCTTGATATCAAGGAACAAGATGCGTGCCAACTTCTTGACATCTTCCCTACTCAGGTCCTCAACCTTCAGCTGTGTCATGGCTCCTATGGCGGTTCGGTATTCAATTATCGCTTTCTGGTGACAAACACTAAAACCAAAACCAAGGATTCAGATCGATAATCAATATTCGATGCTCTAAAAAAGCTGACTCTTTCTTCGATTAACCTCCTTTATATCACCGATCTTTCGACGGTTTACAGTGCGCATGTACCGGAAGACATCAAAGAAGAAGGGAAAACGCAGGTGTAACAAGGTCAACAAAAGATCCATGTTGGTGAAGTATGCAGAATGTGCGCTTCTCTTCTTCCCTGGACTTCCTATCAAAACCATTTTCCTTCATTCATACATGTGTTTGCTACTTTGGTCGAATTTGGTACATTCTTCCACCTTCCTTTGGCGCATATAGACTATATATATACAGCATTCTGTATTCTGGCATCACCCAGCTTGTTTGCTATATGGCGCACTCACAATTTAGGGCGCCACCCCCTGAAAGAAGAGATTTAGAAAGTTTCCCAGACATTTTTCGACCACTCCTCTAACTCGGTGTTATTAAATCTAATATCGCCCTGATTTCTAAATGGGGCTCGCAGAAAGAGGTCGGTAAAGGAAATAGTCAAAGGACCGCCGGCTATATAGCTATCCTGCCTCCGTTTCTTAATGGTAATGATTTGGAGGACTGCCGCCTTTGTAATTCCAGAGCGGCCATATCGTCGAACCGTAATCTTAGTTCGAGATATCTTAATAGTAAGGACCACATTTATATCACCAGCAGATCTTTGAATCCACTGTCTTGCGACCCTATCAAGGTGGCTATAGCTTTGAGGGTTTCCCCGTTTCTACCATAAGTGTTGGCCACTTAGGTGTCCTCTCTGTAGGGAGATTGCGCGGCCGAACAGCGTGATCAGCCTCCTTATGCTCGATAACTGCAGAGCCAAAACGGAGATAAGATAAGCAGGGGGTCTCATGCCCATTGATGCGATTTTGAGGATTATATCCTGCTATTTTCTTCAGTCTCCCTCTTCTTCGCCGTCTCTATCTCTTCTCTCTTCCGTTTATTTTCTGCGTGGCGAGCCTTTGCTGCGCCGGCGGGACCTTCCAGTGCCTTGAGATCTTCTCCTTCGATCCCCTGGCTAATTACGGTGTCTTGTTTTCCTATATTTTTTGCCTTCAATATGGCAGAGCCGAGGACACCACCTTGGCCTATACTCCAAATCCAATTAGTTAGATATACCCGAAGAAAATATAACAAAGGATATATTACAAACATACGCCTGCTCTCTGTGGCTGTTGTCTCTCGAATAGTAAAGGGATCACCCGGCTTTCTAAAAACTGCCGGCGGTTCTTCGTCTGGCCGTCTGTGACCTCCACATCAACCGTCAAGCCAGAAATTTGTCGGTTAATTGATATCATAGCCATGATTCGTGGTATCAGATGATGACAGTCTGCAGCTTCTATATCTCCTTTGACCATAAAAGACTTGAATGAAGTTAGGTCTAGAATCTCCAAAGGGGTAATGCTTCGATTCACAATCTCGCTTGGACGGTCGACGAACTCTCTCGCCATTCCTGCTTCACGTCCGTCGCAGCAGGTGGATGGGTAGGCCATGTAGAATCGTGGATCAAGCACAAGTATCCATACAGGTCAGCGACTTTGTTTAAAAATGGGGTGGCAGTCAGCAGCCAGACGGATTCATATCCCATGTTTCTCCAGTGGGTATTCTGCTTAGCTGAAGCATTCTTCTAATCGCCTCTCTTCGGCGAGCGTCCTTCTCTGGGGGTGGGTTGAGATTTCCGAGGGTAGTAGTTATAACATATTCCCTAATGTTTATGGCCGTCTCCGGCGCTTTCTCCGGGTCAATATCTGCCTTTATGTGGTCTGTCGTTCTATCGACTTGTATGCGTGTGCAATATTCCTTGTAATATTGGTTGTTTTTGCTGTTGATGTGGTGTATCTTTTCAGGTGGGATATTCTGGGATGTTCTGCATGAAATGATTGATATTCTTTGATATTGCCATAAGTAGTCAGTCAGTCACTTTTCACTCCTTCACTACTCCGACTATTCACTCTATTGTTGCATATTCACATACCCCAAGTTGAATACGCCGCGCACCTTGCCCTTCTGCTGGCTGGTCCTCACTAGTTATGTTACGAGCAATATTATCATGTCTGAGCAGCTCCGAGTAACCATTCAGCGGGGGCTCTTTTCCTCCTCATGGGGTATCTGTATATCGTAGCAAGAATACTACCCACACTGGTTAACTAACTAGCCATGGTGCCCCGGATAGAAGTTACAGCTTGACCTAACTAGTTGATAGAGGTTCTTCTCGATAACCGAAACCGACACCTCCCAGGCCGCCGCAAAGACGCATTACCTGCCGAATAATAAGATACCGAGCTGTTCACCGCGTATTCCCTCAGGCCGAGACAAGGATCTGGCTGTCAACGAGAGCTGGTTAGTGGACTTAACTAGTCATGGTGGATAACCAGTGACTCATATAACTAGGCAGCACTCAGCCTTGCCGTGAGGCTGAAGCAGCTCCAGTCCCGTCGGCGAGCTCTCGAGGACACCGAGGATTATCAGAAGTTGTCATTTAAGCCTGAAGAGGAAATCATCCCGCCTATGGGCGATCGGAGATACCTCAGGGTGACGCATATGGATTGCATATGAAGGACGCAACTCCGCTCGATTGGAGACACCAAAAGATGAGAAGAGTCATACTCAGCCGCATCGATGATTATTATTATTATTATTATTCTTCATTATACTCCTATGCAGTCAAAGACTATGAGGAGTTCTATATTTAATAAATACAGAAGAGGATAAGAAATCAAAATTTAGCCTCCTAAGGCTCTAGAGTTTGGGAAAGGTGCAATTTGGTAATAGCCTAATATAGGCAAATCACTAATCTAATTTAAGTTAATTAAGCTCTTTTATAGAGACTTAACTAGGATAGTTATATATATATATATATATATATATATATATATATATATTTTTTTTTTTTTTTTTTTTTTTTTTTTTTTTTTTTTTTTTTTTTTTGGTTTGTGGTACTAGGGTGCTGTAGCACCGGTGCTACTAGTTCTATTTAGGGTGCCACTATTATTTGAAGGCCTTAACGGGGTCTAGTAACAGCAAGGTATATACTAATTAACTTGAAATCGTCTATAGAATATATCTAGTAGTTCCCTAGAGTTATTTAAAGCACTTCTAAAAAAGTTATATAATAGCACCGGTGCTACTAGTTCTATTTAGAGTGCCACTATTATTTAAAGGCCTTAACAGGGTCTAGCGATAGCGAAATATATACTAATTAACTTAAAATTATCTATAAAATATATCTAGTAGTTCCCCAAAGTCATTTGGAGCACTTCTAAAAAAGTTATATAATAGTACCTAATCTATAGTACTAGGGTACCGTAGCACCAGTGCCACTAATTCTATTTAGGGTGCTACTATTATTTGAAGGCCTTAACGGGGTCTAGTAATAGCAAAGTATATACTAATTAACTTAAAAATATCTATAGAATATACTTAGTAATTCCTTAGAGTTATTTGGAACACTTCTAAAAAAGTTATATAATAGTACCTAGTCCGTGATACTAGAGTGCCGTAGTACCAGTGCTACTAGTTCTATTTAGAGGGGGTAAAATATATATATATATATATATATTTTTTTTTTTTTTTTTTTTTTTTTTTTTTTTTTTTTTAGCTAGTTAGTAGCCAGGCTCTAGTAGCTATTTTTATAGTTTATAGGAAATTAATAAGCTACTTTCTTCCTTTTTCTATTTAAAAAATAGCTTTTAGATTCCAGTTTTGGTTATTCAAGTTATATTTTTCTTTTAGCTAGGTTCTAGTTTTTTTAGTACTAGAGTAGTCTAGAAGGAGGTGTTATAGTATTTCCCTAAAATTAGGATATCTAGAATAGTAGGCTAAGTTATATTCTAGGAGTCTTCTAAAATAGAATTTAAAGTATCCGTATCCTATCTTTAGTTAAATTTTTATTAATTAGAGCTTTTTAGGCTAGTTCTCTTTAGAAGTACCCTATTTAGGAAGATTTTTAAACTATTAGTAGTCTCTTCCTAGTTAAGAGCCCTTAATTTCTATTAGATTTTGGTTCCACTCTTCTAGGGCTCTTTCTTTTATTCTTCTTTTTAGGTTTACTAAAGAAGTATAATTAAGAATAGAGGTATAAGTAAGATTTGCTCCTAGCTTTGCTGCATTATTTACTTTCTTATTTCCTAGAATACCTAGATAGGCTAGAACCTAAGCTATCTTAATAGAAAAGCCTTTTTAATATAATTTCTCTACAACTTTTCTAATAGAGAAGATATATCTTTCACCTCCTATTAAAGCTAATTTCTAGAATCTCTAAATAGCTACTTTACTATCTACAAATATCTAAATTTCTTTCTCTAGGGGCGTATAATTAAAGAGGGACTTCTAGGAGCTATTAGGAGTATCTTTAATAGTTTTTAAGGCTTTTAAGAAAGCTCTATCTATAGTAAAGAGTTTAGTATCGAAGACTTCTAGCTCACTTTCTAGATTCTAGACTTAGTATTATAAGGTTTTTAATTTAAAAATTCTAGCTCCTATAGTCCCTTTCTCTAATTTAAATCTATCAGAGTAGTAGATAAGATTTTCTTAATTTAGCCGAATTTTCTTTAGAAGTTCGAGATATTCTAATTTTACTATAGGTTTTGGGGATTAAGAGACCCTAAATTCTATTAAACTATCTAAATTAGCTATCCACGGGCTAATCTAGTGTCTACTAGGAGCTTCGATTTTTGAGTTTTTTAGAAAAAATACTATTAGGGAGGTGATTCTAAAAAGTTAAGATACTTCCTTTTTAGCTTTCTTTCCTTCTAAATACTCTAGATCTAACTACTTATAAAATTTATTCCAGTCTAGATCTATCCCTAGGTCTCTTTCTAGAGGGAAGCTTTTAGAGACTCTAGCCCTAATAGGGTGATCAGATTGTAGGGATATAATCCTTAAGGTATATAACCTACAGATTTTATCTAATCTAACCCTTATAGGGGGGATAGAGGCCTCTATTTCTATAAAGAAGGTAGGAGAAGTTCGAAAGGCTCCTAGAATTTTCCTTAGAGCCTTATTCTGAAGTGTTCTATATTTATTTAGGAAATTCTTTTAATTTTTCTACTATATAAGGACACTATAGTCTACTATAGAGGCTATACATACGATATATAGCTACCTAATTATTTAAAAAGATAGGCCTCTCTCTGTATTTAAGAGTTGAGCTATTTGATTTAGAATCTTTTTAGCTAATTGAAGCTTTATCTCTATATAATTTTTAAAGGTAAGATTATTATTAAAGTAGATACCTAACTATCTTACTACCTTTTTTAGTTTAATAGGTAGGCTCTAATCTTCTAATTAGATAGATATTTTATCTTATTTTTTGTCTATCTTTCTAGAGAAATGGATAAGCTCGGTCTTATCTATATCTATCTAAATTATAAGATCCTTTTATCTTTAGAGAATAACTTTTAAGGCTTGTTCTAGCTTTTTAATATTCTCCTCTTTTATTCTAAAGGAGGCTATTAAAGCTATATCATCGGTATAACTAGGAAGTCTAATATCTTTTAGGTCTTGGTAATCTTGAAATAGCTCTTTAATATAGATTATAAAGAGAATAGGGGAAATAGGAGAGCCTTGTAGGATTCCTATCTCTATCTCTCTAAGCTCTTGGATTTAGTTATTAAAGGCTAATTAAACTAATCTCTTAGATATAAAGGAGGCTATCTAGCTAATTAGTGATTTTAGGAGGCCTAGTCTCTAATATATACTTATTAATTAATTTAGAGAAATGTAATTAAACGCTCCCTTAATATCTATAAATAGTACTAAGGTAATTAGACCTTATTTTTTTACTAGCTAAATATTATAAGTTAGATTTATTATAGCGTCTATAGCAGAGAACTATTTTCTCTCTTCTAGTTAATTGAAATATAGTAATTTCTAACTCTTAAAAGCAAGGTATTCTAGTCTAGTAGCTAGGACTTTCTCTAGAACTTTACCTAAGTAGCTTAGGAGAGAGATCACCCTATAGAATTTAGGAATCGTATAGTTTCGATTAGGCTTAGGGAGGATAATTCCTATAGCCTATTTCTACCTAAGGGGGTGATAGCCTCTATTAAAAAGAGCTTTATAGAGATTAAAAAGTCTTTCCTCTAGAATAGGATAGATTTTCTGAATTATTAGAAAGGATATTTTATTTGGTCTAGCTACTTTTCTAGGGGAGCTAGTATAGATAGCCTACTTAACTTCTGATTTGGTTAAATAAGACTAATCCCATTCTTATTTTTAATAATTCTGTGGATCTATAGCCCTAGATAGGGGCGGCTTTTTAAAAAGAACTTCTATAAAAGCCTCGTATTTATCACTAAAGGTGATAGCCTTGATCTCTTCCCTATCTTTAGTGTAGGTTAGTATAGGGAGCTTCTCTAGGTATCTTTTTTTAGTATAATTAAAGGCTTTAAAGATTTCTTTTCCTTTAGCTTCTTCTAGGAATTTATTCTAGCAGGCTTGTTTAGCATTCTTAACCTCCTAAAAATAGTGATTCCTAGATTTCTTAAAGATATCTAAGGGGATTAAGCCTTATTTATATCTAGAGCTATTCCTTTTTATATCTTTCCTAAATTTTTTTAGTCTTGGTGTCTATCAAGGCTTTAAGTATTCAGATATACGTTTTTTAGAAATAGTAGTTTCTAGAGTAGTAAATATCAAGCTCTCTAGACAATTAGCTTCATTATCTAAATCTTTTAAGGAGTTTTCTAGACTAAGAACAGAAATAAATTCTCTTTTTTAAAGATTTGATTCTAGTTCTTTTAGAACTTTATCCTAGTCGGCCTTTTCTAGATTATATTAATTAGATAGAAAGGGATTCTCTACTAGGCTAGTGGGGTCTATCTCTATATTAAAATAGATAACCTTATAGTCTGAGCCTAATTCTAGAGACTCCTCTATCCACTAATTATAGGGTTTCTCTAAGAGAGAAGAGGATAGACAAGTAAGATCTATAATAGATAGGTTCTCTATAGATTTTAAGCAAGTAGCTCGATCTTCCTTATTAATTATATTAAACTAGTGTTTATCTAACCAATATATTAGCTTTTCTACCCTAAGGGGGGATAATCTTTTAGAGTTCTATCTAGGATGGTGTGCATTTATATCTCTTAGAATGATTAAGTTCTTTATAGGGGTTATTTTTTATAGTTCTCTTTCTATAGTTCTACCTTTTATTCCTTCTTCTAAAGATAGTTCGTTATAAATATTTATTAGCTAAATAGTCTCTAGTTCTTATTTAGAGTCTATTATATCTATAACTAGAAGGTCTAGGTTATTTATTATATCTAGTCTTAGGTTAACCTAATATCTAGATTTTTTTCTTATGAAAATCGCTACTCTAGGTCTAACTTCTCTAGTTTAGGGTAGAAAGTAGAAGTAGGAGGGGTAAGCTATAGTATATTGATAGTCTATACTAACCCAGGGCTCCTAAAAGAGAACTAGATTAATTTTATTATTAAAGGCTATATCTAAGCAAGTATGTATTAATATATCCTTTCTAGCTATATTATTTTAAAGAAAGCTTAGTTTTATTTCTACTATTATGGTTTTTCTTATGGGATTTCAACTCTAACTAGGACCTAGGGCTTTGGCTTAGTAGAAGTAGCTTCTTCTCTAGCTTCTACTTTAGCTAGTACCTTAGATAGATAAGGCTTTCTAAAGAAAGGGCAGTTTTAACTATCTACTAAGTGTTTATCTCTATAATTTATATATTTTATAGTAGTATATTCATATTATTTTTCTAGAGTATAGTAAACTAAGTAGTTATAGGTTTTAGTTTCGTAATTTTCTATATAAATTTAGTAGTTTGACTTAATAGCTTTATATTCTATAGAGCTATAACTATATTTTTGGTAAAAATAGTATTATACTCTAGTTTTAAAAATCTTTTATTTAGGTTTATATTCTTCTGATTTATAATATTTACCTATAATTAGAAGAAGCTTAGGAGGGATTTTCTCTTTTAGATAGAGAAGGGCTAAACCTTTAGTTTTAGAATCTAGTTCTTCCTTTCTAAATAGCCAGACTGGTTCTTTAGCTAGAAGATCTTTTAGATCTGGATTAAAGATCTAGATCTCTTCTTCAAGGAGTTTAAGACTCCCTTTTCCTTTAAAAGAATCTAGGGGAATTCTATAAATCACTAGGTAAGACTATTTTTTATCCTTCTTAAGCTATAGTTTCTCCCTTAGATCTAGAAGATAGTATTTAACTACTTTCTCCCAAATTTATTAAGTCTGTAGAAGAAATAGAGCTAAGAAGTTAGGCATAGTAGTAAGGGTAATATTATCTCCCTTAAAGGTTTTTCCTACTAATATAAGAACGGGGCTAGTAATTCCCTTTTCCTTAGAAAAAGCTATATTAATAGCGTTTCTTATCTTATATCCTTTTAAGGAGTCCTAAGATTTTAGGATACTAATATAGAGTTTTCTTTGGGAAGGGGGGATATCGGCTTTTTTAGGGGTTTTTTTAGAGATTTCTTTAGATATCTCTTTTAATTTCTTGGTCTCGTTTTTCCCTTTTATAATAGAGGTATAGGAGGGTCTCTGAGGTAGTTCTTCCTCTTCTTTCTCTTTCTTCTCTTTCTCTAGTGATTTCTCTAGAGATTGTATTTTCTCCTCTATCTTCTAAAGAGGCGTTTTTAAGAAGTTATATTAATTTCTCCTATAGGCTAGAAGCTGTTTAAATTATTGCTTCTGTTCTTCTAGAATTTCTAGAATTTTTAGCTCTTCTTCCCCTCTAATTTCCTGCTCTAGAATATTTAGAATAATTTCTAGATTATTCTAGCTAGTCTTCTTAGAGGGAGCGAGGCTAATTTTTTGGTTTTTAGCTTCTTTCTCCTTATTTTCTTTAGAAGAAGAGGCTTTTGGGCTTCTTTTAGGGGCTCTTTTTTAAGGTAGTATAGGGAGGGGTATAGGGGTTAAAGGAGGAGAAGATTGATTCTCTAAATCTATCTCTTTATCTTCTAACTCTAAAGCTTAGAAAGGGTTACTTTCCTTAAAGAAGGAGAAAGGGATAGGGGAGATCTTTTCCTTAGATTTCTTTAGGGTAGCTATTCTTATTCTTCTAACTTATAGTTAGGTAAGTAGGTTTTATTAGATTACCTAAAACTCTAGGTTTATAGGTTACCTATAATTATTCGGTAAAAGAAAACGTGTTAAGGGAAGATTTAACTAGATATATCTCTAAGAGATAGGGTATATAGCCTTTCTCCCTTAAAGAAGTATATTCTAGTAGTAGTTTTTAAAGAGAACTACTAAACTATTAGATTTTTTATAGGGAAATCTTTCTAAAACCTAGAGAGATATTTCTAAATAGTATAGTCTGCCTCAGGGGATACCTAACTTAGATAATACTAGATAGAGTATATTTCTCTATAAAGTGGAAAAGTAAAGGCTAGCTTCTTGTTTTTTCTAAGAAAAATCCTAGGAAAAAAAGCTACTATCTTTTAAGTAGTGATAGTTAACTATTTTACTTTTCTTTTTAGTAGAGAATTAGAAACTAAAATAACTGCTTTAGTTTGCTCTTAAGTAGAGATCCCTACTATCTAGTTCTAATTTAGAACCTTTTAGTATTATAGAGGTCTCTAGTTTCTTAAAGGGGGTTTAAGAATCTATATAAAACGTATTGCCTAAGCTTAGTCTATTTAGATATCTTAGCCTTCTAGAAGAAACTGTATTTAGCTAAGCTTTCTAGAGGTAGCTAAGCTACTTTCTAGTAGTTCTTAGTAGCAGGGACCTAATAGCTTAGCTAAACTATTAGATATTTTAGCTGTGGCCGCTGATTTTTATTAAGATAGATTAGGTAAGGAAAGATAAGGATTAATAAGTAGTAAGTAATAAAAGATAAAATAAGGAAAATCAAAATTAGAGAAGGGAAGGGGGAAAAGGAAAAAGGGGCTTAGATAAGCAGGGCTTGGCAAGGAAAATCAAAATAGAGAAGAAAAAAATTTTTCCTAGAATATTGGGGTGTATTTAGCGAAATTTCTTAAGGAATAGAAGGTATTTTGGAGTCAAAATTAAGCCATAAATTAAGCTTAGTAAGAGCTTTAAATTGAGTCGCTTTTAGCCATAAATGGCCACCAGCTGGTTGTGTTCTGACGAAGCAAGAAAGTTTTTTTTTTCCGCGGGTTAGATAATTTTATGCCGCATCGATGAGATAACTGACTTGATGGATCCAGAGCAAGACGACCCTGGGAGGAGATATAAACAGCAGCTTCATCCTGTCTCTGCTGTGGTCTTGACTCTTTTCCCCAGCAGGCGACGTTTGAGGGAGCCTCATCTCATTATCGTTGCTTGCCATAACCAATTTCTCATAAATATCCCTCCATTCTCCCCCGTTAACTAGTTAACTAGTTAGTTAATAGGCAAGATGGCCGCGGCCGAAGCTGTCTCTGGGTCAGCGTTCGTTCCCAGGGACACGCTGGCCGCCGAGGGTGTCTATGAAATGTTCATTCCTGGGTTCGGTGTCCTGTCCCGTGTCATTTCTACGCTCTTTCACATTGATATATCCCAATATCTCCCCTTCCTGTTCATCGGGGCACTGATAATCGCCGCCTCCCGGTACTTCTTTAATGGCGTGTCCAACTTCGTGCACAGTCATTTCATGTCCTCAGTGCAGGTGCATGTCAATGACGAAGTGTACAACTACCTGATGTATTGGGTGTCGAAGCAGAAATTCGTCAGTCGGGCGACAGATATCTTCGCCTCTAGCTCGGTGGAGAGCCAGTATGTGTCGAGATACGACGACGAGGATGATGATGATGATGATGATGATCATGACCAGCGGGAGGTTGACGAGGACGGAATTAACATGATTGGGAACGAGGAAGACTTCGAGGAATACTGGAAACGGACGAACAGATGGGACAAGATTAAGCCCATCCATTTCACTCCTGCTCTCGGGACGCATTACTTCTGGCATAAGGGACGCTTCCTCACGGTCGACCGGGCCAGAGAGAAGTCAAATACGTGGAATGAGACACTCCGAATTTCTTGTCTGGGGCGGAATACGGGATTTCTACGAGACTTGATACGCGAAGCCCAGCTGAGCTATCTGCAACGGGACGTGAACAAGACAATTATCTATCGGTGGTCGAATTCAGACCCTTCGTCCGGGCCAAGCTGGACCAGATGCATGGCACGACACCCAAGACCGCTTTCAAGTGTCATTTTGGACCAGGAGCAGAAAGATGTCTTCCTGGACGACGTCAAGGACTACCTCCATCCCTTTACGAAGCGCTGGTATACGAACCGTGGCATTCCGTATCGTCGAGGATACCTCTTCAGTGGACCGCCGGGATGTGGAAAGACGAGTCTCTGCTTTGCTGTTGCTGGGCTGCTCGGACTGAAGATCTATGTCGCTAATCTTAGCTCCCCGAATCTGACTGAAGAAGGATTGGCGTCGCTTTTCGCTACCCTTCCTCGAAGATGTATCGTCCTTCTAGAAGACATCGATACCGCTGGGATAACCAAAAGCCGTCTGCAGGCCGGCGCTCCGTCTTCCATTTCACCTGCTGCACAAAACGCCTCCACGCAGTCTCGGTTGAAAGCCAGCACTGTCGATTACGACGACGATGATGATAGTGATGGAGAGGGTTTTGGCGAATGCGGCGGACAGACCCCCGCCCCCGTATTGCTGCAACCAGGCATTTCGCTTTCTTCACTGCTCAACACCATCGATGGAGTCGCATCGAGCGAAGGCCGTATTCTCATCATGACCACGAACCATGCCGAGAATCTTGACCCTGCACTGCTGAGGCCTGGGCGTGTTGATCTGACGATCGAGTTCAGCAATGCTGACTCACAGACTATAGTGTCTCTGTTCCGAGCTATCTACTCCGAGATCGAAGGGGATTGGGGCGATCCCGTCTCTTCCAGTAAGATGGGCGAGAGCAGGGGAGATGGAGAAGTGCTTGCCTGCAAGACCAAGTCGAACGTAACCACAGCAACTCCCCCAAGCGCTCCTACCACTCGCCAACGAATAGGACATGGCCTCTCTGCAGATCAGATACATGATCTCGCCCAGGAGTTTGCCAGGCAAATACCAAACAAGCAGTTCTCTCCTGCCCAGATACAGGGATTCTTGCTATCGCATAAGGCGTCCCCGAGAACGGCGGTCGAACGGGTCGGGGAGTGGGTGGTCAAGCACAGCAAAATCAATTACGATCAAGGAAGCGACATGTGAAATTTGATTAATCATGGAGAGAGGGTACCAGTTGCTATTGAGAGGAAATTTCGAATGGAATAGATCTATGCCTCACTATGTGTATACATCTAGATATCCAATAGTTATATGATGATATTTACATAGAGTATTGAAGCGGATGGATAGCAAAACAAGCTCTGCCACGTGCCTTGGATCTAGATAATTGCATACATTAACTACCAACATAGAGCAGGACTCAATAAACCTTCGAATTTTAACTATCAGCCTGATGAGTTCGCCGTTTGTGGGGCCAAGGTGGAGGTAACTAGGTATAGACGGTGAAAGTTAGAGTTGGTTATAACTTTGGCTGCAGATAATCTGGCTATAACGAGCGACTGTATGCCCGCACCCCCTCCTTATAACTAGGTTATCTGGCCTCTTAGTAAGTACCTAGTTATACTTATAGTTATATTCTCTTCTTATCCTCTGCAGTCGTCCTCTCCTTCGCCCTCCCTGTTTATTCTCGGCGTGTCGAGCCTTTGCTGCGCCGCTAGGACCTTCGAGTGCCTTGAGATCTTCTTCTTTGATACCCTGGTTAATTAGTTATAGTATCCAGTTTTCCTTTTTTCCTAGCCTTCAATACGACATAGCCGAGGACACGGGTAGGTACTACTCCGTAGTAGTTATCGTGATAGCAGGGCTCAATATGGTGATCAAAAGGCCATCTTCATCTTGACTTTCAGTTTATATATTCTCTTCCCACTCGATGCCACTGCTATTATCATCAGAATTCCTCTGGGTTTATGTCTGCAGCACCGCTTAAATCAGCGAGTCGTTGTAGCGTCCATTGTAGTTCCAATATATCCTAGTCAGGCAGCGGTAACTACTTAAGTTTTGTGCGTCACTGGCTGTTAGAATTAACTAGTTATCTCATCGCCAGATATAATTTTCCGCTCAGTGATCGAATTCCAGGCCTTGAAGTCCATTTCCAGTCCAGTAAGATCACAAGGGAGTACCTAGGTAAGAGGCTGTCGCCGGCGAACACCACTCCCAAAGTTTGGTGATTGGTGAACTCGACGAACGAATAGTTGTAATCGTCTGCTGCCCAGGGTCGGTATGTGATCATTTCATGAAGTTAGGGTTCTCTGGCTGAGAGGATCCCGACCCGGGCAAATTCGGAGAGGAGCCATACGATGAGTGGGAGGAAATAGATTCGCTCCGTCGCCGTAAAAATTGATTGGTGTTGCGACTATAGACTCATCGTTGGGGGATCGATGGTATTGTGTCAATGATATAGCGACTGTCTCTGCAGCTAGTTAGGGGTTTCCCCTCCCCCCCCCCCCTTTTTTTTTTTTTTTGGCTTAGCGGTTTGATATATCGTTAAGGGGGAGCCAGGAGGTAAGACCGGCAGCAGAAACCAAGGCTCCAAACACTAGGAGACCTGAGAAGCCGGTGGTAGCTCCTGAGGAGTGTTTTTGCCGCCGAGGCCAACAGTAGGTAAGCTCGCAGCAAATCAGCCTCGAAGAAACGGCGGTAGTTATCGCTAACTAACTAACTAGTTCAACGTCTTTCAAACTCGGGAACTAGCTATGGAGTAAAGAGATAGTGGGCGCCAGATAAGAACGGGAAGAGAAGAGGGAGGAAAGGGGGAAGCACGGCGCTTAAATAGCCGGGCGCGGTGACTCTCTCCCAGTGAATAATAACCGTGGTGAAGTAGTTAACTAGGGTTTCAAGATTGTCCTAGTTAGTGACAGGATTTTTGTGAATGGCGCAATGGTCAGGGCTTAACTTTATCTGTACCCTACCAGAGGTATAAAATCGGCCTTTGGCGGATTGATTCCGTGCCTGAGGTTCGTTACCAGGTGTAGATAGGTCACTACCTTGGGGGTATATAACTACCATGGCAGGGAACGTGAGATATGATCTTCTTTCACTACACCAAGCAAATACTTCACCTCCCCAACCCAACATGATAGAACAGCCATGAAAAATTGGCTGGCTTAAGGCCGGGTTAGATATTGATTAGAAAGTATAATCCCAACTAATCACGAGCAGTAGTTTGATTGATGTAGCAAGTGATAGATATACGTTCGCAAATACTCACGAAGTCGGAATAACCTGCCACCAGGGATGTGAAAGGGCCTCGGCTCACCTGATAGACACTGATATTTATAACCGTGCCAGGCTAAGGAACAAGTGGCGGGTCCATATATTATCAATTAGTTCAACCTTCGTATATGCGGGCCGAACCTAAATAGCCATTGTGAGGAATTAGATGTTGAAGTAGGTAACCCACCATAAGTGGAAACGTCGATTGCTTATTACTAGTATCACTGTCAACATGTGTGCCAACATATGGCAGAGATCTCTTCTATAGCAAGTCTAGAGCTCGGAACAAGCTAAGCTCTGGTCTAGTTAACAGAGACAATAGCATGGTGGTAAAGTACATATATAAAGCATCATCTAAACTGGTCATCCCTGTGCACGATTCTTGCATAAAAGACTAGTGTCAGCGTGAGACCGACTCTGGAACCGGAATTGCAGCCAGACAGCCACTGCACATATGATTCGATGATGGGTGGGTATGGCATACCACGATGTGCCTCGGCGGCGTCTAAACACATTCCAACTGGGCTGCATCGGTGCATGCAGCCGCACCAGTGCACCAACTCTGTTGAAAGTGTTAGAATGAGAAACGTGGAGCGCAAAGACAAACATTTTATAGCTTACCTGCCGGGTTTGGTTCAAGGTGAAATAACGCGCTATATGCTTCGAGGACCATCAAGGGGAAGGCATTGGATTCCGTATTCCTTGTAGAAAGCCCTTCGAAGCCTGCTTCACGAAAGCGTTTTATAGAAGGAAACGGCGTATTGACTGAGGACGAACAAACAGCACTCAAGTTGGAACAAACTGGTCGGCTTGGACAATTTCTGTATGTGAAGGCTATTCCCTGCTGCCGATTATAGCACGAGGAATGCGAAAATCTTTGTTGTGTTCGATAGAGACAGAAACCTGCTAAACAATCTAGCCTTCACTACCCCGTTGACTAATCATTAGTTGGTAACTTATACATAGCGGGTGGGAGTCGACATACCAGATATGAAAAAGGCCTTTTCCTTCACCAAGCTGTCGCAAGGCAGCGAGGCGGAGGTTAGACATAACACCGCAAGCTGAGGCAAAACCATTGGTTAGGGTATTATCCATCATTGATATGTAGCCATTCAATCCATGCTGATAAGAAGAAAGGGAAAAAAAGAGGGAGAGAAAGTGAAAAGGAGAGAGTTTAGTATCGTCGAGACAGCGGAGCCGTGTACGACGAAGTAAAGGGCCACGCAAGTACGGACAGATGCAGCCGCATGCAGATGGCTAGCTGGTTCAGTGTAAGAATGGGAATTACCAGGCTGCGACCCAGGGAGGAAGAAGTTGCAAGCCATGTCCGTGAGCTGGCGAGGAAGTAGAGCACAAACCGTCCAAGTTGTCGCCATGTACTGCACAGACAGCTTAAATTAACTTTTTTTTTGCGTAAGTTAAAGGTGCTTATCCGAAATCAGCCCAGTTTCTGTTATTGCTTGGGCCTGGCATTGTGCGATCATGTATACCCATTTCGCCATCTGAGACCTGGACGGTGGACGATAAGGGCAGATCACTAGGGTTCGTCTGAGGCTCGTTGTTATCTAGGTCCATGTACCCGTCAATAATTGGGAGGTATTGCCCAAACACAGCATCCCATTGGTCCCAATCAAAGTTGACGTTCGGCTCGAATGCACTTGGATGTGGTGGCTGTTGTTGGGGCTGGGGCGGTGGCTGTGGCCGCTGCTGTTGTTGCTGTGGAGATGCCTGCTGCGTCTGTTGTGATAGCTGCGGACGCTGCTGTGGTATTACCTGCAGAGGAATATCAGCTAATGCCGGCTGAGAAGTTTCTATTTTGAGTCCAATGGGCGGGGCCATATTGGCTCGGTCACCAGCCAGAGCAACAAATTTCGCGGAGTTTGGGTTAAGATAGCCGCGTGCATCTCTTTGGCCAAGCGCTGGCATTTGATTTAATGGTCCTGAAGGGTTCTGGTAGACTGGCTGTGAGGGCCAAAGGAACGCGTTCGATGACGGTTGTGGGGTTGTAGTATTAGCTACAACAGGGATTGTGCAGGTGGGACTGGGGATCTGTTGCTGTTGTTGGGGCAAAGTTGCGAACGTGATGGGCTGTTTGTCCCTTGCGCGGCTCGACTCCGCTGATGCCTGTCGAACATGCCTGTGATCATCGTACGAGTTCTTGATCATCGCATAGTAGCTATCTGCAAAGTTTGTAGTGGGGGATGCACTCTGATCCTTGAGGCTTCTCTCCGGATTGCGAGTAGAAGTCGTTGATACGGAAGGGCTTCTGACAGGTGCAACACCTGCTTGTACCTGAGCTTGTTCAGTCCAAAGCAATTGTGGGTCAAGTCCGGCCTTTAACCACGCTTTCTCACGAAGTCTTCGCATCATATCCCAGGCTTCTCGCCCACCGTCATTCAATGGTCTTGAAGTCGTGACCCCATCTTCACCTCCTACAACTCCACCATCTGGACCGGACAGGGAGAATATCTTATCAATAAAAGCCCTGGACTTGGGTGCCTCTGAGCTTGTAGGCCGTTCATATAAATCGATAAGCATTATCCTAGAGTAAAAAATATCAGTACATAGGATTGTTTATAAATCCAATGAGACTTACATCGTTGCATGCATCGGTTGGTGATTTCTGCGCCATATCAGACTATGTTCAGTTATAAATGGGTGGTACTCTATACTTACCCTGGCCAACTCCATTGGAAAGGCTGGAAATCAGGATCCGTCGCAAGGAGGATAAATTTTTCCATAAAACCATGACAATGACGCAGCGCACTATAGTATAGTTTAGTGTAATTCAATAATATCAACTTAATTGATGTCAATGGAACGTACCATTGCCTTGCGGCTGGCCATATCTTGCTTTTAGCATTCTTCAGGAATGGCTGGTAAGCCACGCAGAAAGCCTTATGAACAAACAAAGACAGTAATATCTTTGCCCATTTGTGAAATGCAGTTAACACTGGGGTGTGATACTGCTCACCACACCCAGGTCCACCGTTAGGAAGGTCGGGCTTGATACATCGGGTCGCATCAGAATTGGCACTTGGGCGCTTAGGGCTAGAGATTCGATCAACGAGAGCATGAAGTTTAAATTGAAGGTCTACAAGAACTGATTTGAGATCTTCCATATCTTTTCTCGTGACAGGTCTAGTTCCCAGTTGTATCTTTAGAATCTTGCGAATGGCGCCTAAATACGGGTTAGTAGCTATGCGTTTATATAACGGGTACAAAAACGGGAAGAAAAAATTACTTACGGGCCATTATGTATTTTCCTTTGGCAGAGATGTAGTACACGTTAACCATCGAATTGCCGCATATGGATGGATCATCCGGTTTATCAGGACGTCGGTAGCCCTCATCTACCATCCGTTCGTATACTTCCGCCTCCGGTGAAGTGAGTAGTGTGTCTTTGACTTCGCTGGTAAGACGAACGTCCCAATAATTTTCGTCACTGACGAGAGGTGGAAGGCCACTTGACATGGCAACCACACCATCCATATGAACGATATGCCACCACATCCGTCTGCGCATCTCAGCTTCGCAGTGTGAGATACCAAACTGTGCCGGGTCACGGTGCAAGCCCATGGTTTGAGCTACGCGAAGAGCAAGACTGATGAAGAGGCTGCTGGTCAAGGGTTCTTCTTCCTTGGATAGGATTGTTTGGACAAGGAGGAAGGCAGCCAGACCGTTGAGGGATGGGCTTCGAGGGAAAGATATGGTCTTTAGCCATCGAGTAACTTCATCGTGGAAAGGTTCGGTTAACGCTGAGCGTGACTCAAGGCTGAACTCAGCATGGATTGTCTTTAGGGAGACGGTGACTGAACCACCGTACCATATGGCATAAAGGAGTGGGATAAAAGAAGGTCTAGGGTACGGGGCTCCTGGTTGTCTATACATGACATACCAGTCCCAGAATTCTTCATATGATTTGAGCACATTGGGAGGGTGGAGAACGGGGCTTATAGCTTGGACGCCGGACATGAAAGATTTATATAGGATGTTACTTTGATGCCTTGTTGGAACGTGATTGAGCATATCTGCCTGTATAGGCTTTATGTGTGAAGAAGGTCCGCCGGCCTTTGGGTAAAGGACTGAATCGTGCATGTTGCTTTCATGCGTTGCCAGCCACTGTTGGACCTGGCCGTTAGATTCATCCGGTTTTTGCACTGGAGATATCGAGGGATCATTGCCACCATTGGAGGGAGTTGGTTGGGGTATAATCGGTGGTTGGGAGCGATTCTGGTTTCGGAGGAGTTGATTTAGCTCATTAATCTCATCCGAGATGTAAGCCCAGTAAGTGGTTCCAACATAGCGAGATCTACCACTATCCTCCAAACTCAAGTGTCCCAAATTCAGGGTACCCACAGGGTCAACGAGGTCGGTGGAAAGACCAGCAGGGATTGGGAAATCATCGTTGCTAGCATCATCGGAATTACGCCTAGGGCTGGACTGGCGCGAGACCGAGGCCGATGATGAGACTGATTTGTTGCGAGGGCGTCCTGACGCACCATCAACAATTCCAGACCTTCCAGCAAAATTTGAGCTGGCACTCCCACCTCCTGCGGTGTTTCCTTCCATGCTGTGCGCATCACCTGTACGGCTAAGCCGTTCGATCATGGAGGTAAGCCGATCCAGGCGGGTGGCGATTTCATCGGAGCCAGATTTCTGGTCTCGGAGACGTGCCTGGTAGTTCAGCAGTTCGCGGAGGCTCTCCTGTGGAGAAGAGAGGTCTAGTTCATCCTTTTCTGCAAGTTTTGACACGTCTCTCTTGCGTTTGACCCTCTGGTGGTTGTCCTCGGCGCGATTTCGTTGAGCAGCAGCGGCCGTAGAATCGTACATGCACTCGGTGCCTGTCTTGACACAGTTCCCACATACCGGATGGACCTATTGAAGTGCAGGACGGTCAGCTAGTGGTCGTCATTGGGATTCATGCGGCAAGCCAAATAGGAAACGAAACAGACCTTGTCACACTTGACCTTGCGCCGCCGACAGGTATGGCACGAGTAGCTCACCCTGGTACGAGTGATCTGTTTCCCACCGAAGCCATGGCTCTTACGCCGAGGGGTCGTCTTGCCAGCAAACGGACCCGGGGTAGCACCAGGAGCGGAACCAGACAGATAATTGCGAGGGTCTCCCGCGAGCTGGCCATTACCTTGAGGCTGTTCGGCGACGGTGCGGCCCTGCTGGGGAATGACGTCGCCCTCAGCCAGCGGCGGCGGGTTTTCGTCCCACAGACTCATTGGCAGGGCAGAGGCGGATAGAGGGTGGGAGAGGCGTTAGTACCACGACATCTGCAACAGAAGCAAGAGCTTTTACTTCTTTGCAGGCGCGAGAGGGCTGGAGATAGCGTGAGGTCGAAAGTCGAAGTTGAAGTCACAAAAAACGTTCACGAGGGGATGCGCGCTTATCGCCTGCCGGCGCCGAAGTTAGGCGCGGTGTTGCCTCGTTTAGGTTCTCTTAGCGCGGAAACTCCACATTTGCTGGCTTCGAGATGCGTCTGAATTATTAATTGATGGCCGAGTTACAGCTGACAGCGCGGCCGATGTGACGGGTCACGCTCGTTTTATAGGCCGATGACGGAGTAATCTACGGCAGCGACGCGTCTCAGGTACAGCTAGCGTGCTCGCTAAGCAGTTAGTTACGTTGGCTCTTAATCAGCCATGCAAAGCCGTTAGCTGGTAGGAAGAGGATGTCCGGTAATCCTTCTGCAATGGCTGCTCATTTTAGGCCAGAGCGTGTGTTGAATAATACTAATTTATTGTTTAACCAAATCTATGCCTTTCCCTTCTTTTTGTCCTTCTTCTTCTTGGGCTCTGATGGTGCGTTGCCTGGTCCTGACATTCCGGGCATACCAGCCATATTCGGCATTCCAGGCATTCCCGGAAGACCTTGTTGTGCTTGCATCTCCTTCATAGCCTCCTTGAATGAGTTATCGCTTACTCCGCCGCCGGTCAAAGCAGGGGAATGCAATGGTAAGACTTTGCTGATTTTCCATCCTCGCGGGGTGGCGGGCGGCCCTGGTGGTTTTTCTGGCACAGGCATGCCCTGTAACCTCAGTCTGAAGGGAGACTGTTCTGTAGTTGGGTGCGACTGTAGATACTGCGCAACATGAGTATATAAATGATGTTCTACCAGCCATTAGTTGATATCCCGATAACCAGTAAAGATACAGTGAATGAAGGGAAAGGGGAAAAAGGAAATCTAAAAATCGTACTGTTTTTTATACTGGAATGCGCCGGTCGTCCATCCTCATCTTTCAACATGACACGCACACGCCCGGGATTCGACCAGTCCTTGGGGTGCAGTTTATCAGGCTCGAACCCAACGCTCAGCCCAAGCAGCTGCGTGGCGTCCAGGATGTCCTTTGCCAACGGACTCTCCACGGCTAGCTTCCGACTGACCCTCCTACCCTCTGCGCGAGTTCGCGATTTGTCAAAGTAGACGGCGTATAGACACTGGTATGAGCGTGGGATGTCACGGCCCTGAGCGATGGTGGGACGGCGCATCTGCTGCTGCGGGCCAGGGAAGAGAGGCGGAGACGGGGACGAGGAGGCGGCGGCTAGGCGAGCTGGAGGACGAAGAGGCATTGTACTGCTACTATTACTTCTGCTGGCAGAGGGGCCCTCCATGTCCTTGTGGTATATGATTGAGTCTTTGGCTGGGTCGAAATCCGACGGGTCCATGTCGTCCGGGTCAGAGTCGGAGACTTCTTCGACTCGCGCGTGAGACATGGTGTAAGGCGGTGGTGTATCGAGTCAGAGAGAGATAGGAAGCAGTCGATACTTTGGGTTGGAAGTCAGATGTGGAGGCTGATGGCTGTTGGTTGTTGATATTATTGCGTATTTGGCGATGGGTTGATTTTGCCTGTGGAATTTGGAATTTTGGCCTTTCTTGCTGAGGTGTTTGCATACTTTTGATCTCCCATGGATTCTCGCTATAGGCCAGCCCAATCAGCCGGATAATTTATTTACACCTGCAGGAACTAAAATAATTGTTCTTTGGAAGTGTTATCAACCAATATCGTCTAGCACGATGCTTCTACTATTTTGGCTATGGGTGGGTAGTAAAGAATAGAAAACACAACTACAGGTAGTATTACGACAAGACCTTGGCAGGCAAAAG